TAGATCTGCGAAACTTTGTCAAGTGACAGATTATATATTAGTTTTTCATGAAATTGTTTACACGCTTGATATGTGCTCTTAACCCATATTTTTCTCAAAAATTGCTCGAAGTTACTGGTATCTCCACTAAATTTGAATCAACAATTACATTGTGATATCGTCATGAACTGTCTTCCTCCATTATCAGATAGTGAAAAGAATAATTGTTTTAGTGATGTACACACTCGCACACGAAGTTTCAAAACGAAGATATAGCGCACGAGATTTAGATTTGAGTGCTCGATCATTTCTTGCGATCAGCAAGCTGTGACATATCCGTGAAAACCCAAACGGTACATGCGCAAAATGGATTTCCAAATCTGGTCACCATCCACTGATAATCTTGTGAAAAGCTGACGCATATGGCAAATCCAGGCCCGTCTTGATGCAGGGGACACAGGACGCGTCACAATAGAGTACCGCCTCATTAACCCATTGTTTACCTCGTTCTTTCGTCTTTTTGTTTTCTACTGGTTTATGTTAATTGTGTCTACTATATTAAGAAAAAGCCTAAATCCATAAGATATCAACATTGATAGTTAGTTTAAGTTTTCGCAGGAGAATTTTTAGCACATTTTTCAAATGAATGTCGAATAAGCCCAGGATTGCTTCCGTCTTCGGTGTTAAAAACCAATCGCAGCTTGCTCACTCTCGTTATTCACACGTGCCTGGAAACGTGAGGGAAAAAATTTTGCATAACAAATTACTTTGTAAGGATGACTAGCTCAGTCTGTTGGTACCACAACGTTCTGTCTGGACATCGTTTGAAAAGTAAATCTCACTCGTCCATGAAAGACTCATGCATGCATGAAAAGTTTCGCTTGAGTTGCATGGGTTGGAGTTTCCTGACTAACTTAAGAGAGACGTCTTCAACGAACATTCTCTAAGATTGTAATGTTTAAATATGTTGCGTAACAAATGTTTTGCTTTGTGATTACACATAGATGCTTCTGTACTTTTTGAACGTTGCTTAACACTAAAATGAAACTTGTAAGCTGTAAATATTTTAGGTTATTTAACTCAATTGGAGCTTTACCTGGTATGATTGTTTTTCACGATTATTTTGGTAATAATTTATTTCATCGTTCATTGACGTTATTGTGATTTAAAAGTATAGAAGTGAAATGAAAAACAAAACAACTTTGTAACCAGTAAACTCATGCAACAAAAATCTCATTTATTTTGGATATTTTCATCTCTCTCAATTCAAAATAAGATATCTGACAAACAGTCATAATTCCTCTAATCTATAAAATCAGGAGAAACGAATGCTAGTGCTTATCGATACATGTGAATGATACACTCGTTATATTTTACGTAAGGTACATGCTATTTATTTTACAACTCAAAGTTCTTTTCCATTTCAGCAAAAAATATTAGCGTCAAACGTGTCAAAAATTCGCTTGCAAGACTGCCTTAGGTGATTCCTTTATCGAACTGGGTGGCGTGATCTCACATCAGTTCGATTAAATAAGTTGTTTGAACAAACTCGAATCTGTAAATATTTGCTTGGTAGTCCCTCGGTAATGCAATTTTACCATAATCAAACTGCAAAGTCCAGGGTACCTGTAAAGTGGCAGAGATAAAAGTGGCTAAGCAGTTTTTTTTAGTAAAATCACAGAGTGTTCAAGTCCCGCTTGTGAAAAGCTATACGCCACGTTGAGTTCTCTTTGGCTTCCATAATTTTTAAGGGTCTACTCTGATTTGGGATGTCCTGAGTTTGTGGGTCTACACCATTTGAAGACGTCACCATTTCTGCCGTGTTAGCTTGCTGTACCTCCCGTGTAAGAGTGTTGTACAGAATTCTTGCCATCTGCTTGGATAGCTGCTCGGTAATAGATGGACTTCTTTTGCGTATTCTTGTCATTTTGTTATCTAATCGTTCTCCGGACGAAAACTTCATTTATAAATTGCCAGGTTATAGATTTTTCTTGTGCTCTGTACGCTCGAAGGACTTGAAATTTGATTACCGAGAGCTTGTGTAAGCTGTGTCAAAGTTCCCGATGGAAGTTGTGAGATCTCTACTAACTACGGGCCACTGGTTTTCGGTTTTTATATCTGAATATTCTTCATTAAGCCCGGCCTAGTCGCAGCTCAAAGACATATTGTTGTCCACTTCCTTTCTTCTCTTCTTTGTCTTTACTTTAGAACAAAAGTTTGGACTTTAGACGTAAACAACTTTGCCGCCTGCATTAAGATCACTTTAAAAGGGCTAGCAAAGGACAATTTTCTCCCAGCTTAGAGATGTGAAGAAGCGAGAAAAAGAACCAGTATTTCTTTTACAAGAATGAAACTTTTACGGCCACTGAAATAAACATTGATTCAGTTTGGTATACAAGATGCCACTACAGATAACAAAGGGGTTAGTGAAAAAAACACGGATCACGCACGTGACATTTGCTGGTCATCTACTCTTGGGAAACCCATTGGAAAGATCTAGAGTGACGTGTACTACAATTACCCTCGCAAGACTTTCTTCTGCCTCACTCTGTTATTTTTTTCCTCATTTGCTGTACCGGGAGAAAATGATTTGTAATTACAGTTACCGCGGCATTTAAAGGCTGTCGGAGATTTGTCCCGGTTTTCGTTCGTTAAAGTGACAAGAGGTTTTATTACTTAATTTTCGAAATGGGATGCGATGCTATGGCAGTTAATATTGCTTTCAACCTTCCAAAATCATATATGTTTCAATAGGGAGAATACGTATTTACGAAAGCCCCTGTTTTCTGATTGGTTACGACATTAATCCCATTACACGCAACAAAACATAATATTCCATTGTAAACAAAAATTAAGACACGAAAACCTATGCGTCGTGAAATTTCACTTTACGCCTCAAGTAAAAAAAAAATTGCAAACTCCCCCAATCTGTGGATGCATTGCCACAAAGGCTTGAAATTAAATGTCACCGAGAAAAGCCCTCAAAATACATCCAGCACCGAGTTTAACCTTATTTTGCGTGGCACTTGTTTACTTCGATGAACAACGGGTGACGTGCGTCAGTTGCAACGTATAAAGCTTATTTTGGATTAAAGGAAAAGCTATCGAACATCAACTCTGCACGATAGCATCGCGCTCAAACTGGTAGAAATAGTAGTTCTCATTGTGGTCCACACGCACGTACCAAACGCACGTTCACGACTATATAAAAAAAAAAGACAGTTTGAACTCTCTTGTTTAAAACAATTCATTACTGCACAGTGAGACGATTGATTTTAAGTCCGGTACAGAATTCGGAGTAAGACATAGAGTTATGGATTCCTGAGGTAGAACAAGCGAAATCGAGGTAATATTGTGATGATTTCATCGAAATTATTTGCGCATGCGTAGAGATGTGGTTTTTGTCAGTGTGATCCGTTTTCTCTGGCGATTTTTCTCTCCAAAATAATACGCCTTTGATTAAAACGAATTTGCTAATAGAGATAAGAACAAATGAGTTAACCGGTTTTCATTAAATTCCTCTCTTTTGTTATATTTCTTTTGGAAAGGAGTTCGTTTCAGTGGTAATAACTACGCGCGGAATGATGTCTTGTTATTCAGTGGGAGGATAAGCAGCCTGTTCCTGGCGTTCTGCAAGTAAAACGGTGCGAAATATAGGCGAGATAGACATAAGTTAATAGGTGAGGGCAGAGCCAAAAACGAGTAGATTTGTGTCGGGTCGCGACTGGACCCAAGCCTCCCTCGTTTCTTTCACTGTTCTGCCACTATCGCGTCGTGTGCAATCATATTTCGTTTTACTTACTCAACGTCTGAAACAAGCTAGAGGATAACCAATTGAAGAGAGAAACTAAACTACCCTTCCACCAAGGGGCTGTGAGTAGGACTCAAAACCCTGGGATCAAAACCGAATCAAAATGTTATAGCTTTAAATTAACTGACTAACAAAAAGAATGCTAAATTAAACAGTGTAAGGAAGGGGACAAATGGAAAGTTTTTTTAAATTTATCAATCCTTACAAAATTAACGAGAGAAATTTTTTCCGGTATAAATTGAAAGCAGAAGACTCTGCGAGTTTTTGGTATGATTTATTTCTCAAAACCTCGAAAATTTCGCAATTTTCCTTTTTTGTTTTCTTTTTCTCATCTGATTTTTTTGTTTGTTCGTTTTTTGTATGCTTCCTTATTGATCTTTTATGTTTTGCTTTGTTTTCGTTTTTGTTTTTTTGTTTTGTTTTTTTTTTTTTTTTTTGCAGGAGAAAAGTTCTTATGCTCTTGACTTCAAAGGCTAGGGACTGTTGACACTCTGTGGAAAGTGACCGTAAAATCTTTAAATAAACGAGGTAACCTGTAAGAGAACCTGTGGTGCTCCATCGGTGAAGGTGGGGGGGGAGGAATGGGGGTTATAACAAGATAATTTGGAAAGCGGCTGTTGGGATGAAAGAAACACTCAGTTTTCTACAGTTCCTCCTTTATACAATGATAGAGAGGACTGTTTCCCTCTCTGTTTCCCTCTCTGTTTCCCCCTCTGTTTCCCCTGAAACCTCGTCCAAAATCCTCCCACTTCCTCCACCCCACCCCTAGGCGGTAATAACGATTGTTCCCTTACAGTATAAATTTAGTCTCACGCGCATTGGATCCATAAATTTTATTTAACCATATTGATTACATCTCTACTTTTAACGTTGAGAGTGAAAAGTGACTTTTTGAAATGTTACTCGATGTCTTTGTTTCTGTTATGTTCATTTTTCACATTTTCTTTTGTTCCTTTTCATTCCCAGTATTTCTTCAAGTGAAGTCACATTTTATGCAATTCTCTATCTCCTGGAAGTGATTACAAGCGACTTCTCCATGCAGTATCTATGAATCATACATGAAGCGGGTGACGAGAAAATAAATACTTATCAGGAAAGGGGTGCACTGTTACCTCAGTGTCATACAAATTCTCTCCACTGATTTGCAAGGAAGTGTATAGCAATTATCAGAGAGAGTTACAAATTTGATCTCGGGATCCGAAGAAGAGGGTCAAATAACCGTTGGTAGCCTCTTATGAATTGTTATCTTCCATTGTTGTTTTGATGTTCCAGGCAAATCCGATTTTGTTCTCCTTAAGCCCGGACGGCATTTAATTTTTCTCACCGCCTTATCGTCTGGGCGTGAAGACAGTGCCGCTTTAAAGCTTGGCGCGGACTTTTTAGCATCGCTGATATCTCGTAAACTTTTGGCCAATTCTTGCAAACTCAAATTTGCACGTTTGGTAAACAATGGTTCCTTTATCGAAGGTGTGGAGGGATGCATTGTTGATTCCATTTTAAAAGCTGTTGTTGATTGTTGTCTCTGCGAGTGTAGTGTAGGGTTGTAAATACTAGGTAGCGACTTACACCTCGTCAGGCCGTTAAACGAGAAAAACTTGCGCCGCTCGGCGAGTTCGTGTTCCATTCTCTGGTAGGTCCTAAGCGGATTTGGCTTGTCATCGTCTATCGGAGTTTCCAACTCTTTTCGCAACTTTGCCTCTTGGAGGTAGATCGAGAACAGTTCTTTCTTTGTCTGAAACGAAGTTTCTGAAGGCATTTGTGTCGTTCTCGAGGGAGCATTACGAGCCTCTACGAAAATGCTAGGAATCATCGCCGGAGCTAAACCATTCCTTGTTGAACACTTGCTAAAAACGAGCGAGTAGTTACGAACCATCCATATCTGTGTTACCACTAGGTCAATATCATTGGTATATTGCAGTCGATACGTGTTTCATTATTTAAGTAAACAACATTTACACATGTACCACGTGTTCAATTAAGTTCTCTTACAGGCTGAAAAATAATTGTTTGGAGTCTTAATCCTCAAGAGCATCTATTGTTAAAAACACATTAAATCATCTGCAATAAGTGATGGTACATTACGGACTTCATTCGATCCAGACAAAGAAAGCTATTGCGGTATAGCTATGCCAACGAGTTTTTGAAATGTCTTTGTACGGAAACCTTGCGAAATAAGGGCGGCGAACGATGTCTTCGAGCGATTCTTTGACCGCCTATTTTTAACATAACCAGGAGGTACTGGAATGGAACTACATTTTTACCAATCTCTTGCCCGCTCCTTCGGTTATTGAACGAAATAAACAAGCTTTTAAGCTAATGAGTTGTTCGTTAGTGTTTTAGGGCATCTCTTTGTTTATTTTAGTAGAAACGGGGTTGATTATAGCCATTAGAATCCAAACGATAATGGTTTTGGGTAACGGTGGCATAATTATTTCACGGTACTGTTAAGCCTTTTTTATCCGCGTTTTACAAAATTATTTCTAATTTGAATGAATTTGCGGGAATTCAGTCTAATTAGTCAGAAAAAAGTTTTAGAGATAACTACAAAACAAGAAGGTTACAAGGTCGACCTGGGATCATGGGAGGCTATGACACGATTTTCATCAAAAATTCTAAAATTTTCATAATACACATGCCATCAGTACAAAGCTCTTTTTTTGACAACATAGCTGACAACTAAGTGAAATCTTAGCCAGAAGTAAAGATGAAGAGATAAACATTTTGCAAACAAACCAATCAGGGCGCCGTTCAATTGAATGTTGTAAAACCAAAACCAATGGAAGTCACAACAGCCAATCAGAAGAGAGGAAAATGTAAACAGCTAAAAGCCTTCAACCGCGGGAAAGTGCTAGTTACCAGTCGCGATGGGTTTCAGTTTTGAATCTGATTGGTTGATAAAGTGAAGCGACTTTTCTGGACCAATTTTATATAGCGAAGAAAAGCAAAACCAAATTAATCTTGGATTACTTTTGACACTGAAAATCTGTGTAATAAATAGTGTCAAATAACTTAAGGTTAATCATCTTGATTTTTCGACTTGTTTTGTATTTTTTTCGAAAGGAAGGAGTGAAAGTAAGTGCGTGTTTTGTCAACTGCCTTCGATGCCCATATTGGAGAAGATCAGGTAACGCGCAAAGTGATGACTTCGCGAGCGATGCAATGCCAGGGCTCTCGAATGTGAGGGAAGTAGAAATAGTCTTCTGCTTAATAAAAGGAGAAGTAAGCATAGTTTTTATATTCACCACTAAAAAGTGTGACATCGAACGCGTATTGAGACTACGAAAAATTTACCACAATTCCAAAATTAATATAACACGAGCTAGAAAACTAGCCCACACAACTTAAACAAGTCTCAATCCACCCTTTTTTTATCCTTTATAGAGCATTTTTGAATAATAAGTAGCCAGAGAAACGCATCCTTAAAGTACTCAAACTGGCGTCTTGATTTCGGCTGTTGTAGCGCGTGTGACCTGGTAACAGAGTTGTTTTCAAAATGGTGGCCTACCAGGTCGGTTCATTAGCACGTTTGAAGACAATTATTGAAAAGACGATTTCTCTCAGGAATCTCGAAACGTGATGATAAGTAAGTTTTTTTCTTTACTTTTTTAGCAGCAGATATGAAACCACATGGTCTCTCAGGCATACTTCTTCCATTTTTGTGGTTCTAAAATTGCTATTCTTAAATTGTGGTCCTCAGTGCCTGTGGATCTAATATTATTTGATTTTCTCAAAATGTTGATATTCGAGTCAAATAATTTTAAAAAAATCGAGAATTTTGGGCCCTCGTTTATTAGTAGTATAATTTCCCATTCCTCATTCCTCAGCCCTCAATCTTCTTCTTACATTTCCCATTCCCCACTACCCATTCTCCATTTACCATTCTCCATTCCCCACTCCCCACTCCCCATTCTCCAGTCTCCATTCCTCGTTTTCCCCACCCCTCGTTATCCATTACCCAGTCCCCGATCCTCATTCACGCTTTTAGTATCATCCCGTTTAAACTTGGGATTAGTCTCCGTGGCGAAACTTTGAAAATCCGAAATGAAGTTCGAACTTTTGTGTTAATTGAGTAAAGATGATTCATGGCTTGGCTCGAATTATAAATCGAAAAGGGGAAAAAATCATAAATGCACATTCTCTATATCGTGGGCTGACTGAATTTACGAATCAAATCACCATTGTACGTCATGCTGCTAACCACATGGAAGCTATATTCATTACCTGCTGATCTTTACATAGGGCGGCTTGTTCGTCTTGTCGCTCACTGTTTGTATAGATAATAACATGATTTCGAGTGCAGTTTGATTTCAATTCGCACGAGTAATTTTTTTCAAGACAACACGTAGGGCGGGTGCAATTTGTAGTCTTTGAAACAAGTGCTTATTTATACCAAATTGCTCGAGAAATCGTGTTGTTAACCAAAAACCACGTACAGGAAACCACTTTAAAACTCGCTCGCCGTCTGAATCAGACACTGCGAGCTACATACGTCGTGATTTGTCAGGATCGAAAACCTTTCAATGGATGGGTCAACTTAGAACCTCTCTTCCTCCCCCCATAGACAAAAATAACGCATTCATCCCTCCCAGCTAACGAGCTTGCTGATATTTTTGCTTGTATATCATTAAACAGGGAATTATATCAAAAACCGCAAAAATCCTAATCCATTTTGCATTTCGGATGTTCAGGTATTGTAGCTTGGTAGGAATTCTTTCCCTCGCTACGCTTCAGTTCGATAGGAAGAGATCGCTGAAACATAAATCCAAACATGAAAAGCCACTTGCCACCTCATGTTGAAGGACTCTAAGCCACTCATTGGCTACTGCTTACTGCAAATGCAAGTCGGAAAACTTTAGACGAAAATTTTCAATAGACACAAATGGTGTCATGGCTCCCTTAAAAAGTGAAACACTCCGTGGAAAGCTGTTTTCGTGATTTCAAAGAATTTAACGCGACTTTCTGTCGAAAGGAAGCGAGGCCAAACGTCTTCGGAAGATTTCAAATCCTCACTTCTCCTAAGTTTACTCAGTGATTGAGTAAATTCAATATAAGAAAAGCGGCATGTAAGAAATGTACTTGAAGATTACACCGAAGAAAAGTTCAAACCCTCGTAGAGCAGCCGAAAGTTTCTATTTTGTAATTAATTGAGAGAAAACTTAACATACTTATGAAGACATCTTGACTGGAAAAGTACATCGAACAACAGATTTATGATAATAAATAACGTCAAATTAAAGGTATGTCATACCATCTGTGTTCTGCTAAACCGCATGATATTCTCATTATGAATACATTATCCACATTGAAGGATTACTGACTGTAATCTCGTAAATCTTTTTTATTCCGATGTTACTCCCAGTTTTCGAATCCACAAGCCGTGATCGTTTACACACGGCTATAGATTGTGCAACCTTTTTCAGGTGGTGACAATGATTTAGAAAAGCTGAATACTTTATAAAACCTTTGAAATTTAATTAAATATCGCACAATTACTTAACGTGCAACTTACTAAACGTTTCAAAATTAATTGGATTTAAAGTTCAAATTGGAATACATCCTCTTTCTTTAACATGGTCAAAAGATTGCACGCTTCAATAATTAAGAATACCATTCTTTACTCCGTTTCAGCAATATACATCGACGGTTATTCAATAGAATTAACTATCTCCCGCAACACCTCTGAAGGAAAACAAAGCATCTTAATTCAAGCTTTGATTGATTGTCCTTTTATCTTGTAAGCCAGTCCTCTCAATTTTGAGACCTTGTTATGCTACGTTGAAGACTTAATCGTGAAATAGTTGATTTTCAGAAACAAGAGTGTGTCTCTGGTTTTGCGTAATGCTATAAATATTTCTTCGAAGGAGAACGAAAAGCGATCTCTCTGCCTCTAAGACATACGATATCGAAATACTGCGAGTTCTAAGTCGAGTCATTATATTATTTACTAGGATGACTAACAAAGATGTTATGTAAAAATGCCAGGTTTGCCGTAACAAACTGGTTAGGATGAACTTGTTCTTCATGACTTTTCGGTGGCGTTACGTTTGCGCAGAATTCTTGGCTGTCAGAAATCTACCTGCAGACTTTCGGCGGTGCTGAGTTCAAGTTCTGAATATTTCGTATCCAAACCATTTGCTTCTCAAACTGAAGCTCGCCATGAAGCGACCGCAAATGAAGAAGTCATCCACGAAATTTTTGCGAGCGAATATTGTTTTCATAAGCCATGCCATGATAAACAAATGATTTGTGTTTGCTCTTTTAATGGTGGTAAGTTGCAACTGTCAGTGACACGCTCATACTCTCTGATTCCTCGGCAATTCGCCGTTTACTGTGCCTCGTATGCATATTTTTCTTCCATTGCTCTTTCTCCGTGTTCGTTGTAGCGTTCAGGTGGTTATTGTCTTTTAAGCCTACTGACGGCTTAACACATTGAGTCACGCGCATCTTGGCATTCGCATCATCGGACGAGAAGCAGTGTGGCGAAGGTCTTTTAGGCCGATTTGTTTTTGATTTGTTTCTACGTTTCCTTTTCTTCTCGCTCGCTAACGGGTCGCTGGTAGCAACTAACTGAACTTTTCCACCATTTATCTGCGGTAATTTAGTAGAAACGTCCTTTTTTTTCTGCGAGTTTCGGAGTATTTCTGTCATACTTAGAGGGAGTTGACTGGAGGGGCTTAATTCAGGTAGACGAAGAGATTCTTCAACCAGTTCTTCGAAAGTTTTCTCAGCTTTCGTTTTAGTTTTCTGTTTGATGTCCATCGTCGACAGCCCAGGTCTTGTGTGCTCTGAATTTAAGCTCATGATGTACTCTTGTTCTTTGCCAAGCATTGAATGTACACCGACGTTGCTCTCTGAAGCGTAAAACTTGGTGGGGCGGTATATATGCAATGTAACTTGTCCCCAAAATGTTTGCACGGTAGAGCGAAATCAAATTGTCAATCTTGACAAATAGATCGCAGTTTTGTGGCACAGAGAACGCTGTTTATCAGCCCATAAAATAAATTTGGTCGTCTTCTAAGCGACGATTGGAGTGATAGTTTTTACAATGGCTGAGACGCGCGAGGATAGTTTCCTCTCTAAAGTGAGCTTACGAGCCGAAACCAAACACCACAAAGAATTTTATGAATTACAATTATTCAGTATTATGATAGTCAACATCTCTTGCCTCTGACCTCTACATGACCTGTATTTTTAGTGTTGTTTGGGCTTCGGCCGATAGGAGCGTTAATGAGATCGAAATGTTGTACTAAAAGATCACAAAAACTCTAAGCTCAAATCATGTTCTTCGTATAACACAAAATTTGCGCTCAGTGGGTGACAGAACGGCCTGTTTTAATTGGGTGCAAAACGCATTTTTTGTGTGAAAATTACCCACCAAGAGCGCAAATACAATGACGTTTAGTCTAATCCATTTCCTTATCTAGAATAAACAAAATGTCGTTTGAATGCTGTATGTTTGTTTGCGCCTGTCTAGCCTTTTACACGGAGCACATTCACGTTAGAATCGATCACGTAATTTCTTCGTTCTACAACACTTGGAAAATATCACTTTGTTATGAAGAAAAAAACTATGGCAATCTGGTGGAAGAATTATTTCAAATACTGGATCGTTAGTTTTTAATTGATTTTATATCTTGTTGATTCTTCTCCACTCGATTGAAGAGGTCTCGGAAACTTGACAGTATTACTTTCATGCGCCACATACAAAAGCTTTCAGTCGTGACTACATTGAAATACATCAAACAAGAAAATGTTTGCTCACAAAATTGAAAAATAACCCGGCAGGGGGTTGCAGTATTGAATAGCAAATAAGAAACTAGAGGTAGGAAACTATTTATTCCTTTTTGTGCAATATTGATCTTTGAAATGCAAATTTACTCGTAATGTACCCGCTTTCATGGCATGTAATAGTTCCGAGTGAACGAAGTGTAACAGTTATAAAATTTCTCCTTGTACCACTTAACTTTTAAGTCCAAAATAAATTGTCTATATTTAGCGTAATGAATGCGTCCGAATGATGACTGAAGTCGGCTTGTCACATTTCACAGCTATCTTTCAGTTGATAATAAAATATTTATTGGAAGAAATATTTTGTTTCCGTGCACAGGTTTACTTTTTAAATTTTTATTAGCTTTAGTTTCCAGTTCTATGGAGGTCTGTAGTTTTTTCAAAGCGTGCAAATTTTGCTGTGCTTTTAATCTTCCGGAACAACCCTTTTTCAAATTATTTTCATCACCTTCTTCGATTCACTCTAAAAATTTGTTTAATCCCAGACTTACGGTCTTGTCTAAAATGTTTTTCGATGCCGTGGTGCTTTTAACTCGAGACCTTTTGTAGGGTAATTCTAGACAACACAAACAACAACGGCCACCAGTGCATTGGAGTATTTTCTACACTTTTGTTTCTTCTCTCAGTGGCACAATAAGGCTAGAAATTAAAATTCTTATCATTTCATTTCTCTTGCTAATATCTTGCTACTGAAGAAGTATTAAACCAGCTGTCATCGGCGTTGCTTTCTACCCACTCTCCACGCAGTGCACGCCTGCGTGCAGGATTTCCACGCGATGAGACTGTGCGTGTGTATTGCTTTCAAATGGCTTACTTAACAAAAAAAAAAAGGATCCAGTATGTCATTTTCTCTTTTCATAGAGATTTTGAATTCTCTTTGGTTCCGTACCCACTTGCAGCGGCCCTTAAAGGCCCTGAAGACAACAGCTAGAAACAGTAACTTTAGGAGGGTTAATCTCATTGACCTCGACCGTAGAACAGTTGACACGATTATATTATATAGGAGTGCGTTGAAGAGAGAAAACTTAATGAAGCGAAATACGATCACAGAGAAGCTGATCCCAGAGAAAGAGAGAAACAGATTGTTTTATGTGCATCTTTCCAGCTTTCTTGCGCATGCTCTTATACTAGTCTAAATGCGTTCGTTTGGTTATTTAGCCTGAGCAAAGTGGCTCTTGTGATGTAACTGAGACCAGAATGTAGCGGAGTTGTCCGTCTTGGCCACAACCATTATGTCGAAAGGCAACTACCAGCTTCTGTTACCCAGATAAGATGGTTGTATATTTAACGATAGCTGATGATAGTTCTACCCTCCGGCAATTAGCTTCGTAGCCAATGGCTGAAAAACCTGAGGACATGTCAATTATCACCATATATCGTAACGAATACAAAATCCAAAGAAAATGATTTAACAGAGACTCGGCGTAAATTTTGCCATGTCCCTTTGTCTCAGTCCGATGAAAGTATTCTTGATATTATTTTTTTTTCCTTGGAAAAAAAATAATGACAGACGCTTAAAGCTTAAGTAAATCTTGCGTTATTTATGTTACTGATTTAGATTAATGAGACCGTCGTCTGCTACTATATTTGAATATGTATGTCTGGTTTTGACCGGAGCTAAGGATCAAGTACTTTAGAGAACTTTCTCTTTTCTCTAGAAGAAAGTGTAAACTATATGCCTGAATTAACATCTGTCACCACTAAACAGGATACTGCCCAGTCATTGCAAGAGCGCTATATCTTTAACACTACCGCTGCCTAAAACTGCGACAAGCGTTAATCCCAAAATCCAAAATCACAATTGAGCCATTCCTTTCATGTTTTGAAATTGTGAAACAGATTACGTTTAAATCTCTTTAGAGTGAGAGACTTAGAGGCATTTTCTATCAAGCGAAAATAAGGTGATCTATCGCCTTTTTGTGATCAGGTGATCGTTGCTTTTCCTTCAATGAATTCAATTCGGACATATACACAGTGCATAATTAAAAAAAAAAAAAAAAAAAAAAAAAAAAGAAAAAAGAAACCGTCGGAACGGAGATTTGAAGTCAGCAAGCACTCATTAGGCTATTAGGGATCTTAAGCAAACCACGACGGCGACGGTAACAAGGACGCGGCTAAACAATAGCTCAGCACGTGCGTCTTAAACGGCTCTGTACATTTCTTAGCCATCCTCTGCGAAACAACAACGTGGAGTCACCTAAAGTTACTTGGTCTGAGAACGGAAACCCCGAAGGCAAATTACATATTTAAGTTAACATTTGAAACTCAACGCTGATCGCACTTATTCCGATAGCCGTTTTCTACATTTTGATAAATATAGAATTTAATCTTCTTCTCCTAGTGTCTATTGTATGGCCTATAATGTATCGCTTGGATGATCAGACTGAACAGATAATCGGGGAAAATCATTTGCTTTTTCCCCTCTTGCTAATATTCTGCCTGTACATTTTTCACCTCGAAACTCTCTTTTTACCCTCCAGCCTGGAATTTGAATTAGTGCCAGAAAAATTGATAGATATAGAGGTAACCTGTAAAGGACTCAGTAGCATTTCACTTGTCTTGAGCGACTGGCGGTGCTCCTAGTCCTTCATTCTACAGAAAATGTATCGTATTCAGACCTAGTCTAACTAGCGGTTCCATGTTAGCTTCCCTCCCGTCGCTCAACGCGGCCCATTTCTCCCTCGATTACCATGAAGGACTGGTGACATTAGCGCGATACGACCACAAAATATTATAAGAAGTCTCAAGAAAAGCGAGAGAAATAAGCTCCTAAAGGTCAAGGTTCGACTTCGTTCGGAACAGTAAAGAAAACACGTGACCCACTAGGTAGGCGTGACTCCTTTTCGGAGAAAAACTGGTACCTAGTGCGCGGGAACGATAGAACATAAACTACAAAAGTGACTGCGTTTACACACCCACGTGCAAAAAATCGATCAAACACTAAGACTGCACCAAAAAGGTGCTCTTACATCCCCGCCACTGGATTCTGAGATCCAGGCTCACTTTAAATCAAGTTGCTATAGTTCAACCACAAATTAAAGTGATTACATTTCGTTTCCATGGTCTCAAAACTTGTAAGAATACTTACATTTTGACAGCCACAAGTTTACTAACCTTAGGCTGTATCTTTTGTTACCGTATTTAGGTAAAGTGTTTTTTCTAGTTACTTGTATCAACGTTCACATTCCCTTTGTTCTCGCATCATTGTACTTGATGTATGGACGTAAATAACATGGCTAGCTGACATGCGCAAACTGTCCCTTAAGAGATTCCCGTTAATAGCATTACCCTCGCCAAACAATGGTAGTTAATGTGGATGCCTAATCACCCACGAATATACACAAGGGTGACGCCTCATGTAATCAATTATCTTTACACATTAAGTTATTGTCGACGATAAAGCTTGTGGAAGACACTACAGTTCATCAAATGCTGTGCATCGCAGATTAGTAACTTCAGTAGGGAAATAGGTGTTCAATAAAGTTTGTCAGGGGAAAGCTGCTTTTGACGAAGAGAGCTAGGTCAATGCTGGCAATAAAAAATATCCAACGATTTGAGCAAATAGCTAATTACCTGTCAAAACAAATGCCCAAGCAACATAATGGATAATACTTTTGTTAAGTGCATGCAAATTGTCAGCGCTATGGAAAAGGTTTCAAAAAGTAAACAGATTTGGAAGCCTGCAGATTTAACTGTCTAGCATGCACAAGAAAAACAGTCTGCACAGAAATACAAGCTCCATGCGGATTGCTCGAGCAGCCCAGGTGCGTCTTGACGAGATAAGCGACAAAATAGAGCGAGACAAACAGAAAAGCATCAAATCAAATTATCATGAGAAAGTTAAAATATGGAATGAGCTCAAATCGATTCATCGCGTGTTCGAACCACTCTACGTTATCAAAGAAAATCAAGCAAGACTTGCAAGAAACCAGCCTGATCTTTCAAAACTGGACTCAAAAAATCGTGCGCATGAAAGCGATGGGATGCGAAAAGATGGGACTGTATCTTTAAAATACCAGCCTAGATTGTTGCAAAGAGCTGAAACTCAGAGTAACGTGACAAAACCAAGACGAAGACATACTGAACCCAAAATAGAAGCATTGGAGGGATGGAAAGCCAAACTCGTTAACTCCACGAGTCAGGATACTGCAGCGGGTTCCTCGCAGTTTAAGTGGAGGTCGCAGAGTTGGTCTTTCCAAGGGTCGTCGAAAACCGAGGCAGAATGCCCACGATTGGCACTACCTCAGAGAACTGAGAGAGAACACAATTCCAAACTCCGCAGCGCTTCAGAGGAGCCTCGCATTTCTAACTCAATGTGCACAATCGCATTGGGATATATGGCTTTCAAACGCGTTTTGAAAAACAAGAAATTGTCCCAAGGATTGGAACCCAAAGTTGTTGATTCCAGATTCAGGTCGATGTCAATGCATGAGACAGAACTCAGTGCAAACTCGCGGCTGGTCATGCCTGAACACTCAGAGGCAATTAATGAAAAAGAGGACACTTTGAAATTACTATTTCCAGCCACAGAGAAAACTGTTAATCCACACTTAATTAAAAAAGATAACAATGGGCGAAAGCCCAATTCTAAAAGGCGTGCTTCGACTTGCGTAAACAATAGACGACAACTTATTTCATCGCTATCCTGGCCGTTAGGCGAGTTACCTGTGAACCCTACAGGAGTGGAGAAAAGCTTATTAAGCCCTGATCATATTTCACACGCACACAGCCCAAATGTCTCTCGCTCACGCTCTGAAATGTCTGTCAGAAGTTTGCCACAAGCATTGAAAATGGAACGAGTTAAAACGGGGAAAGCTTCTGGCTCAATTGAACAGGAGCACTCAAGCGAGAGTGACGAAGAAATCAAGTTCGGAACATTTCATGAATATTTTGGTGAAAAACCCATGCATAGCTGGCTGAAGAAACCGCTTAAACGAGGGTCAAAATTGCTAAAACCAGTGGGAAGTGGTTGTTTTAGTGAAAGTTTTCAGGCTTTAACTCACAGCAAAACATGAAATATTGTTTTTTGTTTTTGTCGCAGTGGAAATGGATTTGAAAGGTGTACAGATAAAAAATATTCTCAGTTATACAATAAATGCTTAAGAAAGATACTGAATAGAGATTTTCTTAACCCAGGATTGGGGCAACTCTGAATAAATTATAAAAACCAGTTACTAACAAACAAAACACTAAAAATACTCGGAAACGTCGAAGTGTCTAAAATCGGACATTAGCCACCTTCACTTCGGTAACTAGCTGATATAAAAACACACACACGCACACACACAGATATATATAACATTTCCGTATCCTGCGTGGCGCTCAGAAAGGAATAAATGTTGAAGTCCTATTGAGAGTTGTTAAACCAAAATTATTTAAGATTTATTTCAAATATTACCATGACAATTACTACGTTTCCAAGCGTTTAGGGATATTAAGTCCCTTATCAGAAAAAAATCACGTGACGAATATTGTTCATCGTGAAATTGTTTATTTTACCAATTTGGTTTTTGAAAAAACTTAGAAATTTTCCCTCAGTGTTACAGTATTTCGCTAAAATCCTCCACAATTTCATTAATTACTTTGCAGAGTCAATCAAGACAGACTTTGTGTGGAGCGATATTCTGCATGCAAATACAGGAGATCACAATCACTGCTTAAACTTTCTTCAGGGCTCTAAATTTGTCCCTTTAACTCAGCTAAGGATAGAATTGTACCGTTCGACGAGAACTCGGCTGATAAACCAATGTTGACGCCAAAATATATAGATTTATCCGAAGGGTTGTATCTTAATCTCGACCCATTTAAGGCGATCTGGTCTTCCATTGTTCTGGTACCAGTATATTCCTGTAATTGCCTGACTAGGTTGGGGGTTGTACTTTCCGTTCAAATTACAGTCCGTACAATTTTTATACCACCAGGCTCCCTGATGATCCACAGCACAATTACTAATCGCATTACTATCTGCATCTTTATCTTTGGTAGAGAAGGGAGCACCAACATTGTATGAAAACGCATCTATGCATAAACCTGCAAGTTTACGTACAAAACAAAAAAAAAAAAAAAAAAAAAAAAAAAAAACAGTGAGTAGGGTACTCAGTGAGAGATGGTTGAGCCTTTGGCCCCAGTTTCTGACTTTATTCATTTTGATTCAGTTTGAGATACCATTCTCTTTTTTCTCGGTGATCGTTTCCAGGAGAGTCTGGAAGTAACCAATCCCATGTCGCGAATTCTATTCACACGGGTATCCGTTTTCTAAATTCTGCTCCAGAAGAGTGAAAGCAGTAGTTTGAGGAAATGAAATCACAGTATTCCAGGGAAGCCACAGTCGAGTTAGGGGTTACCTTTACAAGACGTTTAAAGAGAACGCTTGAATTTTCTCGGCTTGATATTTTTGCAATTAAACAAAGTAATACCTTTGCATAAGGACTAGTGAAATCCCAAAATAGTACAAACCTGACAAGAACGCATTTACTCAGCTATTTATAACGTTAATTAAAAAAACATTTCCCCTTTTCCTTATTAGTGACAAAGTGTAATGACTTTCAACGGTTCAAGACTGATTGTGGACTTGTCAGTAGCAAATCTTGGTGAGAAGGAAAGCTATAGCATCATTTACCGGTGTAAGATCCCAAACTTTGTAGACGAAATCCATCATCTTCTCCACTCACGGTAAAGTTTTCGTATTCAGCCCAGCACCAATCCCCATTCAAAATCTCTTTTCTCTATTCTCAACTTTTGCTGTCGCTGATTGGTCAACCTGTGGATGTTTAGAAGTCCAAGCCAGAATTCTCCCTGCACATTACCAAACCCCTTCTTGTAGTCCATCCAAGCGCGGTAAAAATCAACCGAGCCATTCATTCTCCTCTGAATGACAGCCCAGGGTTCTCCGGCGGAGTAATTCTGATAACAATAGACTTGAAAGGCTCCTTTACCATCTGGATCAATGGTATAAACACCGTCTGATTGACCTCCATTCTTCTTTATTTCTGCGCAGCTCTTAGAAATTGAAACTTTATGGAAGAAAGGTGAACAGAAAATCATTTTGACATTTGAAGCAAAAGTTACAGAGTGAAGTTATTTTGCATGGACCCTTTTAGCCCTTAGAGTGATTAGCATCTAATTTCTCCTAACAATATCACCCATTAATCACACGTCTAGGTCACGAGAATAAAGAAAATGATCACTAGTTAGATAATCTCCTGATCATTTAACAAATTCTTCTTGTCAGCACCTCAATAAATGTCTAGAGAACTGTATGGAGAATATACATACTGATGTTAGGGTGTAAAGGGTTATCACCGGTGACTGTCAATAAAAAATGACACCACGTAAAGAATATTAAATTTTAATCTAAAAATTGGTTGCATGACAAAAGCCAACACTCTTAATTATTGAAATGTGTTGATGAATGAAAAATAATTGTCATTTTTGTTTTTTATTCGAAGTTTATCCTTTCGTTTCGAGGACTTGAGGTGAAATGCCAGTACACTATCAAGGGACCGGTCATTATATCACCCGTGGGGGGCAGGGGGGGGGGCGGAGATATAATTTATCTTATCCCCTAAGGCTCTTTGATATTCTAATTATCCGCCCTTACTGGCAGTCAATTTTCATTGTCCCCTTTTAATACTCTGTTAGCAACGACTAAATAATAGATAATCAGGGGCCACTAAGATCTAAGATCTGGCTCTTTTATCAAGTGGTAAAATATCAAATATGTTTGCAACGAGCTTCCACGTGGTAAAATATCAAATATGTTTGCAACGAGCTTCCATTCCTCCATTCAGGTTACCTTGAGACAGTGAATTTTTATCGACAGCATCCACGTTCCATTGTAGGTAATTTGGCCTGCACAACACATCTGAATCTCCTTCTGTCACAGGTTTCTTGGCAGGTTCCACCGTTGAGACAGTGAATATTTCCACGACAGCATCCATTTGGCATTGTGGGCATTTGGGTTCCTGACTTAAACGTAAAAAGCTGACGTTTCGAGACCTTGGTCAGGTCGATTTAATCGTTCTGACGAAGGGGTCTAAAGCTCAGCTATACTCTCCCAACGCAGAAGTCCAGCGAAAACTTTAACCGTGATATAGGCCACCTCATCTCCCACCGGAAGGGAAAATTCCTTTATTGCATTTGCTTTCATTCTTGCGAAATCAAAACAGAAACGTGTATATCATACCTTGATGTTATACTCAATTCCTATTTCGTGATAGCTAAATCCAATTATCCTCTTCAATGCCCCAGGTTCCACATATCTGTCTTGTTCATTCAGGTGACAGTTTTTCTGCTTCATGCCTGTTACAAAGTTGAACGACTTACATCGACAGTCCCACGCACAGTTCTCAAAACAGTCCTTGTGACTCTGCACTGTCAGGTTTTTAAAACTGTGGCCATAAAGGGCGTGATTCTCCACGCCGTTTCTCTCTCTGGAAAAGCTGTATTGTTTAACTGAACATGGCTTTATTGCGCACATATTTGACTGACTGCATCCATAGTTTGTGAAAAATACGCTATACAATACCCAACAGGGAATTTTTATCGCTTGCAAAAGGGGCATCCTATTAAAGATACAACAGAGAGAAGATAAGATGTTTCATCAACAGTTCATGAAGAAATAGTGTTTATGAGAAATAATATATCATCGTTTAATAAAGGTCTCGACATTGGAGATGCGATAATGTTTTTTTTCTTTTTCAAAGATAACGCGAAACGTTAGAAATTAGTCTTCTGAAAAAAAAAAAGAAACCGTTTGAGGATAAATTAGACATTAAACCTGCACGCAACGACATCGATGTCGAACATATTTCGGGCGAAGGAAAGCTTGTTGTTTAAGCAATGGACTACACTTCCTATCGTTTACTGGGGTAATAACCCACTTGGAATGTTGGAAGAACATGAGAATTAATGATCTATAACGATCTTCCCACATCCTAAGTGGATTATGACGAAGGTAAATAGGTAGGAAGTGCGGTCTACTGCTTTTGTAAAATAAGCTTAAAATGTTTCGGGCTTATGATCACCTGTGCAATAAACGATTGGTTTTTAACCAATCAGGGCACTCGTTGTATCCCAAAGAGCTGTTTTGTTATTATCCCTTTCAAAATATGAATTAAGTTTTTCTTCTTATGAGCAGGTGGCTGTCATTGATCTTTCATGGGATAGTGAAAAACTAGGCTTCACCGAAAATAACTACTTCATACTTGACACCGCAAAATCGTTTTACCTCACCGATGTGTTTACAATTACTGTCATATTCCCAGCTTGCTATCCCATTTTCATAGTCAGTGTCAAACTGTTGGAAAGAAAATAAATACCCCCACTATTTTAAATCACTTTTTAAAAACATGCTCGTTCTTTGAGAAGAACCGAGATAGCCTCTCTCTTGTTAATATTCAGTTGCTCCTTTACCTTATGCAATATGTGTTGTAGTACAGTATATTTTCCCTACGTGGTTTTCATACATAGACTCATGTCATATTTCAATTTTTTTCCCAAAAACTCATTAATTGTAATTAGTGGTCTGGCATCCAGGCTGTGAACATTTCTGTTTTAAGTAACCACCACTTTCCACTTGAATAAACTATTTTCATTTCTTTATTTGCCTTTCATTTTCCCGTACTTCATCAAAATCCCCCCTAAGCAAATGCAAGCCATGAGTGTTTGCTTTTTCATTAGAACCAAATTTGTGATACAAAATATATTTTTTTGATTCAAAAATACTTTCGAATGAACTTCATAACAGAACGATATCAAAATTAACAGCAATTTCATCGAGAACACATGTATATATAAATTTGTTATTTCAAGGGTCTATTTTGCATGTACTCTTAACCCACTGAAATAAATTTAAAGGATAAAACATGAATAAAAATAATTCGGCCGGGTACCTTTGAAAATCGATCAGACACTTTTCTCTCTGTTTTCCTTTTACGTATCTTTGAGAGGAAAGGTGTTTCGTAAGCTGGTAATTACAGAAATGATGAGAAATGATGCATTTTCTTGCATTCGGATGGGAAATACTCAAAAAATGTTCGGTATGATACTGAAAAATTTTTCGAGGTTCCTGGGAAACGCATTTCAATTCGGTGAGTTCGTATCACATTACCACGAGGCTGGAAAGATTTTGCTAGACTTATGCCAAAGTCGAAAACTTAAGACATTTCACTAAACAATTTGAAACAGGATTTTCGTCCTTTTTAAGGTAATGCTTGTAAAGAGCCTAGTTTCTTCATTGCAATAGGAAAGTGGTAAAAACCTAAGAAGAATCTCAACGTATGTCGTTTCTTTCTGCGAAAATATACATTTTGTCTTCCCTTTCGAATAATTGTCAGATATCCGAATAAATTCAAACAAAAACTTTTTTACGATCTCCTTCGCTTTGACTCCAATCATGCTTTTAAAGAAAATTTCTATTTCTGTCCTCGCTTTCTTGTTTTCATCGTGTGAAGTCAAGCAGAAGTATCTAGTACTCCCTCTGCCGGTCATTTTTTGATATCTATATTTATCCTTACTGACACAAATTTCCGCTATCTTCAACTCTCCTTTGTTGATCACCGGGGAAATTTATCACAAAAAAATGTCATTTCATCGATACATTATTCCTAGATCCTTGAATTTAGAATTCTAATTTTCCTAAGTAAAAAAAAACTCCCTCATCCGTTACCTTCATTAACACTACTGCAAAATTGTATCTCACTTTCTTAGTTGCTGCCATTCAGTTTGGATTTCCCACAAATCAAGGGAATTTGAAGAAGGAAGGAAAAAACTGACGAGTTTCAAATTTGGATATTTGCGGAGTCTGTGGCTTGAGTAAGCTCTAAAGAGTGACTAATAGTGACTAATAAAAAAACTTTTTTTTACCTCCATAAAACTGGTTCAAACTAGCAACAGGATTATTTAAACTTTTTGGCATCAACACCTCATCCAGACGAAATGTATACATTTGTGCACTGAAATGTCTTCAATATTCTCTCTTCAGTTCAGCTTCAAATGATTTGCGCTCAGTTTTATTTTTTAGTGTGATTTAGTGGCTATTTCCTGTCAATCTAAATACTTCTTAAAAATTTAAAAAGAACCTAGTAAGCGATATCGGATACTTACGCCTACTAATCCATAATCTGCGGACTGCAAAGTAGGTTTCGCGGAGACATCTTGTTCCGAGTTAGAATTAGAACGTCTTTTCGATACGGCGCTGAAGTTGTCATAATTGGCTTATTTTTTCAACTGTAATAAATTTCAAAGTGTGTATTTTTGTGCCCTTGTTTGGGCTGCTAATGGGAAAAGGGTAAACAGAAGCTCTTACTGTCACAAAGACTGATATTCAAACAAAAATGAAATGCAATTTGCGTAACCGGTAAAGTCCAAGAGGAAACAACTTTATGGTCCTGCCACAAAGCAAACTGAAATTACAATATAGGAGGAAAAGTCAAACCTGTCCTCTAGTTTGAACAATGACAAAATTAGAGAAACATTCATTCGTGCAACCAGAAAGTAGAGAGCTACTCTTGTCAATAAATTGTATTCTTTTGAAACGATTCCATAACACAAAATTTAACACAATAACAACGTTTTTTAGACATCCAGGGATTTCAATAAAAGCTGCGGCTAACGGCGGTCTAATCGCTTATGGGAACAGTTTTGAGGCCCCTGATATGTAATGGCATAAAAATGACATCAACAAAATAAAATTGGCGAGACTAATTCGTATTTGAGGAAATCTGACTGAAGATAATTAGGCAGATTCCTTGAAAGGAGAGATTTACTTTATTGTGATTTTCAAGCTTTTATCTCGAGTAAAAAAATAGTTGTAAATGCAGCGTTTTTGTTTCGCTTTGTTGGCATATAATGTAAATATAAAACTTACATAATCACTGAAGCCAAGCAGAACAAAAGTAAGTATCATCACGTGATTTGCACGAAGAACTCAAAGTTAATCGCATGCAGACCGTCTCCTATGTAACAAAGTGAAAATGTGCTTTCGATTGGATCTGATTGGTTGAAACAGTGGCCTTAGTTTTCTGGTCCAATCACAACAGCCTGTGTGAACAAGGGTAAGAAGCACCTAAAACTTAACAGTAAACAATTATTGGATGAGGTTAAGCATGATAGCGAGAATTCTATTTCAAGGCCGAGGTTTGTCTTTGCCAAAGGCCTTGATAATTCTCGCTATGATGCAAAAACCGAAAGAGATAATTATTTATGATGGATATTCCAAAGCGCTTGTAAAGATGATGTTGGTTTGGAAAATGTGGTATTGGATCAATTTATTTAACAATTATTCGAATGTGTTATTTTTAAAATTTTCGGAAATTGTATCGTAATAATTGTAAACGAATTTTTAGCAAATGAGTGAACTGACATTGATGTTAATTAGTTCTGGAAACCCCACTTGGGAAAAAAACAGTGAAATAATTGTATTGTATTGTATAAAAACTATTACCAGATGGAAGAACATAACCTTATATTAATGAGTTATTGACTTAAAAAGCACCATTATCAATATAAATTTCCAATTGCGCTTCACAAAGTCAGTGATTAAACTACACCTAAATATTAGAGCCAAAGAAAATTAAGATATTGATATTCATGTACAATAATAAGTCAAACTTTATCGCATGAAAACAGTCTCTTACAAAAGAAAACTTAAGAAACAGCCACTGTTACTCTTAAAAGACAACTTGGTATTGAAAGCCTGAAAGAAAGCTACCTAGCTTCTACAACTACATGCGCAGCCGTTTGACCGCTGTAATGCGACTAAGCGAAAATATGTTTTGAATTGGATCTGATTGGTTGAAATGGGGGCGTTAATATTCTATAGTACACAATTTAAGAACTAATGATTTCAAGTTTATTTTGATGCTGCCTTAAGGTTGACGTAGCTGCCTTGCAGTTTGTTGGTCCCTCAACGTTAGCGCTTTTCATCAACTTATCATTATATTTTTGCACTGCCTAATGGTACGTGCTCTATTTAACAACTAACATTTTTATTTTTCATCATTTTACACATACTACACTTTCCACACACACACTTCCTTTCCCCTAATTAATCCACTATTTTTGTGAAGATTTGGAAACCCTTTCATTGGGGATTCTTTAACTCTACACCTGCAATACCACAAAGGTTGCTAGATAATTCCATTGCTTTATAGAAAAAAATTGTTTTTTTAACTGTATTTTTAATGTTGTTTGAGCTTAGGCCGATAGGAGTGTTAATGAGATCGAAATGTTGTACTAAGAGATCACAAAAACTCTAAGCTCAAATCGTGTTCTCCGTATAACACTAAATTTGCGCAGAGTGGGTGACAGAACGGCCTGTTTTAATTGGGTGCAAAACACATTTCTTGTGCGAAAATTACCCACCAAGAGCGCAAATATAATGACGTTTAGTCTGATGCATTTCCTAATCTAAAATAAACAAAAAAGTCGTTTGATTGCTTTATGTTTGTTTGCGCCTGTTTAGCCTTTTACACTGAGCACATTCACGTTAGAATCGATCACGTAATTTTTTCGTTTCAAAACACTTGGAAAATATCTCTTTGTTATGAAGAAAAAGACTATGGCAATCTGGTGGAAGAATTATTTCAAATATTGCATCGTTCAATAGTTTTTAATTGATTTTATATCTTGTTGATTCTTCTCCACCTGATTGAAGAGGTCTCGGAAACTTGACAGTATTACTCGCACGCGCCATATACAAAAGCTTTCAGTCGTGAATACATTGAAATACATCAAACAAGAAAATGTTTGCTCCCGAAATTGAAATATAACCCGGCAGGGGGTTGCAGTATTGAATAGCAAATAAGAAACTGGAGGAAACTATTTATTCCTTTTTGTGCAATATTGATCTATTTACTAGCAATGTACCCGCTGTCATGGCATGTAATAGTTCCGAGTGGACGAAGTGTAACAGTTATAAAATTTCTCCTTGTACCACTTAACTTTTAAGTCCAAAATAAATTGTCTATATTTAGCGTCATGAATGCGTTCGAATGATGAGTGAAGTCGGCTTGTCACACTACAAAGTCGCCATCTTTCAGTTGATAATAAAATATTTATTGGTAGAAATATTTTGTTTCCGTGCACAGTTTTACTTTTTAAATTTTTTGGTAGCTTTAGTTTCCAGCTCTATAGAGGTCTGTAGTTTTTTCAAAGTGTCAAATTATGCTGTGCTTTTAATCTTCCGGAATAACCCTTTTCAAATTATATTAATCACCTTCTTCGACTCACTCTCAAATTTTGTTCAATCCCAGACTTACGGTCTTGTCTAAAGTGTCTTTCGATGCCGTGGTGCTTTTAACTCGAGACCTTTTGAAGGGTAATTCAAGACAACACAAACAACAACGGCCACCAGTGTATTGGAGTATTTCCTACACTTTTGTTTCTTCTCTCAGGAGCACAATAAGGTTACAAATTAACATTCTTATTGTTTCATTTCTCTTGCTAATATCTTGGTAAGAAGTATTAAACCAGTTGTTATCGGCGTTGCTTAGCACCCACTCTCCACTCAGTGCACGTATGCGCGCAGGATCTTCCACGCGATGAGACTGTGCGTGTGTATTGCTTTCAAATGGCTTACTCAACAAAATATCCCTAAAAAGGATTGTTGATGTTATTTTTTTTCCTTGAAAAAAAAAAAAATAACAGACGCTTACAGCTTCAGTAAGTCTTGCGTTATTTATGTTACTGATTTAGATTAATGAGACCGTCGTCTGCTACTGTATTTTAATGTTTGTGTCTGGTTTTGACCGGAGCTAAGGATCAAGTACTTTAGAGAACTTTCTCTTTTCTCTAGAGGAACGTGTAAACCATATGCTTGAATTAACATCTGTCAGTATTAAACAGGATACTGCCCAGTCACTGGGGGAGCGCTGTCTCTTTAACACTACCGCTCGCTAAAACTGCGACACGCGTTAATCCCAAAATCCAAATCACATTTGAGCCATTCCTTTCATGTTTTGAAATTTTGAAATAGGTCACATTTAAATCTCTATAGGAGTGAGAGAATCACGGGCATTTTCTATCGAGCAAAAATGTGGTGATCTATCGCCTTTTTATGATCGAGTGATCATTACTTTTTCTTCAACGAATTATGTTTGGACATATACTCAGTGCATAATTAACAAAAAAAAAAAAAAAAGACAAGAAAAAAAGAGGCCGTCGGAACGGAGATTTTAGGTCAGCAAGCACTCATTAGGCTATTAGGGATCTTTAGCAAACCACGACGGCGACGGTAACGAGGACGCGGCTAAACAATAGCTCAGCACGTGCGTCGTAAACGGCTGTGTACATTTCTTAGCCATCCTATGCGAAACAACAACGTGGAATCATCCAAAGTTACTTGGTCTGAGAACGGAAACCCCGACGGCAAATTATGTATTTAAGTTTACATTTGAAACTCAACGTTACTCACACTTATTCCGAAAGCCGTTTACTACATTTTGATAAATATAGAATTTAATCTTCTTCTCCTAGTGTCTATTGTATGGCCTGTAATGTATCGCCGGCTTGGATGATCCGACTGAAACAGATAATCGAGGGAAATCATTTGCTCTTTCTCCTCTTTCTAATATTCTGCGTGTACGTTTTTCACTTGGAAATTCTCTTTTCTACCCTCCAGCCTGGAATTTAAATTAGTGCCAGAAAAATTGATAGAGATAGGTAACCTGTAATGAACTCAGTAGCATTCCATGTGTCTTGAGCGATTGGCAGTGCTCCCAGTCCTTCACTATATAGAAATGGATCGTATTCAGACACAGCCGAATCCAGCGGTTCCTTGTTAGCTTCCCTCCCGTCGTTCAACGCGGCCCCTTTCTCGCTCGACTGCCATGAAGGACTGGCGACATTACCGTAATACGACCACAAAATGATATAAGAAGTCTCAAGAAAAGCGAGCGAAATAAGCTCCTAAACGTCGAGATTCCCGCTAAAAGCATTACCCTCGCCAAACAATATTGGATGCCTAATCACCCATGAGTATACACAAGGGTGAAGCCTCATGTAATCAATTATGTTTATACATTAAGTTATTGTCGACGATAAAGCTTGTGGAAGACACTACAGTTTATTAAATGCTGTGCATCGCAAATTAGTAACTTCAATAGCGAAATAGGTGTTCAATAAAGTTTGTCAGAGGAAGCTGTTTTTGACGAAGAAAGCTAGATCAATTCTGATAATAAAAAATATCCAACGATTTGAGCAAATAGTTAATTACTTGTAAAAACAAATGCCCACGCAACATAATGGATAATGCTTTTGTTAAGTGCATGCAAATTGTCAGCGCTATGGAAAAGGTTTCAAAAAGTAAACAGATTTGGAAGCCTGCAGATTTAACTGTCTAGCATGCACAGGAAAAACAGTCTGCACCGAGATACAAGCTCAGTGCGGATTGCTCGAGCAGCTCAGGTGCGTCTAGACGAGATCAGCGACAAAATAGAGCGAGATAAACACGAAAGGATCAAATCAAATTATCATGAGAAAGTTAAAATATGGAATGAGCTCAAATCGATTCATCGCGTGTTCGAACCACTATACGTTATCAAAGAAAATCAAGCAAGACTTGCAAGAAATCAGCCTGATCTTTCAAAACTGGACTCAAAAACTCGTGGGCATGGAAGCGATGGGATGCGAAAAGATGGGATTGTATCTTTAAAATACCAGCCTAGATTGTTGGAAAGAGCTGAAACTCAGAGTAAACTCAGAGTAGCGGGTTCCGCGCAGTTTAAGTGGAGGTCGCAGAGTTGGTCTTTCCAAGGGTCGTCGAAAACCGAGGCAGAATGCCCACGATTGGCACTACCTCAGAGAACCGAGAGAGAACACATTCCCAAACTACGCAGCGCTTCAGAGGAGCCTCGTATTTCTAACTCAATGTGCACAATCGCATTGGGATATATGGCTTTCAAACGCGTCTTGAAAAACAAGAAATTGTCTCAAGGATTGGAACCCAAAGTTGTTGATTCCAGATTCAGGTCTATGTCAATGCATGAGACAGAACTCAGTGCAAACTCGCGGCTGGTCATGCCTGAACACTCAGAGGCAATTAATGAAAAAGAGGACACTTTAAAATTCTTATTTCCAGCCACATAGAAAACTGTTAATCCACATTTAGTCAAAAAAGATAAGAACGGGCGAAAACCCAATTCTAAAAGGCGTGCTTCGACTTGCGTCAACAATAGACGACAACTTATTTCATCGCTATCCTGGCCGTTAGGCGAGTTACCTGTGGACCCTAAAGGAGTGCAGAAAAGCTTATTAAGCCCTGATCATATTCCACACGTACACAGCCCAAATGTCTCTCGCTCACGTTCTGAAATGTCTGTCAGAAGTTTGCCACAAGCACTGAAAACGGAACGAGTCAAAACGGGAGGAGCTTCTAGCTCAATTGAACAGGAGCACTCACGCGAGAGTGACGAGGAAATCAAGTTCGGAACATTTCATGAATATTTTGGTGAAAAACCCATGCATAACAGGCTGAAGAAACCGCTCAGACGAGGTTCAAAATTGCTAAAACCAGTAGGAAGTGGTTGTTTTAGTGAAAGTTTTCAGGCTTTAACTCACAGCAAAACATGAAATATTGTTTTTCGTTTTTGTCGCAGTGGAAATGGATTTGAAAGGTGTACGTATAGAAAAATACTCTCAGTTATACGATAAATGCTAAAGAAAGATACTAAATAAAGATTTTCTTAACGTTTCAAATTTGGATTGGGGAAACTCTAAATAAATGATAAAAACCAGTTACTAACAACAAAACACTAAAAATACCCGGAAACATTGAAGTCTCTAAAATCGGACATTAGTCACCTTCACTTCGGTAACAAGCTGTTACATATATATTTAACATTTTCGTATCCTGCATGGCGCTCAGAAAGATATAAAATTTTACGTTTTATTGATAGTTGTTAAGCAAAAATAATTCCAGATTTATTTCAAATATTACCCTGACAACTACTACGTTTCCAAGCGTTTAGGGAAATTAAGTCCCATATTAGAAAAAAGTCACGTGACGAATATTGTTCATCGTGAAATTGTTTATTTTACCAATTTGATTTTTGAAAAAACTTTCTACTTTTCCCTCAGTGCTACAGTATTTCGCTAAAATCCTCCACAATTTCATTAACTGCTCTGCAGAGTCAATCAGGACAGACTCTTTGTGTCGAGCGATATTCTAGATCTGTTATGCATGCAACTTCAGGAGATCACAATCACTGCTTAAACTTTCATCAGTGCTTTGAATTTGTCCCTTTAACTCAGCTAAGCATAGAATTGTACCGTTCGACGAGAACTCGGCTGATAAACCAATGTTTACGCCATAATACATAGATTTATCCGATGGGTTGTATTTTAATCTCGACCAATTTAAGGCGAACTGGTGTTCTATTGTTCTGGTACCAGTAAATTCCTGTAATTACCTGACCAGCCAGGGGGTTGTACTTTCCGTTCAGATTACACTGCGTACACCTTTTATACCACCAGGCTCCCTGATGATCCACAGCACAATTACGAGGCGCATAACTATCTGCATCTTTATCTTTGGTAGAGAAGGGAGCACCAACATTGTATGAAAACGCATCTATGCATGAACCTGCAAGTTTACGTACAAACCGAAAAAAAAAAAAGAGAATTGTGAGTAGGGTACTCAGGGAGAGATGGTTGAGCCTTTGGCCACAGTTTCTGACGTTAAACATTTTGATTCAATTTGAGTTACCACTGTCTTTTTTTCGGTGATCGATTCCAGGAGAGTCTAGGGTAGGGTACTCAGGGAGAGATGGTTGAGCCTTTGGCCACAGTTTCTGACGTTATACATTTTGATTCAATTTGAGTTACCACTGTCTTTTTTTCGGTGATCGATTCCAGGAGAGTCTAGAAATAACCAATCCTATGTCGCGAATTCTATTCACGTAGGTATCGGCTTTTTTTAAATTTTTTCCCCAGAAGGGTTAAAGCAACACGTTGAGGAAATGAAATCACAGTACTCCAGGAAAACCACGGTCGAGATAGGGGTTACCTTTACAAGACGTTTAAAGAGAACGCTTAAACCCTCTCGGCTTGATATTTTTGTAATTAAACAAATTAATACTTTGCATAAGGACTAGTGAAATCACAAGATAATTCAAACCTGACAAGAATGCTTTTGGACTCAAATTTTCCAGCTTTTTATAACGTTAATTTAAAAATGCTTCCCCTTTTCCTTATTAGTGACAAAATGTAATTACTTTCAACGGTTTAAGGCTGACTGCGGACTTGTCAGTAGCAAATCTTGGTCAGAAGGAAAAACTTTATCATCATTTACCTGTGTAAGATCCCAAACTCTGCAGACGAAACCCATCATCTTCTCCACTCACGGTAAAGTTTTCGTATTCAGCCCAGCACCAATTCCCATCGAAACTTTCTATCTCTATTCTCAACTTTTGCTGTCGCTGATTGGTCAACCTGTGGATGTTGAGAAGTCCAAGCCAGAATTCTCCCTGCACATTACCAAACCCCTTCTTGTAGTTCATCCAACCGCGGTAAAAATCAACCGAGCCGTTCATTCTCCTCTGAATGACAGCCCAGGGTCCTCCGGCGGAGTAATTCTGACAACAATAGACTTGAAAGGCTCCTTTACCATCTGGATCAATGGTATAAACACCGTCTGATTGACCTCCATTCTTCTTTATTTCTGCGCAGCTCTTAGAAATTGAAACTTCATGGAAGAAAGAGGAACAGAAAATCATTTTGACATTTGAAGCAAAAGTTACAGAGTGAAATTATTTTGAAAGAACCCTTTTAGCCCTTAGCATCTATTTTTCTCTTGACAGTATCACTCACGAATCATACGTCTAGGTCACGAGAATTGAAAAAAATGATCGCCAATTAGATAATCTCCTGATCATTAGACAAATTCTCCTTATCAGCACCTTAGTAAATGTCTAGAGAACCGTATGGAGAATATACATATTGATGTTAGGGTGTAAAGGATTATTACCGGTGACTGTCAATACAAAATGACACCTGCGTGAAAAATATTAAATTCTAATCTAAAAATTGGTTTCATGACAGAAGTCAATACTCTTAATTATGGAAATGTATTGACGAATGAAAAATATTGTCATTTTTGTTTTATGGGTTATCCGAAGTTTATCCTTTCGTTTCGAAGACTTGGGGTGAAATGTCGGTACACTATCAAGGGAACGGTCATTATATTACCGTGGGGGGAGGAGGAGGGGCGGAGATTTCATTTATCTTATCCCCTAAGGCTCTGTGATATTCTAATTATCCGCCTTTACTAGCAGTCAATTTTCATTGTCCCCCATTTATACTCTGTTAGCAACGACATAATAACAAATAATCAGTGGTCCCTAAGATCTAAGATCTGGCTCTTTCATGACGTGGTAAAATATCAAATCTGTTTGCAACGAGCTTCCATTTCTCCATTCTTACCTTGTGCTTTTTTATCGCAGTACGTTCCTGTATAACCTGGCCTGCACGCACATCTGAATCTCCTTCTGTCACAGGTTTCTTGGCAGGTTCCGCCGTTGAGACAGTGACTATTTCCACGACAGCATCCATTGTGGCATTGTAGGCATTTGGTTCCTGACTTTGCGATTAAAAATAAATAAATAAATAAATAAAAGTTTGAAAAGCAGTACAGCTTTGTTAGTTTTTCGTTCCTGAGTAGAATTCTTAAGCAAATTTCGTGTATTGATTGTACCAAGATTTTACATTCAGTTCCATTTCCATGAAAGCATTTGTACCTGTCTTCACAATAAAAACAAATCAAACATCACGAAAAGGAAAGTTTAAAAGTTGAAAAAAACCAGTGTAGGTTAAGTCTCTACTCTGGCCAAGTGGCCAACACAACCTCCTATCTCGTTTCTTTTGCCATGAAGCGACCAGGAGTATTATTACTCCCCCCTGGATGGGATGCTATTCCATCCCAAGGCTCCCCACCCTACCCCCCAGCTCCCCTCCCTTTCCCCCCCCGTATCTCCTAAGGCTTCCCTGACAATTTACCTGCACATATTTATATTCCTGGTTGGAGAGAAGCACTGTAAAGGAGTAAGTTTTTAGCCCAAGAACACAATACAACGAGCTGGCCAGGTCTCGAACCCAGACATCTCAACCCGAAGTCCAGCGAACTAACCGTTATAGTGGCCACCACATCTCCCCCCGAAATAAAATTCCTTAACTGAATTTGCTTTCACTCTTGCTTAATCAAAACAGAAATTTGTTTATCATACCTTAACGTTATACTCAATTCCTATTTCGTGATAGCTAAATCCAATTGTCCTCTTCAATGCCCCAGGTTCCACATATCTGTCTTGTTCATTCAGGTGACAGTTTTTCTGCTTCATTCTTGTTACAAAGTTGAACGACTTACATCGACAGTCCCACGCACAGTTCTCAAAACAGTCCTTGTGACTCTGCACTGTCAGGTTTTTAAAACTGTGGTCATAAAGGGCGTGATTCTCCACACTGTTTCTCTCTCTGGAAAAGCTGTATTGTTTAACTGTACATGGCTTTATTGCGCACATATTTGACTGGCTGCATCCATAGTTTGTGAAAAATACGCCATACAATATCCAACAGGGGATCTTTATCGCTTGCAAAAGAGGCATCCTAGTAAAGATAATATGTTTCAGCAACAGTTCGTGAGGAAATAATGTCTGAGAATGAAATATTTTATCGTCAAAATAAAAACACTTAAAGTTGGAGATGCTACTATGTTTTTTCTTATTCAAAAATAATGCGAAACGTTAGAATTTAGTCTTATGAAAAAAAGAATGAAATTGTGTTCCAACCGTTTGAGTACACATTAGACGTTGAACCTGCACGCAACGACATCGATGTCGAACATATACTTCCGAATTCATTCACTTCCGAAGCATTCCTTCGCCCGAACTTCGGGCGAAGGAATGCTTGTTATTTAAGCAATGGACCACACTTTCTATTGGTTTACCAGCGTAATAACCCACTTGGGATGTTGGAAGAACATGAGTATTGACGGTTTATGAACTTTTCGCGTGTTTTCCCAACATCCTAAGTGGATTATGACGACGGTAAATCGATGGGAATTGCGGTTTATTGCTTTTGTAAAATAAGCTTAAAATGTTTCGGGTTTACCTGTGCAATCAATGATTGGTTTTTGACCAATCAAGGCACTAGTTGTTTCTCAGTCATGTTATAAACCTGTGTTGTTATCATCCCTTTCAAAAATAATAATAAAAAAAAGAATTACCTGTTATGAGCAGGTGCCTGTCATTAACTTTCATGGGACAGTGAAAAACGGGGCTACATTGAAAATATCTACTTCATAAGTGACATTGCAAAATCGTTTTACCTCAGAGATGTGTTTACAATTGCTGTCATATTCCCAGCCTGCAATCCCATTTTCAGGCTCAGTGTCAAGCTTTTGGAAAGAAAATAAACACATTACTTCAAAGCACTTTTCAAAAACATGCCCGTTCTTTGAGAAGAACCAAGATGTCTCTCTCTTGTCAATATTCCATTGCTCCTTTACCGGTTGCACTTGGTCTTGTTGTAAAGAACATTCTCCCTACATGGTTTCCATATCCAAGCTCATGTCATATTTCAATTTTTTTTCTCCAAAAACTCATAAATTGTAATAAGTGGTCTGGCATTCAAGTCTGTGAACATTTCTGTTTTAAGTAAGTATAACTTTTCACTTGTATAAACTGTCTTTATTTCCTTATTTGCCTTTCATTTTCGCGTACTTCATCAAAATCCCCCCTAAGCAAATGCAAGCCATGAGTGTTTGCTTTTTCATTGGCACCACGTTTATGATACAGAATACCCCTTTTTGGATTCAAAAATACTTTCGAATAAACTTCATAACAGAACAATATCACAATTAACTGTAATCTCACCGAAAACATATGTGTATATATAGATTTGTTATTTCACTGTTTTTTTTGTATGTACTCTTTACCCACTGAAATAAAGGATAAAACACAAGTAAAACAATTTGGCCAGGTACCTTTGAAAATCGATCAGGCACTTTTCTTATGTATCTTTCAGAGGAAGCTGGTAACTTCAGAAAATTGCAATCGCATGGACAATACTCAAAAAAAAATATTTAGTATGATACTGAAAATTTTTTTCAAGGTTCCTGGGAAACGCACTTCAATTCGGTGAACTCGTATCATATTACTACGAGGCTGGAAAGATTTTGCTAGACTTATGACAAAGTAAAAATCTTAAGAAATTTCTCTAAAAAATTTGAAAACAAGATTTTCATCCTATTAAGGAAGTGCCTAGGGAAAGCCTAGTCTCTTCATTGCACTAAGAAAGTGGTAAAAACCTAGGAAGAATCTCAACGTATGTCGTTACTTTCTGAAAAAAAATTTGTATTTTGTCTTCCCTTTCGAATAATTAACAGTCATTCGAATAAATTAAAAAAATTTCTTTTTGCGATCTCCTTCGCTTTGAATCTAATGAAATCATTGCTTTTCAAAGAAAATTTCAATTTCTGTCCTCGCTTTCGTGTTTTATTCGTGTGAAGTCAAACAGAAATATCCAGTAATCTCTCTGCCCGTCATTCTTTGATATCTAAATTTCTCCTTACTGACACAAATTTCCGCTATCTTCAACTCTCCTTTGTTGATCGTCAGGGAAATATCATTTCTTTAATACATAACTCCTAAATCCTTGAATTTAGATTCTAATTTTGCTAAGTAAAAAAGATCTCCCTCATCCGTTACTTTCAGTAACACTACTTCAAAATTGTATCTCACCTTCTTTGTTGCTTCCATTCAGTTTGGATTTCACACAAATCAAGGGCATTTCAAGAAGGAAGGAAAAAGTGACAAATTTCAAATTTGGATATTTGCCGAGTCTATGGCTCGAATAAGGTCTGAAGAATCGAGAAGTCCTCCATTAAACTGTTTCAAACTAGCAACAGAATCATTTAAAACTTTTTGGCGTTAACACCTCATCCAAACGAAATGTATGCATTTGTGCACTGAAATGGCTTCAATACTCTTTCTTCAGTTCAGCTTCAAATGATTTGCGCTCAGTTTTATTTTTTAATGTGATGTGGTGGCTGTTGCCTGTAAATCTAAATACTTCTTAAGAATTTAAAAAGAATCTAGTAAGCGATATCGGATACTTACGCCTACTAATCCATACTTTTCGGACAACAAAGTAGGTCTTGCGGAGACATCTTGTTCCGAGTTAGAATAAGATTGTCTTTTCGATACGGCGCTGAAATTGTCATAATAGGCTTATTTTTTCAACTGTAATAAATTTCAAAGTGTGTGTTTTTGTGCTCATGTTTGGGTTGCTAATGGGAAAAGGGTAAACAGAAGCTCATAATGTCACAAAGACTAGTTGTCTCCGTAAATCGCTGAATCTAAGATAAATGAAATGTCTGCTGATATTCAAACAAATATGAAATGCAATTTGCGTAACCGGTAAAGTCCAAGAGGAAACAACTTTATGGTCCTGCCACAAAGCAAACTGCAATTACAATATAGGAGGAAAAGTCAAACCTGTCCTCTGGTTTTAACAATGACAAAATTAGAGAAACATTCATTAGAGCAACCAGAAAGTAGAGAGCTACTCTTGTCAATAAATTGTATTCTTTTTGATACGATTCCATAACACAAAATTTATTATAATAACAATATTTTTTAGTTATCTAGGGTTTTTTAGTAAAAGCTGCGGCTAACGGCGGTCTAACGCTGCCCATAAGACCTCTGTCTGTTTGGGTTTAATTTTGACTTACGGCCCCTTTTCCGGGCTCAGCCGCTAAGTGCACCATCGCCAACCGCTTATGGAAACAGTTTTTGAGGCCCCTGATATGTAATGACAACAAATGACATGATAAAATAAAATTGGGGAGACTACTTCGTACTTGACGAAATCTAACTGTAGGTAATTCAGCAGATTCCTTGAAAGGAGAGATTTATTATAGTTTTATTTTCAAGCTTTTATCTCGAATAAGAAAATTGTGAAATGGAGGGTTTTTTTTGTTGCTAGCATACAATGTAAATATAAAACTTACATAATCACTGAGGCCAAGCAGAACAAAAGTAAGCATCACCACGTGATTTACACTACGAACTCAAAGTTCATCACAAGCAGATAGTCTCCAACGCGGAAAAATAACGTATGTGTCAAGGTCAAAAAAAGTTTTCGATGGGATCTGATTGGTTGAAACAGTGGTCTTAGCTTTCTGGTCCAATCACAACAGCCTGTGAGAACAAGGGTAAGAAGCACCTAGAGCTAAACAGTAAACAATTATTAGATGAGGTTAAGCATGATAGCGAGAATTCTATTTTAAGGCCGAGGTCTGTGTTTGCCAAAGGCCTTGATTATTCTCGCTATAATGCAAAAACCGAATGCGACAATTGTTTATTATGGATATTCCCAAGCGTTCGTAAAGATGATGTTCGTTTGGAAAATGTGGTATTGGATCAATTTATTTCACAATTATTTTATTGTGTTATTTTTAACAATTTCGGAAATTGTATCGTAATAATTGTAAACGAATTTTTAGCAAATGAGTGAAGTGACATTGATGTAAATTAATTGTGGAAACTCCACTTGGAAAAAAACTAGTAAAATAATTGTATTGTATTGTATTGTATGAAAACCATCGCCAGATGGAAAAACATAACTTAATATTAATGACTTATACAGAACCATTATTAATATAAAATTTCCAATTGCTCGTAGCAAAGACAAAAATCAAACCACACCTAAATATTAGAGCCAACGAAAATTAAGAAATTGACATTAATGTATAATAATATGTCAAACTTCATCGCATGGAAAGAGTCTCTGACGCGGGAAAACGTGTGTGGCTAAGAACACAGCGGTCACACGTCAGGCATGTGCGAGGGGATCGATTTTTAGCTAGCCGTGAACAAAACTTGGGCGCAAAATTACAAAAGAAAACATGAGAAACAACCACTATCACTCTTAAAGGAAAAATTGGTATTGAACACCTGAAATAAAGCCACCTAGCTTCTACAACAACATGCGCAGCCGCTTGACCGCTGTGATGTGACCATGCGAAAATATGTTTTCAATTGGATCTGATTGATTGAAATGGGGGCGTTAATTTTCTAGACCAATCACCAGGCGTAGTTGAAGAAAAGCCAACACCAAACCGGATTCTTTTCGTCACTTAATTGAAAATTTCTCTAATTACTTTTGCCTAATTCACATGGGTCTCTTTGGTTTGCTTCAGTTTTCGTGTCTTCGTTTGAGAGTACAAAGTACACCCCCTTTGGGCCTCAGGGTCAAAGCCTCTTCGTGTTTCATATCATCCTGACTAGGACAGAGTGTCAACTCAAACTGCTGCAGCAGCCGCGCCATAAACACTCGAGCCTCGATCTGAGCAAATGTTTGTCCAATACAAGTCCGAGGGCCGAGAGAGAATGGGAAGTAAACAGAGTGTGGAATTTCACCTTTTACCTCAGGTGAAAATCTGTCAGGATCAAATTGAAGTGGATCTTTCCATGAATCTAAATGGCGGTGCATCAAGAACTGACTGATATTCACAGAGGTACCAGCAGGAAAGATGCAACCCCCAATGTTCTCATCTCTGGTGGTTATGCGCGTTATGCCTCCGATTGGAGGGTGAAGTCGCAAACCTTCCTTGAGAGTCTGACCCAGGAACTGAAGGTTGCCAAGATCCTTGTATTCCAAAAACTGATGGGAACCAAGAACGGCTTCAATTTCCTTAACAATTCTGCCAAAAAAAAATAAATTAAAAGACCAGAAATAAATAGAAAAGATAAATATATAAAAATCTAATAATAAAAATTTCAAATGTTTACAATAGTGTAATTACCAGTGAAATACTTGGTATAATTTATCAAGGATCTGGTTGGGTTAATGGAACATTCAGTTTATTTGGTACTGAAAAATTCGAATGGATAAAATTTCTAGGTGGTATTTAAATGAAGAGAATTAAATGTACTAATTTAATTAAGGGTGTTTCTAACAGGTTAGGTTTTTGCCATGGTAACAACCTACAATGGAATTCTAACTATTGGCACAGTTGACATAATGAGAACTGTAAATCTCCCCTTGCCTCCCCACACGTAAAACTCTACGAAAGCTGTAAAAATGTTTGTCTCTGATGACATTGTTACTGGGTAAAAATGGAAGTAGAGGGTCAGCTGCCTAGCCCCAATACACAACCGTAAGCATAGTCTCCATACCGTTTTCTAACCATTGCCTAAGGCCTGCTAAGACAGTTTTTTAAACAGTTAGGAGCTTCTTTAGTTGGTGGTCATTTCCTTTATTCTCATGACCTTAATTTGTAATTCAGAAGTGTTAGTGTCAAGAGAAATTAGATGCTAGTCACTCTTGGGTGTTAAAGGGGTAAAGCAACACAGTGATGGAACACATCTCCTTTTTCTTGAGAAAGAGGTTTCTATAACTTTCCCAAAGTTTTAACCTCTATTCATAGGTAGCAAAGCATGTTACCATAAATGCAGAAATTACAATATTATACCTGTTTTCAACCTCTGGATGCCTCAGTATTTCATACAGAGTGAAGGACAACTGGTTAGATGTTGTTTCCTGACCTGCAATTGAAGGAAACAGTTATCATTAGACAGCAATAGAAGTATAGCAACATCAATACTACACATGTGAACATTAAAAAATTGTGTCATGAGGCACATTCCTTAAATCAGATGCTACCAAAAATTCAAAGAGTGGTACATTTTCTGTAAATTATTTGACAAAGGACTAGTGACACTTAGAAACAAGTGCCAAATCTTAGCATTTTAGTAACAGAAAGTTTGAGTTTTAAGCTTTAAGTTTTAAAATATAATTGTGACATATAAAGATCCTATAGCATATCCTTTCTCTTGTTTCTTACAGCCTGTTAAGGCAGCCAGACTCATTCTTTTTTAATATCACTGTGGCACCGAAATGTCCAAATTATAATATCAATTTACCAGGTATCTACTGTTGTATCATAATCTTTAATTTTCCCAGATACCCTAAAATTAGATGTTTTACAGTCTCTTCAGTAAAAACAGGAAAGTTTTTTAAAGATGAAACATCAATAGTCTGTGCTAGGGGTTTTATTGTACATTAAATGGGAATAGAATCATTTAAATGGAAAATATTTTCATCAAGCAAACTTGTTTGATTGAGTAGCAACTGTGCAAATATATATGCACACAGTCACCTGCAACAAAAAATGTCACAAAATCATCCACAAGATCTTCATTTGTGATACTTGACTGCTTTTCCTTGACACTCAAAATGTGAGCAAGAATATCAAGTGGTGTATCTTCTCCTTGTAAAACAGCTCCCTGTCTATCAAGGATCACCTTCTTTCCAAAGTTACGAATGAATTTAGCTGCCTCAATCACACTTCTTTGATAAGCATATGTTGACAAAGATATTCTCCAGAATGGAGTTCGCAAACTTTCCAGGACCCCTTTAAGACATTTATAAATGGAGGATGGGAAGGGACTATCAGCATCTTGGATTGTATTGACATCAACATTGAATGCAACCTGTTGTACAAGAGAATATGATTGTTAGGCCTTGCAACCCTTAAACAATGGCATGAGACTAATTGTACTGTCAAGTAGAAAACAAGCATCCACTGATGGACAGGAAAGGAAAAGGTACTTGTATAATAGATTTGTTAATTAAACGTTCTATATTCATTGAATGGACATGAAGGTTCACTGTGATTTGTGAATGAAACCAAGCCGATTGATGGATACAGAATGTATTTTGTGCACAGTTACATGTACATAGGTATCTGTGAGCAGAGTACCAACCAGCCTTCACACAGCCAGGGTGGAGTGATGTTAAGATGTCTTATGCATTAGAGTACAAAGCAATAATTACACCAAGTTTAAAAAAAAACAACAACAACAACAACAAATTTTCATCCTGGAATCCAAAACACAAGTCTTTGGGGTATTGATTCACCAATATGGCTTGTTTGTGGTTAGCATTTATGGATCAATGTTATTATCTGAGCAACTACACACTTAGTACCTCATTCATAAGCCAACATTAATCCCACAACGTAACTGTAACTTGTTATCAGTTCACTGTTGTTGGGTTAAGGTAGGGGTAGATACACATTTGCTCAGATACTGACATTGATCCACATTGACATGCATTATAACATAAATAAAACCATGCAGCTATCAACTTAGACAGTGTAGAAGAGACACTCAGCCTCCTCATTTCACATTTACTATTCTGCATTTCAGGTATAAAGCATTCTGCGACATTTCCTCTCCTTTTTTTTTTTCAAATTTTATTGACTCTAAGCGGACTTCAACCATGTCACTGTTTCACTACTGTACCTTTCCGATGACATCAAGAGTAACTCTGGCGAATTCATCCGCCATATTCACAACAGTCTTTCCGTCAGCCATTTCATCCAATTTTTCCAGAAACAGGTTGCAGCTGTCATTAAACGAGGACATTAAATTCATCAAGTAGCGGCGATGAAATGCTGGATTCAGGAGTGCCCTCCGCTTCTGCCACACGCCATGGTCGACTTCGTTTAACACACCGCGTCCGGCTAGACGTTGACCGAACGGGTATCCAAGGTGCCCATAAACGACAGGATTTTTCGGTAAATTGAGCGTGATGATACATTTTCGTACAAGTTCTGGATCAGATACGAACGTGAATGGGTTATGGTAGACAAACAAAAGAACAACTGGACCGTAAATTTCGTGAAGTTTACCAGCGATCTCGTATATAGTTAGTCCTTTAGCTCTTTCACTTAAGATATAAGGCAAGTTACCGGAGAAAAAGCTGTCCCGTTTTGGTCCAGGTAGATGACAATATTTCCAATGGAGGTATGTCAAGTAAATCGAAAATACTGGAAAAATTACTGCAATCAAAACAGCAATCGAAACAACACACCCCCAAAGAATAGCCATAAACGTCGCCATTTCAGAAACAAACTTAGCCAGGCGTCAAAATTGCGGAAAGCACTATATAGCATCGTCCTAAACCAGATGAGCCCACGACATATCAGCGGCATCTTGTATGAGTATCCGCAGGTTACAACGTGACTTCCGCTTATTCTTGTTAAAGCGTATTTTACAGTGTACTCATGGAATAGGAAGTGCGTTTGAGCCAGTTTCTGGCAGATTTGAACAGAAAAGCGGGTCTTTTGTTCGAGTGTAATGACATTTTGATCGATGGCGCTGTTAACGAAATGTTTGGCTGGTTCGTAAGTTGTCGACCTGGTTTCGGTCGATCTGATTAATTGGCAACACCTCTTTGGAAATCCTACACACCATCGACCTAAGCCTCATAGCTGCCAAGTGAGCAGAAGAACAATGACATCAAAATACTCGAGAAAGATAAGTATTAATTTTAATTGCATTTGTGTTAAACTTATATGTACAGAAATTTCTGAAGAGGTACTTAATCAGAAGTTTATCACATGATAAGCCTTCAAACTTGTATTAAATAAATTGATGTACATATTTCACAATTTTAAGATGATTGTGTGATGACAATACACCGACGGTCAACATTCGAATATTCAGCTTGAGCTTCCTCCTAAATGTTAAGTATTTCAATTGAAATTGTAGAATATAACTTATGGATTAAATGTGGGTCTATAAGTATCATCCATGAAATTCTTACAGGCAATTTTCATCATGATATTAAAGCACCACAAACTCAAGAACAAGGAAAAATAATTGGTTCAATATGAGAAAATTTTTTCCAAATTTGGTCAACAGCAGCTGGTTATGATGAAATATGTGAGTGGTTTTAACCTTTCAGAAACAGGGAATATTTTGAATGAATAATAATGCAAATTATACCAACATTACTATCGACATCAGTAATAGTTACAGAATGTTATAATTACAGAGTACTGAACACTGTATTTTTTAAGAAAATCCATTTAAAAAGTCCATGACAGCATTCCATTAAAACAGTGCCAGTGCAAATCCCTCTCTGATAAAATTGTGATATTATAGTCTTGACATTGAGTTTGAGGAATGAGTGCCAGTGTAGCTTAAAGAAGCTCTACATGTAGTACATTTTAGTGGTCTTTTGTTGTGATGTATAATCTTTATTCATTCTTTATATATATTCGACATGACAGTAGAAGCAGCACAGTCTACAGTAGACTGATGATCTGTGTGAAGTTAAGTCACCTTAAATTCCCCACCAAACTTCAGTTTCCTGATTCCAAAAAAAATTTAATTGATGGCCAAGTACTTACCCTCCCCATGGGGTGAAATAAGTGATCCGTAGGTTTAGGAAGTAATATGTAAATATGCTCCTCTGTAGCTATTGTTTGCTTCTTTTCTGACTCTAGGGATGTTCTCAGAAATTTTGACATTGTCTCCCTTCTACTCTTTGTGTTCTCTGAAATCTAACGATACAATGTTTTAATTAAAATAATATTCGAAAAATTGGTTTCTAAAATATTCACTCTGTTTCCATTTCAGGTAAATTTGTTTGAATTCTGCACGACGAAATGTCCAGGTTGTCTTATCATATGTCCACTTCACCTACATGTAACACAAGGCCCATTAGGATTAAGCGCCCTTTATTAGGCTAGTGATCATTCATGTTAATGGTAGTGCCCCCTGAACCCTTATTCAATAATTAAAATAAACTGACCTTATTTTCAGGATACTTGATTATTTTCCTTAGGTGGATCTTTGCTGGACAGTCACATTTCTTCGTATCCTGTACTATAAAGCGCTGTTTGGTGTTGTTATAGCAGTGATCAGCATTCTCCTTCTGAAACCAAATAGATTTATTGGATTGTTAGATAGAGCAGTCATATGGGAATAGTCAAGTTATCAATAAACTGAGAAGTAATGAAAAGTATCCTTTAAAATAGTACTTGATTCCTACCTTATAAACTGCAGTCACAGTGGTCCTTTTTTGTGACTTTGCTTATTTTAACAAATAAAATGTGATATGTCCTTTTACTTGCAAGTGGTAAAAAAGAAAACATTATTGCCTGCTATTAGCCCTGAGGGAGAGGTGAGTGCTCACAACTTGCTTAGAAAAATCAGTTGAGACTTACCACCTTGTTAGCTTAAGAGCAAATAGGTGAAGGTAAATCAATAACTATGTAATGCCCTATATATGATATCCTCTTTGGGAGTCCTTAAGTAATAATATCATCTTGTTTACATTCTTATTTAGTTAATTATTATGCATGCTTACATCTTTTTGTGGTCTCTTGAGCCTCCTTCCTTTTGAGTGCCTTATATCTGTCTGGCCCATTTTGGCATTCTAAAACTTTGACCCCCACAATTTGGAATGGGATGCCATCAAAACTTAGTCTGCATCCTGTCATCTCCTGTGAGTCAGCCCATTGTATACGGTGGTTCTTAGCATTTTTATCTGCATTTTCTTTTATGTGAGAAGAGGAACCAAGCTAAGTTAGCAATATGATACATGTACACAAACACATACGTACATATGTACACATGGGTGCTTAAAATGGAGGGCCTCAAAATCAAGCCTGCCCCACCCAGATGTAGCCCAAGGACTGGTGTAATGGATGGGGATGCTGGCAGCTGTGTGTCAATAGCACTGAGTAGGGTTTTGACACTTTAAGCTTGATGTTAATTAATTAAGCATTTCTTGCCAACTCTTGCTGCAGGCTCACAGTAAATTGACACTTGAAGCTAAGTTTAATTTTAATTACATGTTAATTTTGAAAGTCTAACTGACCAGTGTAAACCGAAGAATAATGATGTGTACATGTATTCTTAAGATATCAATAATTATTGGAAAAAAGTTAAATCCCTTTTTTTATTTTGATTTATCTATATTTCATGTTAATAACACGATCTCACACGTCCCTGGCTTTAAATACCTATAGTGTCTAAATAAAGTTATACTTCACTTTACTTTACTGTCAGTATGGTTTATTTTGTAAATCTTTACATGTGAGCTTAATTACCCAGCCTACTGCAATTTGAAAATCCTCCTGTTTGTTTAAATACAGTGAAGCGTGTCGTCGTAGCTATCTCGTACTGTTTTATGAGTTCGTCAGCGCTGCTTTCATCGTTAACATACCCGGAATAAGGGTCAAACTGTACGGTCCATCTTGAAGCCCAAGGTGTACTGTTATCAGCCATGTTTGTTCTTCTACCAAACATTTAGATTTCCCGCCAATATTTACCCGCGAGCCGCAAAACATAAATGCAAGAGTGTTAAATATTAACTGGACCACCCTTGGCAAATATATTTATTAGTAGCAAATAAGATGTTGAACAAAAACCAAGAGATCATGGTCAAATAAAACGTAAAGATAATTTATTACAAACAGAAAAGAACTGTATGTTTGTTCCAATCGAAAGATTTTACAGTGCAAAGTTATGCAAATGATCTTTGACCTGAATCTGCTTTTGGTCGATGATAGCGAGGTCAGAGGATAACATCGACCGAAACTATTGGGCCGGTCATATTTAAGTGTCGATCCTCCTTTTAACGCCTTTATAACAGGCTAGATTTTTTCTTAAATATGTGATCTAGACAGAAATTAGTTTGTACAAGTTATGGGAAGAATACTTTCGCAATAAAATATTGAAGAATACGACGCTTTATCGTCAGTCACACAGGTCACGGTCTCTTGATTCGCCGGAAACGAGCAGAAAAATAGAAGACTCTCGCTACGATTCCGCTGACGTGTCATGGACTCATCTGGTTTGGGACGATGATATGTATTGCCTTAGGGGTGTTGTCAATTAATCAGATCGACCGAAACCAGGTCGACAACTTACGAACCAGCCAAACATTTCGTTAACAGCGCCATCGATCAAAATGTCATTACACTCGAACAAAAGACCCGCTTTTCTGTTCAAATCTGCCAGAAACTGGCTCAAACGCACTTCCTATTCCATGAGTACACTGTAAAATACGCTTTAACAAGAATAAGCGGAAGTCACGTTGTAACCTGCGGATACTCATACAAGATGCCGCTGATATGTCGTGGGCTCATCTGGTTTAGGACGATGTTATATAGTGCTTTCCCAAAAGTGCTTTCCAAGCCTCCGCGGCCTCTATGTCAAGTCATACTTTTCTTGTTTATCTTCTTATTTGTCTATCTGTTTATTTATTGATTGATTGATTTTTTTAGCAGTGCGATGAGAGGTAAGTGGAAGGGGAAAAAAACGATAAGGAGGCGAGCTGCGCTGTTTAGATTTTGAATGCAAGTCAAATATTAATTGTAAGGAGAGAAACTCTTCTCCCTCCCACTGGGTCAGTTTAGCCCCTTACGTCATTTGCCCGCTGTCATTCCTACTCTTGCTTACTTGGGGCTAGCGTCATATTTTTTTCAGCCACCTATTATTTTTACATAAGGACAGGAGGTGTCGGAGGATTTTTTGGGGGATCACATGGTTTACAGGGGAGAAGAGGGGGGGTAATCAGTCGTCACTAAAGAATATAAAGACGAGTGTAAAGGGGGCACGGTAGAAAACTGGTGACGAAACTAGCTGGTAGGGAATGAGATTTTGTTTAAGCTGATTTGAACGAACAAAGTACATTAAATTGTTGTTAATTCACGTCCATGAAAAAGCCCTGAGGTGGTCAGCAACTCGGCTGTGAAATGTATACCATCTAAATAGTTTTTCGATAGTGGTATAAACACATAACCCCTATATGCATGGCAGGGAGTCAGGGAAACATGAAAATTGCAGCTGCCAATGAGGCCAGATCATAGGATTACTACAGAGCCGTATGAGAGAGTCAGGTAACTTTTGTTGTGACTTAAGCAAAACCCTCCAAAGTGTCCCGGTTCTAACCTAAATATATAAAAGCACCTCGGACGCTAATAAGAGAGGTCAACAACTGTTCCATTTTATATATTCTTTATATTAATTAAATTTTTGGCAATTTCAAGTGGTCAGCAGGTTTGCCATTGGAGACGGTTCCTTTATCTGGATCAATTTTCGGAAGTTTTGCATTAATAGGAGGCAAGCTGGAGTTGTCTTTCCTTCGCTCAGAGACAGGAACGTTGTACACGATGCGGTGAATTGTATTCGCTCGAGCTCTTCCCGCGCTGTCGTTCCCTTCACTTCCGTCGCCATCACATGTTGCTTTACTTTCCCCTTTTCCTTTCTTCTTCTGATCGCCTTCCGACGGATTCAAAGCTTTCACTGCATTTTCAACTGTTGGAAGCCCAAACGTCCACGTGAAATATTCAGACTCGTGTGACAACTTTCGACGCAAAATCATTGGCACATTTTTTTGAGTGCAGTTTATATGCGGTAACGAGAACTTTTTCTCAAGCTGGATAGCTGTAGCACCTCTGTTTCCAGGATTTGTAACCTTTATTTCTTTTGCGATGTCATCAATACTTTTGTTGTCTCTCTGTCGCTGTTTTGCTTCTTTCGCCAGACTGATTTGTTCTCGTTTGATTCGAAACAATTCCTTCCGTAGTTCTCGCTCTTCAAGCTTGTAAGAGATGTACGTTTGTAATTTGGAGCGGTCCAGATCTTTCTTGAGAAGTGATAACTTTTTTTCTCCTTCGTGGCTTATTACCAAAGCTTTCTCATACACGGATTGCCTTTCTTTTCCGGAATAGTCACCAGAAGGCATTATACCAACTGGCGTATTCTGTAAAGTATAGTTCAAAACTGCTTAGTCGCTTTCAACAGGCAGAGAGTAGAACTACGCCGGTTTGACATCTCATTTACGTGTGCTTACACCTTGCATACCCGTCTTATATACTAGCCAAGTTAACTCAAACCCGTTGAGTATCTTGGAACTGTTGCTAAACAGTGTTACGATTCCATAGAGGAAGATATTTGTAAAGTACAGCTGCAAGTGCAAACGAAGCACATACACAAAATCTTTATGTTTGTGTAAATAGCTTTCCCTTGATGTTTGTACAGTTCATTACCCTTTGTTTCATTGTCTGCTTATGTTATTGTTCTGACGATTTTGGATCTTTCATCAATTGTAAGCAATTCTGGACACCATAATCTCGCTAACACGCGCCTCTTGGCTTTCAGTTCCTTTCGTTCAATCGAACATATACCACTCTGTATCGTTCACTCAATAGTTATAATTATTTACTTTTCTTGCTGAACACAATTGATTCCAGCGGCTGTATTTACTTGCTGTTTTCGTGTGCTCTATCAAGTCTAATTCAACAAAAGAAAATAACTTCTTAGTTTGAAAGCTAAATAAAGTAATTAACCAAAGAGCTTTCATTGTCTTTTTCATCTTTTATTGGAATGATATATAGTCGGTACCTTTTGGAGGATTATGTCGTCTGTTGTGTGGTAAACACTAGAAATTGAAATCGCAAGAATTCAGTTCTTATCAGTTGATTAGATTGGTGCTAAAGGTTCCTTGAAAAGTAAGTAATTTCGATCTTTCTTCTTAACTGTTTTGATCTAAAACGATTCTTTCTTCATTTAGAGCCGTTAAAAACTATTTAAGATGATGGTGAACAACAACAAAATTCAGTAAAGCAGATAAAACCAGATTGGTTTTCCAGATTTTTTTTCTATTGTTCAGAATTTTTGAATAAATGATACGCTTGTTTAAACTCTAAGCTTGCATGGGCCTGAAATTCAATTGATCATAGACAAGAGAGGATAGAGAGTGAAACCAATAAATGAGTACTATAAAATACATATATTAGTAACAACTTCTTGTCTCAACGAAACCAAAAAAAAGTTTAGTTCTCAAAATTTTTTCCAACTTTGATTCGGATGTCGTTTCAATAATTTTCAGTTATACCCTCTTTTTTTAGTCATGTATCGACATAACAGAAAAAGGGACGTTATTTGATATAAAGATTTTGATATGGGTATTTCATTATTTAATCTCGTTTTGATTCAATGAAGTATTTGTTTATGAAAGAGCTACCCCACCGTTGGACAGTGATCATGGAACGTTACACATATGTTGGTATTTCAATAAAGAACTGACTGGTACCGCTCATGGTCCATAATGCATGAGCGTACTTTAACCGAGTCAATATTTTCCTGTATTGTTTACCTTTTGCAGTTATGAGCAATTCGTGTATGTAAATTGTTTTGTGTCTTGCGGAATAGTTGACTTGTAGCTATGGTTACCGTAAGCGCTAATCGAACAAAGATGGGCAGAAGACAAAGAAAACGTGTCCTCAAAGCTTACAATGTCTCTTCTATTAATCTCATTTAATCCTTCATTAAGCCGTTTTTCATCAGTATGATACTCCTTTGGGAATCACTTATGGTTACATCATTTGAATTCATTGGTCTGTGAGTAAACTCATCAATTTGGAAGTCATCTTCAAAAAACATTGGTGCAGTATTTCGGAAATTATAAAGATTCCACGAACGCTGAAAATTGACAAAGAAACTACATGTAGACCAAGAATATGTCTTTAAAATAGTCTTCTTGCACCAGTGTGCCTTTTGCATAGTTTGCTTTATTTTGGCATTCTTTAAGAGGCTCTCAACAACGGAACTATAAACAAAGAAAGTTTAAAGAAGCCACAACTTAAAGAAGTCTGAGAACATCCCTGCAAATGCAACTTGAAAGTGATATCTTAAAGCAAACATGAGGTTTAATTTTATATTTTCAAGGAACTTTTGAAGAGCGCACGGAAAAATAAATCACAGAGCTGTACGAACAGTACTTAAAGATTTTGATCTCATAGCGGAAAACCACGTTATAGTTTTACGATGGCTTCTCGAGATACAGCTTTACAGAGCTCAATTGCCTTTCTTCAAATTCAGAAAAATGCGAATTTAAAGAGATCTACCTCGATGAGTGAAGATGTGTTCCGAATTTTTCGTCAGACAGGGCGACGAATTTCTTTGATTCAGCAACAGGTGGAGAGGGAGCGATGTTCTTACTTAAAGGAGTCCTACACGGAAAAAAACCAGCTTTATAAAGAACTCGCGCATATTTTCCATTCCAAGAGAGCAATCAGGGCTCAACAAGGGACAGATGTTCTGTCCTCGACACCCGCTCCTCAAAAGAAACATTCACAAGCTAGTTTTGGGGAGAAATCAAAAGAGGCAGATCTTGGCAATGGTCACAAATGCAAGTCCGTGAAGGAACTTCGTTCGATTAATGTTAACGTATTAAAAAGATGCGAGTGTTGTCGCCGTAGGGCTTTTCGAACCATTGAAGAAAATGATGACGACGAAGATATTTTTGATGAAGAAGCTTTCCAATACGAGAGTCAGTTGCAAACGCTCGATGACAAGTCAAGCGACAAGCCGAAAACTAAAGCTGGCAGAAAGATAAGCCAGAGTTCTAGGTCTTCAAACGAAAAGAATGAACGTAAAGTGGGTAAAAAGAAGACTGCACTGGTGCAGTTTAGTAGGTATGACGATATTCGAATGCCAGCTGCCACTCAGAGAGTTAAGGCAGGAATATGGGCTTTGAAAAAGCAGAATGGTGGGCCTGATGATCAGAAAAAACAAAGTAAGGCAGTGCGTTTTGGAGGAAATGATTCGACGGTGGGAAGTCCTTCGGTTCAAAGAAAGACCTCGTCTGATACTCCTGCTTCGACTGCGAGACCAACACTTAAATCCCGAGCGAGTATAAAATTGGAAAGTCAGAACAACAAAGGTGACAAACTACACCTTGATGGTAACGCATGGTCCACTCATGTACAAGACATTCATGAGAAAAAGATCAACAATAACAATGCAATTAGCGGCTTGTCGAAGGCGTATTGCGCGTTTAAAAAGCTCCTTAACAAGATGGAGGACGAATATCAGGCAAAGCAAGTGAAAGAGGAAGAAATGAGGTCTGAAAGTCGAATTGAACTACCAGGTAGTCGACCAGTTTCGAACATATCAGGGAGCGATTCAAGATGGGCCCCTTTGCGTCGAAGTTCAGACTCGCTTTCTGTTCGTTTGAACACATGGACAACGGGAAGCCTCGAGCCCACCTCCATGAACAGCTTCGAGGAAAATTGCGAGGAAGAAGTCCGGGAAGGGGAAGGCGAGAGTGTGAACATTGGGGAGGATGAGAAAGATGATGGTTCCTTACATGAAGTGTACATTATGCAACACCGTTAGCTGGTAAATGACAAAAACCACAACAGAGACTTAAATTATAACTGGATACTAATTGAAACTTACAGGACGTGAAAGGCACTTGGCATTGCTGATCATTCAAAGAGATATCTCATTTTGAGAATTATTAAATAATTATCTTTGGAGACTTAATTCTTTGCTAAGGAGGACTTTTATTCATAGATTTTTCAGGCCATTTTGAATGCCTATAAAAGAACTTTTCAAGCAGTAACGAATGGGTAGATCATTCAGGAGAGAGTTAAAATATTGCAATTAATTGCTCACAATCAAAACCATTGATAACCTTCCTTATCTGGAATATCGTCAGACGCAGTCATGTGTACATCTGTACCTAAACTTGGTCTTAGTGAAAGCAAGTAGGCTTATGTCCATTAAACTTAAAAAGAAACTTATTTAAGCTTTTCTTTTATACTCTCAGTCAGTGTTATACATTGGTAACCACTTTCAGAATATATATCTCTGCGTTCGTACCGATAATATTGCCACCATGGTACTACAGATCTACGTTGGTCAGAAAAAGTTCTTCTTTGACTCCAAGAGGTTATGACATTTACAAAATATTTGCATGACAATGGAGTTTTCGATGTTGGTTTTAACCTCGAGACGTCCTCATCACTATATGTTTCCGTATGTAAAATTAGTCTCCATCAGATATCGCCTTAAGTATAATCTTCCCTAAAAGGTTCTGAATGAACCGATCCCCAATTGACATCGATTAATCGCAAAGCTCAAAACTTAACTTAAACCTCGAGATTGTGAACCACTTTCCAGGTTCCAAAAGTTCTCTCTGCTTCACGGGATTATAAGAAAGATTAAGAAAAACGAGATCAAAAATTTTCTCATTCTGTTTCAGTGACATACGATCATTTACTCGGAAGACGTCAGTCACAAAACCCAGAGGTTAATCGTGGGTGCCAGCATGACTGTTACTCTCCTGTTTCACCGTGCTTACTGGAAAGTTATATGTGGTTAACCCATCCATTTCAGTTTCCAAAGTTAGAAGTTAGAAAAGACTTGACATACTCGAAAATCCAGACGAACTTGAATTATTCCTTGACCTGTTAGGCTCCTGATAATCATCGTCATTGTCATCGTCATCGTCATCTTCTATTTTCAGAGTTCTCCTGTGTAGCCCGGTTCGCCACCTCGACATGTCCTGACAACTACTTGGTCTAGGCTTTGTTCCTGCTGAACACCAACTCGCCCTTCGTCTTCTTGGGCCATCCTCCTCTGGTGCGCGCTGATAGCCAAAGGACCTATCTTGTTCTCGAGGAAAACTACCTCTTTTCAATGATGTATGACTTAGGTCGCGCACATTCATAAGATTGCACTCTGACTGAGCAATTTTCTGAACATTGTTGAAATTCGTAAAACTCTCCTGAATTTGGGCAAAATCTTGCCTGCTCCCAGCATGATCACTTGACATTCTCCTTACAGGAATCCTTGGAAGTTTTGATGAGGCCAGAACTGGAAAGTGCTGGTGGACCATTAATGAGCTTCTTCCTGAATCATACACTGGTCCATCAGAAGCTGTTCTTGACAACATTGCATGACCGAAGAGATTTCCTTGGCATGAATGGCGTCTAGGGGTTTTATCTCCATAATTTCTAAAGCGTAAGTCAATCTCTGCATAGGTTTCTGAATTCGCACTGGCTGTTACTCCGTCAAGTTCTTTGAGCTGGACTAGAACTTTTTCATGTCTTGTTTCAAAAGCTGAAGCCAGCTCCCTCAATGTTTTGTGTCTGTCCACCATTTCTTAATATCTCTCACTCGTATTGAAGTGACCTCACTTCGTTTCAAAATCGTCTCAAAACACGAGAAACTCAAGATTGGGAACATGTAGTGGTTAGACGAAGTTAGAACTTTCTTTCATGCAAAACAAGACGTCTTGTTGGTTTTTATAAGGTAAAAGACTACCGGTATTGATCTTTCGACCTTTTGCGATACCTTTGTTAAGGTCTGATTACCCGACCAGCTGTTCACCAATGTAGACGAGCTATGATTAATAAGCTCAACTAACTGATTTACCGGACAGCGCACAAAGGAAAAACAATAAGTAACCCGTCATGCGTGCAAAGTGCATTTGTATTTTCTACCGATACCAGAGAGGTACGATAGCGCACGGACGACTTTTATCCATAATGTACGTTTTAGCAAACATTCCCGTAAATCAAATTTGGGGTGATTTGGTTCTAAAAGACAATATTCTTGAAGTTTAATTCCAGATTTAACCCACAGAGTATGCGAAAGAAGACATGCTGTCGGGTTTTGGTTCATCGCTTAATTGCGCAATTCATCCCAGGGCCTATATGAAACTTCTCTCTCTGCTAAGGAATAATGAAAATCTATGCACATGCTGTTCATTGTTAAGCGCAGTATTCAGAAAAAATTTTGTTCTTTCCCGTCGGAGACTAAGGGTGAGGACCAAAGAGTGCAAACCATATCGAACTCATTTAAGTTTCGTTGCATGACTCTATCCAAAGAGACTCCACATAATGGTTCACGGTCAAACAAAGGGTAGAATGGTCTTAATAGTACAAAACAAGCCATTCTTCTGAAGCCTTAGAGCAACGTGACTGAAATTCTAAGAGGGTTTATATTAGCTTGTACACAATTGTTTGTATAACACGTACAAGACGTACACTGATTGCTTTTTTCCTATTTCAGCGTGCCTTTGTTACACGCGATAAATAGTGTTTTGATTTCTTCTTGGACGGTTGGAGAAGGTTTCCTGGAAAAAAAGGAGTTTTTTTTCTTCGATAAAGAGCGCGAGTCAAAATTCATTACAAACTGATCACGCCTAAAGCGTGCACCTTAGGTTTCAAAACAACAATCGAGTTTTCATACAATCCGAGCTTTCATGGTCAAAGAAGATAACTTTGTTAAAACAATCAAATGAACCTCATTTGAAATTAACCCTTTGACCTCAAAGAGTGACTGATATCTAACTTCTCTTTACATTGTCACTCCTAAATCAAACATTTAAGTCACGAGGATCTAGGAAATGATCACCAACTAAAGAAGCTCATGATTGTCAAACAAATTCTCCTTATCAGTTCCTAAGGAAAAGTATAGGGAGCAGTATGGAGAATATATATACTGATGTGAGGGTGTGCAATGTCAAGATTTTACTAATTTTGATATTCTGTCTTCTTTCTTTCACATATATGATTTCTTGTGCAATTTGTTATAAATAGTCACTTGTAAAATTTTTCAGACTGCAAATTTAATGCGCTAATTACAATAAGCATTTATTTCCCATACAAAGCCCTGAACTATTGTTCTTAGCTGACGACTATACTTGGCTCAATAATCTTGGCCTGGTAGCTGAAGTGAGAAAGAACAACTGTCAAACTCGGTTTATGACATACCTTGACAATTAATGGGTTTTAAATTAAATGTAGAGGATCATTTTTTCCTAAGGGCTTCAATTACAATTTTTTATTTAGCATTACCCTTCTATTAGCTATTTTCTATGGCTCAGAATCTTAGCTATGAACTGACCTTGTTGTACGTATGACTAATAACAAATAACAGATCAATCTATAAAAAAGGAAATACTTAAGAAAGTCGCCAGCTAATTATACGAAATATAATCGCTACAAGTCGGATCAGAATTTTTTCGCTACAATATTTAGTTTAAATTCATTCGTGAGACATCGTTCATTCTTCATCATCGTTTTGCACGAGTGAATTTCTTCTCCCAATTTTTGGAAGTAAACTTTGTTTTTTTTCTGATTGATCTGCAACTGTAGAAAATCCTGCGAAACTGCCTCGACGAGTTTGAAAACGGGAGTATAACCTATCGTCTTCGTCATTAATGTCCAGGTTCCTTTTGTGCACCTGCACGCGCCAAACAGACGGGCTTTCGGCAAATTTCGAACAAGATGGTCTTCTTTGCTTCGTTTTAGGAACAACTGTGCGGCTTTTTGATGGGGCCTCATTACCTTGGGCACCAAGTGAGAACCGACGCCTCCGACCCTCTGGCCTTGTCAGTATATTTGCTAAATGATGAGGCTTTTGTTTTCCTTTCCTGGGAGTTTCTAGTATAACATCTAACTCTTTCCCAGCAATATTCTTAGATAAGTCACTAGGAAACGATTTTGAACTTGGCACACTGTACTGCACGTCTACGGCCACAAGGCCAAGAGATGGAAGAGACTTGCGACGCGTCAGCATTGGAGGCGCTCGATTGAACTTACTTATTGCACTACCACTTGATGAATCCACTAAGCTTTGCTGTCCCGAGTCGCCTTTTTCGTTGGAACAAATCGCAGAGCTGTCATTTCCTTTTGTACTTGGTTCGTTTATTTTGTAGTCGGATAGAGCTTCCAACACGGCCTGGAATTCAGAGCTTCTCGAGGAGCTGCAAGAGCTAACACGATTAGAAGTTTGATTCATACGGTCAACGTGACTGTATGCAGCGCCTGACAAGTCAATCTTCAGGGGATTGGAATCAAGTTCGAAACCAACGTTCATCAGATCGAATCCTTCTTTCCACTGAAATTCACCATTGCTGGCAACGCTTGTAATACTGAAAAGTCAAGGAGGACAGTTTAATATTTTAAGAATGTCAACATCGACGCCTTTCCGTCCTTAACAAATGAACGCTATTTTCTGCTATGCACTGAAAGTTGTTTTTTGGACAAAAAGACAATAGATGTATAAAAGGTCTCCTTTCTTCTCCACGATGAAAAGATAATTACGAGGAAACCATCTAAAGAATAATTGTTACCAAAACAAACATCAGATTTGCATACAACCCTCGGCATATATTTAACTCAACGACGTAAAAAAGCTAGACTACATGGCTATTGCCTATAAACAGTTAAGCCCACTTCAGTTTGTAAGTCACGTTTTGTGTTATTTCTGTACCATGTGGACACGTTTAGGTTTGGTCTTATAACCTGTTGGAAACCTGCTAACCTTTTCATCGGAGATTTGATCTAAGCGAATGACAACTAAGATCTCTGTTAAATACTTTTCCGTTTCCCCTTCCCTAAATTTTTTTTTCGGTTTGCAAGCAAACAATTTGCAAAATAATTGCTTTCAGTATTTTTAAAGAAAACAGGCCACTTCGGAATTGTTTTAAAGTTTGGCTAAGTCCACGCCCTCTCTTTGCTTTTGCTTCTTTTAATCAATCTGACTCCTAACAAGGACTTTTAAGGTACCAATGGGAAAAGGCTTTGTTCTGGTGACATCAGAAGAAATTTGAAGGGCACCCTGTACCCTTCCTCTCCTCCCTTCTCACTAGAAGATGAACTCATGTTCGCACGTGCGCTTGAGTTATGTAACTATTCATAGTGCAGGTCCAGGCCAGACTTTTCATAACTAAAATATAGCAATAATATTCGATGTTCCTCCCACTTGTTTCCCAAAATATAGCATGAAGCCTCTGACTTCAATTTTTGCTTTTAACGACTAATTTACGAATAAACCTGTGTCTTCTCTGGAAGTCAATTGAATAAACTTATATAATAAAGGTTAAACAAAGAAAATATCAACGGTCGATATTCTGTTGGGTAAAACTTGAGACCAGGGAGATAAACTTTCATCTCCTTAAGCATCTGATAAGAAGGGGTTTTCAAAAAGTTTGCATTTGATTTGGAGGGAGCCGAAATACATTATTTTCAATATGAGTTGCTGATTCGATACACGTACCTTCCTCGCCCACTGCAGCTTACTGGCATTTTATCTGGTTTCCGATAAATTCACTTCGAGTCCTGGTAAGAAAATAAGCTATAAAGTTACGAAAAGGCACGTTTTCGTGTGACGTTCATGCTATAAACTTTTTCAGCAGAGACCTCTCTGAATACTGTGGAAGTCAAATTGGCGCGGCCTTGTTCTATTAAAACGACCAGACGATTTACCATACAATGGTCCAATTTACAATCTGTAAAAAAGAAAATGTGCTTATTTTAGTTGTAAGGAATTGGCTGAAGGTGACATTTTTTTAAATTTATAAAGCTTTGTCTTTCATATGTTAATTGCACCGTTCATATGCTAACTAGCTTTTCCAGTTTCGACCTAAGCTTGGCCTCAAACTGTGTGGATAGTTAGCTATGCAATGCAAAAATGGCCAACAGTGTCACAGATCTGACAGTTTTGAAACCAAGTAGGTTGCTGATTCATATAGACTGATGGAATTTAAAAGTGTATAAGTAAAAATGTAACCAAACCAAGTCATGCGCTGTACCCATATAATGACAGAATCTGACTTTAAGTTTTTAATGCATTCTTTGCGAAGGCATGGCCTGTTCCTTCGGCGGCAACCTTTTTTTAATCAAAGTCAGGATGCAGTTTCGATAAATCCTCGGTTCCTCTACCGCCGAGAGATTTCCGCATCAACTACTACGACACAGATTGTAATATCACAATTTATCATTAGCATGGGCTAATCTTGGCGAGTATCAGTGACATATTCGTACAGAGTTACACCCAGCTAAAAGATACAATTTCCATGCAGTTACAAGTTATATCAACTAAAACATAAGCAAGCAAAACGTTCAGTTATCCCGAATACATAGAATCACAAATACCATGACGGCCAAATTTCTCAGAATCTCACGCCATGCAGCAGTTTATTAAACTAATGAATAGGATCAATGGCTCAGTGATTCAACATTGGCAAATATGCATCGAGTAACCTACCACTTGCTCTCAAACTTAAAGCAGAGATGAATCCGTGCAAAGAGTTAAAGCGCTAACGTATTCTCCTGAGGAACTGTTCGATCCTGCAAGCAATTTCTAACTGACTTCCTAAGTGCAATACGTTCTATTTCAACAATACTCAAAGACAAAAGGACACAACAATACTCTTTTCTTCTGTGGGTTGCTCCGGTAATGCGATTAGAAACTATGTATAGAGCTCAAAGGGAAACGTGAAAGGAAACAATTAGCTAAGGCAACCTTTTGTCAAGGGAAAACAATATTGATGCCCTACGTATAAACAGATCCTTTAATCAGTCATTAGTTTCAATGAAAATAGAGACCAATGAGTAATTTTGCTGTAATCAATGGTGGTCACAAAAAGATTCTAAAATTTGGGGTGGGGAGGGGGGTTTGAGTGTAAAACAGGGAACGTATTTTGTTTCTGATCTGGCCTTGCCGTAAATTAAGGCAGCAATTGGATATCATTATGTTGTATTTCCTAGAGGGACGCAACAATTTAGTCTTTCTGTGGTGCCAATTGATTTAAAATGCTTCAGGGATGCGTAACAAAATCCGCCATAAACAAAAGATCACAAACGGAATGCACAAAATAGCTAGATACCGCCCAGTTGACAGAATGAGATCGAGCCGTGTTTCCCTATGCGTCTTTTAGATAGGAAGTTCTCGCAATCGTTTTTCTGTAATGTTTCAAATCAAGAGTACATCATCTGTTGTCGCAGACCGCAAAAGTGAGTGTCTCGCCATCTGGAAATACGTGATTTTCTCGTGATACCTTGCATGTCTGTATATTGGCTCAACCTTTCGCGGAAACGTGGCCCCGCAAACCCGTGCGCTTTCAAATCGTGAATTCTTGGCAAGGTTTTTGCTGTTCTGGATTGATTTAGAGCCAGTCACCGGACTAAATTACTGATGGGCCACTATGATTTAATTTGGCTTATTTGTGTGTAATATTGGCCATCCTTTGTTACTTTTACCCTCTTGCAAATTTCTTGAAATCATTTTTACTTTGCAAATTACTAAGAATTTTTAGAATTCTAATTTGATAACCTTTGTTTTTTCGCTTTCTTGATTGCCTTCCTCGAAGTATAGGGATTGAGATCGTTGCTGTTTTTACGAGTAATCTATTTTGTGCTCTGGCCACGAAAGGACGCTGAGCAAACAAGCGCAAGGTGAAATTGCGCTCGCGCAGTGCGAAACTGCGTCATGAAAGCGTGCGTTACGTATGTCAAGCCATTGCTAGGTTTCGGCTTCTTGTGTATGTGTGTTTTCTGCGATAAGTTTCTCTTTTTGTACTTTGGAAAGGACCCGATCAAGGTCTCTGTCCTCCTCCATTACATCATGTTGATTTCTTGTTTTAATTCAAGCTGGGACAAATTTTTCTGAACACGATTGGTATTGAAAATACAAGTACGGTGTAGGTGTCATTCTTGTAAGTGGCCAGTTTAATGGGACAGCTATGCTTGTGTTATTGTTATTGAAGCAAGTATCATTTGCGCATGCTGGTCGAAAGATTTTTGGGTTCAATTCATTTTCTCGTAAAAACGACAAGTGTCGTATTTTTATTTATGCAAACTTTTAAATGCTGAGTATTTTGTTTCTCGAATGTTGTCATAATTTCGACTTATTGGTTCTTTCCTTCTACCTTTCGTAATAGGACATTGTGTTCGTAAATTCCGTCTGTCGTCGTACTCATGATTACTAAATCAGGGTCCAAATTTGTCATTCCTTCGTAAAGTTACATACTAAATTGGACTCCACTCGGTCCTATTGACATTATTAATCGCTTTAAACAACCTCATGTTCCACACTCCTCCAGATCGTAGTGTATGATAATTTCATTATTATTCTTTGTTTCTTTACATTATATTGGCTCAGTAGAGTTTAGTAATTCAGTCAATTGTTTCCTGGACCACAGCTGGTCAAAAGAGTTATTGACGAGCTTAATTGCGTGGACTCTCTTGTTTACTTGTCAATATTTGTCTCAATGGATGCGAATCTAACAAAGGAAGATTGATTAGGCCTCATTACTTTTGAAAACCAATGAGTCGTATAATTAGCAAGGTTTACTCAGCTTGCTAATTATAAAAATATATCTAAATCATTTGAACGTATACTCCTTCGTAAGAAGCCAGTAAGCAGGATTTCGTCACGGTTTCAACAGGAATTACGATTAAAAATTATATTCTAATTAGATCACAAACAAACACAGACTGAAGATGAATTGGATCAGTACCACGGATATCGTAGAGTATGTTTTAATAACTGGAATAAACAAGGTCATTAGAAGCGAATCGAGAAACACTACAAAACTTCTTCAGTCACACTATTTTCAAAAGTGTTTAGAAGTTGTCTATATCATCCGAAAAATAGTGAATTTACAATTCACTTGACTTGAAACTAATTGTATTTAGTCTTCCATTTATTCACTACTTCCAGGCAAACCACGATCCATACTTTGTTGTGTTTATACCCAGCTGTGTCTAAGGAGTTTTTAAACAAATACAGTCTAATTATTTTCCAAAACTCCTTTTAATTTTGGAAAGCGGCTTCCTCTTGCCCCGCGGCTCTGAGACTTGGCTGTCATTTCAATGGCTCTCTTTCTCTCTCTATGCGATGTGACTTCGAACTGAGTTTCTGCTGCAGCTTTAGCGTCCTTAAGAGTTAACGGCACATTAAAAACGATGTTCGTCACTTTTGAATGCCGTTTCATTGCCTTGGTGTCGTTAGTATTAGCGACACCTTTTCCTAAGATTGCTTTCATTTGTTTTGGGTTTCGGGAAGTGCGTTTTGTAGAAGTGACTTTTATTATCTTTGGAAAGCCAATGAGCCAGTTGTGAAATTGAGACTCTTTGGAGATTGAGCGCTTCATTATTTTTGGTATGTTCGGACCAGTACATGTGATAGCTGGGAATGATTCATGGCTTCGTTCTATTCTTAAAGACCGTAAACGCCTTTGCTTCTCTTTTACTGTCCATCCTTGGTAGACTTTCTCTTTGTCCAGTGGTGGAAGTTCTCGAGATTTTGCTTCCCTGGCAAAACGCTTTCTATCTCTGCACATGTTTATCAGGTCTTCTTTGATTTTTCTCTCTTCAAATTTGTAATCAATGTTAGTTTGAACTCTTTCCTTTTCTATTTCTTGTTCGACGACTTTAAGTTTCTTTATCCGCTCTTGAAAAATCGCTAGAGCTTTATCGTAAACTGACTGATGGCCTTTCGATGAAGATCTCTCGCTCATGTTCTATGTATTGAGCTAGTTTAAACCAGTTTGCCAACCGGACAAATTCAGAAACACTCTAAATGAACCTCATTTACAACTAATGAAGTTTGTAAGTCTGTTATTCAAAGCTTAAATACGTTGGCAGTTAGATCTCTAGCATTTTCTTCTAATCCACTTAATGTGACGTACTCAAAGAAAAGACATGGCTTAATAGAGCGGAACTCATTTTGACAACAATAGATGAGGCTTGACAATAATTGTACTCCTTTTGAGGCGACAGATAAACGGAACTTGTCTGTTAGCCAATCATGTCGTTGAGAAATAAACAATAGCCAAACGAAAAGGATCATTCACCCGACGAGATTGAGTCAAATTCAATCCTGAAATTTAATTGCTGAGCAAAGATCTCTGGTCTGTGAAGAAGGCCTGAGAAGACAGTTCCCTTTAAAAAACAAAAAGAAAACATATTTCTGTAATCATAACCAAGAACCTTACAACTACGAGCAGCTCTCTTGTAGTCAATCAGATGGACGTGGGGTTAAAAGAATTCGAATTATGTTTGAATGAGGTGAAATGAACTCAATGTTATTTTTGTATTTTTATGTGGCAGCCAGTCATGTTTGTTTACTTCACACATTGTTGTGATCTTTTGACATTCTTTTGAGAAAAGTTTAACATCTATTTCGGGTGCTGGCCAATTCCTAGTATTCAGCATTTTGAAGGTTTTATTGTTTTATGTCAGTTTCCAATGGCTGACTATTCCTACTTGCTCGAGAAGGCAGTCTGAAACGGCTCACTATTCCTACCTACACGCGGAGGCAGTTTCAGATGGTTGACTATTCATACTTGCTCGAGAAGGCAGTCTGAAATGGCTGACTATTCCTACCTGCGCTAGAAGGCAGTTTCAGATGGCTGACTATTCTTACTTGCATGCATGCACGAGAAGGCAGTTTCCAATGGCTGACTATTCGTACATGCACGAGAAGGCAGTTTCAAATGACTGACTATTCCTACCCGCACAAGAAGGTAGTTTCAAATGGCTGATTATCCCTATTTGCACGTTTGCCGGAGAAAGACGGTTATGTGTTATGTGGTGAGAACTAGTTACCTTTTCACAATGGAGGCGCGCATGACTTAAGCAGCAGATTTTGATAAGTCTAAGTTCTAAAACGTGCGTGGGGGGTACACGAGTCCGACGGCTAATTCTTGCAAAGCCTTAATAACTCATAGCTGGAGTTATTGAAGTTGGACATTGGATTGAATTCAAAGAAGCGAAATCCTAAGGGTTGGGGGTAGTTGCCTACGTCATTCTTCTGTCTATAACCCCTTTCGGAAGATCAATGACCTCGCACGGCTCAATTAGTGCAGGACTTACCGGCAGAGGCGGGCCATAATGTCTCCGCGTCCCAGCCTCCGCGCCAAATTCCCCCATTCACGTATCTTTAACTCTTTCAAAATGAACTTATGAAATTGACCTGAAATAAAATTCTATGCAATTAAAGATGCGAGTTTGTATCCCACTAAAGTACAATTGCCGTCAAAGCACCTTTAAATTTTCCTGTACTTAGAATGTCAACATACACATTAAACTAATAAATATCTTTGCATCTCCGCGAGATTTACTTATTGACTCGTTCGTTTCCGATGAACCGTGGCCAAACTAATTAGCCGACCGATGAAAATTAAAAAATACGCCGAAATGTCCACAGAATGGAATGCGTCTCTCGCTTCTCCTCACAAACGCTTGGTCTGTATTCGATTTTCTTACTTGTTTATAACAGTGTCTCTTGGTCTTCTTTTTTACTTTGGGATAACAGTGGTGTTACCCTCAGCGCAAGCAGGACTTTTTCATGAGACGAGATGTCTCGTAAATTTCAGCGTCTTCGATGGTGAAGAAGTCTGTGATTGCGGAGGCGGTTTTCCTTTGAGTTCCTGCTATCCTTGCCTTAAGATTTATGTAGTATTTAGTACAGAAAATATCTCTACTGGAATAAAAGATATAAAGAGCATGGAACAATCAGTTCTTTACAAAGATGTACTCAACGTTGGCGACAAGGTAGGCCTAAGTGTAATATATAAAAACTCCAATTAAGCCGAATTGAGAAAAAAGTTCGAGCAGTCAGTGGTTTTATAATCGTATCAAAGGTAAATGTATCTAAAACATGAGCTACTGTAAAAATTTTTTCAATGTTCAAGTTTAATTCAGTTTGATGAGCGGGCAAGAAAGATTACCTTAAGCTTCAAGTAAGTATATTTTTATTTTTAAAACTGTCGGCGGGGGAGTACGTATAACAAGAAAATTTGGTTTATCAACCGAGTTGATAATGTAAAGTAGCCACCGTAAAGAGTTTTCAAAGCTGACGTCTCGAGCGTTAGCCCTTCGTTAAAGTGAATGGAGAAGGGCTAATGCTCGAAACATTTGCTTAGAAACGCTTTACGGTGGCTAATTTACATTATCTACTCGGTTGATAAAACCAAATTATCTTGTTATATTAATTGTTAGTTTGTTTTGGAGTGAATTGTTTTCAAGGCTTGATCCTGCTGTGGTCCATACACGGGGGGGCTCAGTAGGTGCCAAGAAAAAAATCACTTGCGTGCGAAAACTAATTTAATTCAAATAAATCAACGTCAAGTCAACCCATTGTGAACGGATTTGAGGTCGCGCGCTAATCTTTTAAGTCGCTACAGTTCTTGGCAACGGCGAATATGAAAATGTTAAAAATTTTAATGTGTGTGGGACATAACGTCAAGTACCGTCACATTGTACCATGTAACATCTTATCATGACACACAGGATAACATCTTTTCACGTCACGTCGCATAACGACAGATCATTTCACGAAGCGTCGACCCACGCTGGGTGACGTCACCTTACAACAACTAGCGGCAACTAAACACAAGTGTTGAGTTAAAACCTTAACTAAAATATTTCTGGGGCCAAAGAGAAAGAAGAGGTACTAATGAAAAAAAAAACTAAGATTTTGAAATGATATACAGTTGTTCTCTTATTCTCAGTCTTTCTCCGTTCAACTCTTTTCAGTGTACTCTTAAACCGCCTTCTTGTTGCTTACGCTCAGAAGAGGAAAATCAAAAACAAGTCAGAGACTACATGGAATTAAACGGGCGGAATAATTCCTGGATATCTTGCTTCTACAATAAGCTTAACCAAACTGAGGTTATTGCGACCAAAGGAAATTACCAGCTGGATATATTTATGTCACTCTTCTGGCCATTACTAGGAATAGCTGTTGGCTTGAGCTTGCTCAAATACGCGAGACGTTTGCAGCCGGGAAAAACGAAGAAGAAATTATCAACAAAGGAAAGAAGACATATTTTAGCTGCGACCACTCTGACTCTATTTCTCAGAGCCGAAGGAGAACCAGCCGTTGCTTTTCAAACAAGAGGCGAAAAGAAAAGTTTGAGTTATATCTAGTATTTGGTGTAAATCTTGATTCTGCTGGCCCCAGCGCTAAATCGGCGATTCTGATTGGCTCTCTTTTTCACCAACTTATAAACTTCAAGCATTCTAATAGCAGTGCGACAGTCTGATTGGTTGATAATCATTCTGCACTAAGAGCTATTATTGCATCGTTTGAAAAAAGTGTAGACGTCTTTTTTTTTTACCGAATAAGCATTCTACGAGGACAAGACTCGTTTAAATATATTGCACCTTTTTGACAAAGATCACCACCAAGATCACTTGTTATATATTTATAAACTATCAAAAGTAAACACGTAAAATCATGGCTTGCATTGATAATGTAGGTGAATGAAAATGGTCAAATTTCTGCAAAATCTTGTCATAATTTCTTTATTTTGGGAATGAAAAATATTTCAATTCTGAAGTTAAATTACACATCTATAGTACACATACCTAACGTAAAATGTACACAATTTCCATTCGCTTCAATTTACTTGGATGACTTTAAATTTATTATCAAAGAAATATTTTCTCGTCTCCTTTTTCAAGAACCACATTCAGTGAAGATTCTTTCCAAAAAAACATTGTAAAAAACGTTAATTTCAAGGAGGACACATTACACCAACGTTTTGAGTGACATGCTTATTGCTATGAAAATCTACCTAAGTAATTTCAGTCCATTTTTTTATTCTTGCTTGCAGCTACCTCCCCGAGAAAAAGGTTACCATTTCCCAGTGGAATTATGATTAAAAAAGGTAGTAACCAAAATAATTTTGCTCTACATACTTAAAAAGACATCTGTTTTATCAAGTATCTGTGCCATGATTCTCTTGTCGTGGGGATTGACTACACGATATATAACTATGCCCGCTACAAAACGTTGCAATTTGAACATATGTATCAAATATTTATACTCTTTCTTTTCTCATCAAATATAGACACTTCTTAATGAGAAAAGAAACGGTTTATATATTTAATTCATGTTTTCAAATTGCAATGTTTATATTTAAAGTGATATCTACAACGATAGATAATAGAAGTTAAAATGTACCAGTTCAAAAAAAATTCGCTCCCGATCGCAAAGATTCCTTACGAATAAACGGCAAAATTTCTAGGTCTCGGCGGGCTGTGTATTTTGTCGTGTAACATCATATGACCCAAGAGTTGAACACGTTGGTTATTGCATATAAGAAATAAATTGTAGCTCAATGACAATAATTACTATTTGAGGGAAAATTTCTTGAAACCTGTCACTGACAAAATCAAGTTTTGTATCGTAATTCATCTTTAGCTCTTTAACTTAAGGCATAGGAAATCAAACTCTATCTTTCGAGTATTATTTTGTAAAGACTGTATTTTAAGACTGAGCTGGGGAAATAAAGATGACGTCTAAGTTCGAGGGAATACGGTTATCGTCGGATGCTTGGTATAAATTTTATCGCTCCGTTGCCATGCGATGAGTTTCCCGTCGGTGTTCAAAGCAAAAAGTTGTTGACTGTCTTCTGAAAAAGTCAGGCTGAAAGAAGATGAAAAAATAACATAATATAACACTTGAAAGAATTCACCTCGTCTTACCAATCTTGATAAATTAGGCATAACTCCATCAATAGATTTCTTTTCCCTATTCAGAGGAGTTCTCTAACATTGTCAAAATGGCATAAGATATCATGATGTATCCATGCACTGATCATTCTAATACACCTACAAAAACAAATCAACGACTAGATATTATGAAAATTGACATACAGGGTTACTAGCCAATCAGAGAGCGACATACAGGTCACGTGGTTAGAAAGGAAAACTTAAATTGCAGAATAAGGACTTCCTGTTTTCATACAAATATTCAATTCTCGAGACATCTTATTCTTTATTGTTCCTGACAGTTAAACACGCTTCATTCTGGTTGACAACTTTATGTGGATCTGAAATCTCCGTTGTAATCATGTGACCTGAATACTGCTCTCTGACCGGTTAGAAATCTTAATCAACAACCACTGAAACGGACAGATGCAAATTAAGAAATCTCAAAACAATAAAAACTACGCAACCTCGCCACTTGGTTGAGATACTGATCAAGTACAATGTCCTGTACGTGGCTTAGGTCCCAAGTGCTCCATAACCTGCCAGAGGCCAGATGAAGAACATTATTTTGAAAGCATAAAGTTAATTTTTGCACAACTTTACATGGACGAGTTAATATCATGAAGCGGAAGGGGGGGAGACGGAGGAGGGGGGGGGGTTTGAGGCTATGAAGAAAGGAAGGGACGGTATCCCCAGGGCAGCATGCTCACCTTATGGCTCCATTGCTTAGTCCAGTGGCGATGACATTAACAGATATTCCCTCAGGTGCAGCGGAAAATTCCAAGCAGTTGATCAAGTACTCACAAGAGGCTTGGCCAATGAACCTACCATTGACTGTCCATAGTTTAATTACGCTTCCTTCCTCTATAGTGCTCTCTTCAGACATGTACTTCACTATAATATAAACGAAAAAGCTGTATATTCTTTGCTCAATATTCTGCCACGCAAGAGTCTGTTCAACTATCTTTGAGCTATGGATGAGTTGTGAGGCAGGCTATATTGCGACATTTTGACTGTTACCATGTTTCTTCGTCACGCAGTCCTCCCATATATAGGTTGCGTTACAACCGAGGTAACATTTGTCAGGGCACCTGATTACACGAACAGTTACATAATTTTTTCCACGCTAGGGAAACCTTCCGCAGTTAAGGAACTCAGTTAAGGTTAGGACATTAGGAAGGTCATCCTTTGATTAAAAAATGTAGTTCTCACTGATAGTCTTGGAGAAACCGGGAAGAATTCTCATTTCAATTCTTGACAACGATCTATCTAAAAACCGTACTTGTATGTGAAACTGTTACTACATCTCCTGTGGTTTTACTGATAGCTACGGCTGCCACGGTGTTGGGGTGTTCCAAACATCTCACGTAACTTAACCTACAGAGAAGGACAAAAGAAACAATTACCAGCAGCTGATGGATTAATGCTTCGAAATACTAAAAAGTGACCTAGAGAAGAAATTGAGGTTGTTGTATGCCTCTGCATGCCAGTAAGGTATCGATAGCTCGGTTGTCAGAGCATCCGAACACAAAAATTAGAACAAGCTAGGATTAGTGTAACTTGCATATAGGGCTAATAATGAAATTCTATTTTTTTTCTTGGTCATCAATGCATCACACAAGCAAGTTAAGAAAAAGGAGATATATGAATGGGGGAACCAAAAAAAACAAAACAAAACAAAACAAAAACATACAGACACAAAACAACAACAGGAAATAAAGAACAAATGATAAAAACATCAACCACACATGTACTGTTTCAGCTTTAAATTCTAAAAAAATTGCCAAAAAAAACTACTACATCATCTACTTCTACATATGGTTTGTTGAAAGTGTCTCGTAGGTTTGTTTGACCAAACATAGAGCAAGTAAAGCAACACCAGACGAATCTTAGATTGCATTCGATACTCATTTAAAAATTTCCCTTGTCGTCCCGATCGCTTGAGTATGTTTTGGGACAATTAGTGCCTTCCCTAAAAATTTGGAAAACAGGCTTTCGCATTATTTAAATTAATATCAATTCCGCCACTGGGACTTGAAAACTGTTACGTCCTAAGAAAAATCTTACCTATTCAAATCCCAAATGATGGCCGTCGTATCCCAACTACCACTGACAACAATACTGAAGGCTTGACACAACTTCATACATGTGATGTAATCCTTATGTCCGTGAAGACGAACTCTCGAACCCAGTACTTCCATACCGGTTTCCTGCAATATTGGGTGACAACATTTGTATTTCGATTCGCAAACAAGAGATACCTTTTAATAGGGCAGCAATTCGAGATTAAACTTTCAATTAATGACTCGCCCATCAACAGTAATTTCTTTCCTAAAAATAGGAAGTATTTAAGGCTTAAATTTTTAAGTTGGAGAAAAAGTGTTAACAAAAAGGAAAAACTATCCATTTTAGGCGTCAACTCATCAGTAACAAAAGCTACTGTCGTGCCGATATTATGCTGCTCACACTGACCTTGATCCTATTTCTACAAGTTGAACTCAGTTTTTACATGTACCAATGTAATTTGAAAACATCAGTTACTGTTCTGAAACTGTTATGCGACGTACGCAACCTGCAGATAAAGGGGACGAGTGTCTCTGAAGAAACTGTAGTGCTGTGTCGCTGGGAGGTATCACAAAAGAATTTGGTTTGAGGTGATTATGTAAATTTGACAACGTAAAGACATTCCTTACTAGAAGTCTTTCCAGAGTTTCAGAAGGTAAAAAGAGTTGCGATAGTAAACAGCGCTGAAGTAGTGGAAGAATAAAAAAAAAGAGAGAGGTTTCGGTCGGGTAATAAACAGATCCGACCCAAACCTCTCCCTTGTTTACTCCCCAAGCTACCTTACTATTACATTACGCTACATACCTTTCGCTCTGACGAAGGGCTAACGCTCGAAACGTCAGCTTCAGAAACTCTTAACATTGCCCGATTTACATAATTTCCTAACACACCCCCCCTCCCCCAAGGACGCAGCACCTCAGTCTCCATATCAACGTTCCTCTTTATATCTTAGTGGTAGCTGCATATGTCGCGCAGATTCATATGGAGCGATGCAATAATACAACCCAGCCCACCCACCAACCCCCCAAAAAAAAAAAAAAAAAAAAATAAAAAAAAATTCAGTGTCAAGATAAATCTTAATGCAGTGACCTACCACAGCTGGGTTGTACTTGACAGGCAGCACTGATAACGTGCCAGTCGATGTAGCGATGAACAACAACTTACATCCGTCAGTCACAACGCAACACGTGATCTACACGAAAATAAAACCCGAATAAAATTCGGTATCAAGCGTTCAGTCGATCAATACATGCAGAATTCCATATAATTAAAACTCTTCTACCACAGGTTCTACCTTGTCAGGTGTGTGGTGTTCCATGAGACAGACAGGCGCGCTTTCAGGGGATGGGCACACGCGTACACCTCCATCCATGTACCCCCAACTCAATACCGCGGACCAAATCAATCTTTCTTCACTCTCCCCTGGCTTTGCTTGGTGCACGGTCAACAAGGTAGAGTTGTGACCCAGGACAAAGACAGAGTCATTCTTGAGACAGACCAGAGATTGAACGGAGGTGTTCAACGGTTGCGTAAATCTCATTGCTGGGGCACCCATAGCCGGAGAACCCACATATTGTCCCCATTTTAGGCCCTCGACTGTGTTTACTGGCTGTCGAATTTCTGTAGAAATTACAAACGTGAAAAATATAGTCCGATTCTGTTTGTGGAATAACCAGAAGATAATTTTAGTGAAAAAAGACTAATCAGTTGTTTACGTTACTAAACACAATTTTAAGTTCATGTTCAAATTATATAAACAGAGAATCAACAAAATAACCGCCAAATAAAACATGATGGTAAAAATAAAGCAAAAATATCAAACACAAAGTACGTTAGAGAAACTGCAAAAAGAGGATTCTTGTTTTTTGGTAGTGTGGAACCAATCGATTGATTATTAATACAAGGAGGACCAGAGCAAGAAACAGTGGATAATGTAAGACCTGTAAACTTACCTGTTAGAGTGTCAACAGCGCTGCCCACAAGAGTGCCAGTATCAGATGACAGTGATGTGCTCAGCCGGTTTAACAACAAAGCACCGTATAGTTCACTGTCCCTAAACTTAAAAGTGTGACTTGAATGACTAACCAAAGAACTTCCCTCCCCGGATGTCGAAGGCTGCGGTTGGCACAGCGGTCGTGGGTTGTGAGGAAATGTGAACAGTTGCTGGGGAGTCTGGCCGTATGTTTCTATCATAGTCTTGAGAGCTTTCTGACGAACAGAGTCTGTAATTGCATTCACATCTACACCATAGTATGTCTGAAAGGTTAAAAATGACACATGAGCCTACTAAGAGACCTGGCTTGTCAGAAAGTTATTGAAAGTCGTGTAAAGCACTCTTACAGACAAAGTTCTATGTTTTTGGTGCGACGAGATTTTAGAACAGTCTACCTAACAAATGAATAACTTGCTGTTCTTTTACTTTTTTCCAACCGTCATAACTGGCTGGCCAAATCGAACCACTCGTAAAGCTAACTAATTTGATGGTTTAAAGTATCTGGCCAGATTAGCATCTTCTTGAGTGGTATCCGTTATTAAGGAGTGTGTTGTGCACCTGTTTTTAAATTGACTGGTTCTCTCGGACAGCCACATTATCGTCGAACACCCTTAAAAATTCTAAAGGTTGTTACTATCGACAAATGCGATGGCACTGACTACTTCAACTTACAGCTGGGTGAAATACGTTGATGGCTTCTATAGCTTCTCGTCCTGTTTGTTTGTAACCAAACACAAGGTCGATCCAGTGGTTGAGGTTTTGCGAAACATACTCCGATTCCAAGGACTGTGGAACAAGTAAATAATCAAATAAACATGATCACTCAAAAATGAATTCTATAACAAATTATTTCATTGTAATTAGACTTTCTCAAAATTTTGCTTCATTTATTTACTTATTTATTTATTATATTACTTATTTGCGACATGTAGACAGGCTGGACCAGTTCAGCTTTAAAGCTGGTTCAAATGATGGCCTATATGAACAAAAACTCTTTGCGAGAAGTGCGTGGGTTCTTGAACGTCCCCCGCTGATCAGTACAAAGAAGACACAGGAGACGGTTTATCTAAGGTTTATCACCCTAATCCAAGAATAATGGAATTTCTAGCCATTTTCGGATGCCTTAACAAAGGAAGCACATTCTCATCAGTTATTGTAAAACCCTGAGTGTTGATCTGGTCTGGGGAACGAACCAACAGTTTTTGGACTGGTCCACCGTCTGGGGTCTAGGATCGATGTCTCGCAACTCCTTCGGCTTTTATCGTGTCAAAATAAGAAGTAAACTGACGCCATTTCACAAAGAAAATTGCCAAGAACGGCAAGCAGAATTCGACAAAACACAAGAAGAAGAGCAGATAAATTCTTTATATTTTTTTTTATATATTTAATCATCAGGAGTAATAAGTTGTTAAAGGCTGCTATGAAACAAGATGGTCGTACCTGTCTGTGAATCAAAGTGAAGAGCCTGGTACTACCTTTAGCCCACAGGGGAACCTCTACATTCATAACCCGTTGACCATTTTGACGAAGGCCAAAGTCAAAACCTGAGAGAATCAATTCACCAAATTAACTTGGCTAATTCGTCCTTACTTCTGTTTAACTTAGTGGTAGAGATTCTGGCTGTTGATGGAAAGAAGGTCTTCGGAAGGAAGCTTGAGAGTACGTCAAAGCAATTCCAGGATTCAAAGTTAACCTTGTATTTGATTTCTCTTGTATAAAAGAGCATTGTAGAGTTAAGGTTTAGGAAAAGTTCAACTTATTTTTAGGTAGAATTGCTTCAGCTCATTCCGACCTTGAGAAACTCAAACCACGTGGCTAATTTCCTCAAAGATAATCGTGTGTTTTCTCTGTATTTTACTTTGTCTCAAATAAACCTCACTTATCTTCCAACACGGTTCTAGTCTAAATGAAGATTCTTCAAAAATTACAGTAGCAACGATTTCATTTTCAGACCTCAATCATTGACCCTAACGCCATACCTTCGCGGTTCTCAAGGAACTCTGGGAGGAAAAAGAACTCTGGAATGAGCTCTTTGACATCAGTTGCAGATTCAAATGACGATAAACGCCACGTTGTTGCCATAGAGTGAAACGTACGATCAGGAATATCAAAATTTCGATCTGCCAAAGAATAAAGAATCTCCATTAAACAAATAAACAAAAAAAAAACAGTGAAAACGCCAAAACATCGAGTAATTTTGCAAATTACTAGACAAAAAGGGGACAAAAAGGAATCAAAATGGAAAGGGAGTGGGAACGGGACGATTTCATTCAAGAGTACGGTTACCATTTTTGTTTGACTTACCTTGATATTGTAGAAACATTTTAGTAAACGGAGGCATTCGAACAAGAAAGTGCAAAACAGTGCCACTGTTAGAATAATGGCATCCATAATGATATGGGGCAGACATTGGATCTTCTTCCTCCATCCGTTCATACTCCTCTTTTAGCCACTAAGACACAAACAGTCAAACGTCACGCATTCCTCGTCAAGCGTTCCGCATTGCGAATTCCACACGTAAAGACTAACAAACACTTTATCAGAAATATCTCATTCAGTCTTAACTCAAAGACTCGACTTTGTTCTTAACTACAACAGCATGAATTTAATAACTTTTTCCATGAGCGGCTGCCAATGATGTTATGGGTGATTGTGTCCGAAAATGGGGCCGTAAGGCGAAAACCAAACACGAGAGCCTGCGAAACAGACAGCGGTAACCGGCTTTGAACAAAACCCCTGCAACAGCTACGTGAAAACTAAACGTGTTAGCTTTACGTGCTTATGGAATATTTTCCCTGCACCTCTTTCGGTATTGCTGCCTCGACATCGATACAGTCTGACCGTGAAGTAAAAGAAAAAAAAACACTTACTCTAAAGTTTTCTCGATACTTCCGTTCCTTTGACTGATTTTGAACGGCAATTGGACGAGAGAGGTCACTAAAAATAGAAATACCTTAGTTATATTGTTAGCACATATCCAGTATGCATCTTTTGCCAAATAGGTCCCTTGTAGAGGAATTTAGTTTTTTCAAATGAACAGGCAATCAAATCCACCCCTTTGATATAGTGTTTTCACTGCTCAGTGTTAAAGTTGCCCAACATTTATCTGCATAACTCACTGTAATCGAAATATATAAATAAATATATATAATTTAAGTAATAAGAAAACAACTTATCAATACCGGAAACTCGTGACGTCGTTCAGATCCAGGACCTCGCTTCCAAAGTTAGCCAGCACGAAAGGGAACACAGGATACTGCATGAGGTCATTGAACGAGCGACCTGCCATCTTGTTCAGCTCTGTAAGGTACTGAAAGTTGGTCATCTGTCCAATCCGCCACCTGGTTAGAACAAGTGCAACACTTTCAGACGATGGATTTAACAAATCAAGAAGTTTTGACTGTACTCTGTTCTGCTGTGAAGCATGCTCATGCAAGAAGCGGCTAGAGCACGAAAGAAGTGTAGGGGAAACACGAGAAGTAGTCACTGCTTCTTGAGAATCATCGAAAGCGTTCTGTTAGGTAAGGATAACATTCCTACTAACAGACGTACCTGTTTGTTAGAGCCATTAAATGCTCGTATTGCGGCGCTTCGTAACATGGCAGATGTCTCTGTTTAAACTGTTCCAGTACTATTTCGCGGTCCTAATAAAAACAGACTTTAATCAAAAGGTTTCCTTTCAGAAGAAAATATATTAAACGGGGATGAAAATGAAAGATCTTAAAGTCTTTAGCCCCAATAAAAAAAGTTAATTCAGTTAACAATTTTAATTAAGCAGAACACAAATATTTGCGCCAAACACGGTGTTAAAAAGTTATAAAATGAAACCAAAAACGAAAAATAGGTTTTTGGTGAAAGTAAAAGGTGAAAGAAATTCGACATCCACTCAAAAGGTCTCTGGTCTGAACGAAACTAATGTTTCTGGTTTACATAAATTTTTTGAGTTCGCTTCACTGGCGTTTTCATGTCTGAGGATCATCAATGAAAAGCCAGTTAAAATGAAATTAACTTAAAGTACCTCTTTCGTGTCAAATGCCAATAAATACGTCCGGCCAGTGGTAAGGAAAATCTCCAAGCCATTGTCCTGTCATAAGTAAGAAAGAGTAGATATTACGTACCTTAAGCAGTCAGGAAGGCAACGCCGAAGAAGACGTCAAGCAAAAAATTAGCTTATCTAGTTAGTTACAATTTCGTCAGTGACTGGAGGTGTTTGCTGTCTTTTACGGTAAACTTCAGCACAACGTATGTGAGCAGCATTAAATTCCATATAAAAACTTGAATAATTTGCCGTCGGTTTCCATTCTCGGGATACACAAATTTTGGTGATTTCACGATGTTGTTTTGTAGAGGACGGCTGGAAAGTGTACAACGTGTTAAAACTCTCGTGCTGAGCTACTGCTCTACCGATGTGATCCTTTGTTTTACCATGTCTTCGTTGCTAACGCCATCGTGGTTTTCTTAAGGTCTCTATGTTGTTTCGTTAGCGTTAGTTCGTACATCAAGGTGTATCTCTCGACATCTTTGTAAACCGCATCTCATAAGTTGAGCCATTGTGTACATTATTTTGTTTTCATAGCCAAATCTAGCGGATGTTCCATGGCTACAGGATAAATCTTTCATCCACATGACAAAACTATCTTTCATTAACACGTGCCCACCTGAAGGCAATATCTCCTAGTTCGTATTTCTTGAATTTCTTCGTAGAGCCAGGATATGGAAATGGCATCCTTATTGCCTAACAAAATCTTAAAGAACAAAGAGAGAAGTGCAATATTCAATATCACTCCTTCAATTTCTGAAAGCTTCAGGTCGCTGGGGAAAATTTTAAATGTTTCTGCAATTGTTTAAATTTAAGCTCACATGGGTAGATGATTGCTTTACTAGACGTGCCACATATGATATCAAGAGAGAAAATAATCCTACTTGTGTAATGTCTGTGTCTCTCTGCGTAGCCTCCTCACCCACAAAATACATGTGACTTTCACCTGCAAACAAAACATTGAAAGAAAAACTGATAAACCAGTCCCAAAAAAGACTATCCTTTCACATCAATATAGTGTCAACTTTTTTTTCCATTCTCGTGTCAGAAAATGGCATGGGACAACATAGGAAAAATGTTTGTTACTTACCAATTAGAAGAACTCCTTTGATTTTACTGTCCAGCGTTATGTTCTTACAATGGTGAAGAAAACTGGTGAAGCAATTAAAACCCATAGAAACAAACACATATCAAAAGAAACCCAAAACTAAAACAAACAAACAGGCCTTAGTATGTCTTTAACAGCTTGGGAACGATTGAAACAGTTTCACAATGGACATTTTCAGTTCAAAGCATACGAAAAACTGACAAAAATAATTCATTGATGTGAATCACTTCTACGATTTCTTTAAGTGTTTCACAAATCAATAACCTGAGATTTTAGTCATTAACAGTCTACAAGTGTGATCCACCATCAATCTCTGGTCATTCGTGAGTTGTTTGAATCCGTAGCGTCTCACTGTTTTCCCTGCACTTAGGAAAAGTTCAAAATTCGATAAGATATCTTCAACTTCCAAAGGAAGCCTCCACTCACCGAATGGTATCAGGAGTGTCAAAGATATAGTATACGTTTTTCTTCATTGAGGTCGTGGTGTCTTCAAACAGATATGACAACGGAGTGCTACCGCCCTTTGTCTCTATAAAATAAAAAGGGCGTGGCTAAGATTTTGACTAAGAAAGTGTTTTAAGAACGGCTCCTGGAGGTGAAATGCACTTATTCAGAAAGCACCTCTATTCCATTTGTTCATCATCCACAAACATTTTGTGCTACGGAGCATTCGGTTTTCGGCTATTTCGAAAACAAAGAAAAAGGTTAAGGGTTAAGCATGACGCTTATAGTAAACAGCGGACGACGGAAATCTAACTTCTCTCCATCCGCTTTCAGCCGTCGGCAGTCAGGGCGGCGACACCGAGGAAGACGCTGCCTTACCGTGAATTTAAAGCGGAGCTCGTAAAGCGCGCAGCAAAGCCCCAAACTTATTAAAACTGTAAAAATAACAACCTGTCAAGCCGAGAAAATTTAGTCAGTCACGTCAGCGAATGTCCAGGTACAGTTCGTCATATAATTTTTTTCGTTAGAAGTCCACAAATAACTGAGTGTATTTTCCACAGGCTATTGTTCAATGATCGCAACGTTTCGACTGTTACAGTAGTAGTCTTCGTCAGACGACGAGGCAAAATATAAATCGGAAAAGACAGGTAGAGCGATGATCGAGAGAATTAAAGCACATGAAAGAGGCAGACGGCTTGCTTGCACTCTGTGGTTTCAGAATAGGTCAATAAAACAGGACACGTTCTTATTTGTAACTAAGGTTAAATTTAATGACTATGACCCTTACTCATACACCCGTAACGTTCAAGAAGTCATTCGCGTGAGAATTAATCCTAATGAACACCGATGGAGACAAAGTGATGAAAATTCTCAAAACGGGGATTTCCACGATCAAAAAGCACATCAACCGATCAGTAACAGAGCGGACCGACTAGTCGGAATAATAATAAGGGCGGAAATGTACCAATGAAAAACACCGATGAAAAAAATTTTCTCACTTTTGCCACAGTATTCCTTCATAAGATACTTCTCTTCTACGTCCAAATGAAACCGCTGAAGGCGACATCGCACACGGTCTGGGCCCTCTGTCGGGTCCAGTTTCCAAGATGAAGGAAAGTGCTCGACATCGTACCACACAGATCTAAAAGAAAGTAAAACGCGCATAGCACGAGAACACTATTTAAGGTCTTTTACGAAAATCAATTAATTCCTCAAGCATGTTATTCCAAGCGTGGTTATAGCTATCTACTTCAAGTTACTTAAAGATATTCTTAGATTAGACTATCAAAACAAAAACAAAGAGCAGCAAGCACTGCAGATTACAAAGAACAAATTTATCAGCAGAAGGGGTTTCAGCTGATAGAACACCGTACTCTGTCAACTAGCTTACAGTGAAATGTTCGGGGAGAATGTTACTACAAATCAAATCTTGGGAGCTTACGCTACAAACCAAAATTTTCACCGAATGATTATTGGGTATCATTGTTTTGCCACAAGAAGAAGAGTGATTTCGGCTTACCGTTCATGGATAAGTCGTTCAATGAGTTGGCGCCATCTTTTACGAATCTGGACCTCAGCAGAAAGCGCATCCCTTGCATGTTTGAGCAGGGCTTGGCGCTTTGTGTCCTGAATCTCGACCACAACTCTAGTAACATCTTGAGCAACCGCTGATATGGCTTCACTAAGCTCCTCTGTTCTCTTATCAAGTCTTGAAATAAATTCAAAGGGATATTTGCAATAATTCACGAATTTAAGGGATACTGTATCTAAACTGCTGGTTTGTTTCGGGTACTTTACTTTGCCATAACTCCTAGAGGCCCGCTACTTTGATAAAATGTTTCCACGAGTGGTGATTGCTTCCCAGTGCTTGAATCCTTAATTTTGACCTACCTGTTCTTATCAAAAAAAGTTAAATTACATCTTTAAGTTCTAGGAAACCCCGAAAAGTGGGTGAAAGAAGAATCGCTTTGAACACAGTATTAAAGGGGAAAATGAAAAACTAGTTATAAAAAGAGAATATAAAGAGTAACCATATTGAGATGAATAGTGAGTTCCATTACCTTTTATAACCATCACTTCTCTGTTTTTGCCATTGCATCATACCTGTGGAATCCCAAGTCTGGAACTGAGATATAAAGCAACTCTTAGATAAAAATAACTTTTAAATTGAGTAAAACGCGTTGAGAGCCGGGAGGATGATCATCAGCTGGAGCACAGGACAGGCATTATTCGAATATTTCGCACACTAACCTCCTCGTCATTTGAAAGTTTGCTGTCGCCAACGTTCAAGCGCATAGACTGCAGGTTCAAAGACAACATCAGGTCTTTAAAGTTCTCAGCGTTCTTTCTCTGTTCCTGAGTGAGACCAGGATCATCGAGAATCTTCAAAACATATACTGCTGCGCGTTCACGGAGCTAGAAAGAGAAGAAGAGAAGAAAAAGGAGGTGAAACAATTTCCAACTGAGTATCGAAAATGATCCAGGATTGCTTTTGTTTTGCTTTACTTGGCATTGTGTTTAATTTGGAAACTTAGCACCACCATCTCAACGAACTAAAATCAATCTAAACTTGGTCATTCGCGTTATCTCCGCTCCACGAAAGTTGCCTGTTTTCATCTTTACCTTTGATCCTCCACTGGTTCTCAGCACAGTCTCTATAATCTTTTTAGCACGTCGATGGCGGACGAGATTGAGCGCGAAACACGACAAGTCCAAATCTTGACTTGGATTCAACATGAACACTAGAAGTTTGCCCAGCTGAAAGAAACAGGACAACGACGCACATGAAACTTTGCCTGTTGTTGTCGAAAAAGTTATAGATCTGTAAGTAAGTGTTTTCAGAAAACAATGGATTTACCTGTGCTTTCAAATGATCTTTAGAAACGATGAAGAGTTTATAAATTTCTCGCTTTCTTCCATCCTTGAGATAAAACACAACAAAACTGAACATGATCCTGATAATTATTCACAATTTTCTATTAGCTAAGTAGAATTGTAAGCCAAATAAATTATCATTAAATCCTTGCCTTGAAAACTTGGGCCTACTACTATTATACGAGCTATGAAAGTTGCTGGACGATCGCAAACAACGTAAAGTTATGTTAGCAAAAATGTCGTTAAGACCCAGAATTTAAATAGTTTATAATTCCAAATATCTCGAGTAAGTTAAACTATGCCTAGTGGGACTGTTTGAGGTGCCTACATACCAAACAAGCATCGAAAATTTCCAAAAGTAAACTAAACACGAACTGCGCAAACTCCTTCTCAATGGCTGCTCCGGCAACTCGCACCATCCCTGGACGCAAAGCCTCATGGACGTCCATCTCGACAGAATCGAAATGAAAGGCAATGAAGTCCTCTGGGAGAAAGAAAGTCTTGCAGTACACTATAGAGTTCACGGCCAACTGGCACGTGATCTGAAAACGCCGCGTCTGTTCATTAGAATTTGCACTTGTTGGGGACTCTTTGAGCTGGCTCGGATCAAGGCACAATCTGAACTGGTCTCGATCCAAGTTGATCCAAGACGAGACCGGAGTGAATGCGGGAACTGGGTCGACGTTATTATCTAGTCCACGAAATGGTAATCTGAGGGCACATAAACGTTGAAAACTTAAAAAATAGCACTCTCTTTATGATAAGCGTTTGTGACTGTAATTGCAATATGGTGTCTGCAGTTAATATTACCAAAACCAGAACAAATATGAAGGTCCTCTTTCGATAGAATTAAGCTTTTAACAACGTTAAAAAAAGCGTCCTTGAGAGAGTCTATTCGCATGCACTACCACTGTGATAAATAATAATATTATCAATATTAATATGAATAATAATAGTAATAATGATAATAACAATAATATAAATTATACACTTAAGCGCCCAAGGTAGCACTAACTATCTCCAGGCCAGACTAACTGTAATTTTTGTTTTGAGAATTAAAACTGAATAAAAATAGCTGTTGTTATTGTTGCTGCTTTTGTTTCAGTGTCATTACCTCAAGCCAGATGGTTTTATCTTCTTTCCTCCCATAGGTCCTTCCCCTTTACTGACTTCTTGGAAGAAATGTAAGGCCACTTGAATAGCGAACAAACGAAAATATCGAGCACAGTATGATGTAGAAGGATCGTGATCTATGTAAAAGAGAAAAATGGCATTCAAACTCCTGCACGGAAATCAACTGAAACACAAACATTTTAAAGATGAGACTCACCTCTCTTTTTGTGATCCTGTTCTTCCAGGTTCTCTAATGCGATCAGCATATCTTCAAACATTTGAAAATAAAGGTTGCCGTTGGTGCTGAGTTTAGAAGAAATGAAACTGTTAGGATTTACTTAATGGACAAAACCTCTTAACTCTAATTTTCACTTTAAACCTGGTTTAAGAATATTGATAAAAAAATGAGAAATTGTACCGACGTCTTCATGGGTCTATTACGCTTCAAATAAAATCATACACGCTAATTTGACGGACGTTTATCTTAGTAATTCTCTCATTTTCGTTGCATGAACAAAACACTAAGCTACAGGATCAATTCCTATCAAGTGGATAGCGCAGTACAATTCTCTGCTCAATAGCATTTTATCGGTTGGATCCGTCGCTTGAGAAATTGGCCAAGGATTACAAAGCAAACAATTTAATGATAGGTCATAATTATCTGTTACCTGCATGCTTTCCTAACAATACACACAACAAATTGCTGAAAGTCTTCCATTACTGCATCTAGGTCTGGAAGGTTACTCGGATTCCTGACAAACCTAAAGAGGGGACCGAGCAAATTTGCAGTATCAAGGTAATAAACGGCCTCACATTCAATCAAGTTATGAAGACTCGGTAAAGCTACCGACTTCATAATTGGAACTGGAAAGAAGTCAAGTCCTAAATGGGCATTCAACCCGATTCAGTTTTATCGTCTCACTCTTGTGATAAAGTTTAGCATCTTTACTTGATAACATATCTTATCTACTTAATTCCCTTAATAAATCTGTGTTATAGCTTTAGCCCTCCAAGTATTTTGACTTCTAAAGTTAGCCTTCCTTCCAAACAGTTTGTTATCGGCGGTCTATCACTGCCTATAACAGCTCTTACCGCCGTCTGTTTGGCGTGCGAGCAGGCTCTCGTGTTTGACTTTCACCTAAAGGTTCCCTTTCGGGACACAGCTGCCTATTACACAATCGGCAGCCGCCATGGAAAGAAATATTGAAACCCCTGCGTGGCAATAAAAACATGAGGCGAATAAATAATTATAATGATCAAAACAGACCAGGTTACAATCTTCTACCTCTGTTTGTGTCGTAATGTGCAAAGTCCATAGATCACATTACACACAGTTTCCAACAACCCGTGATCGACAGCCTGAAGGCACAGGTCATCCACTTTGATGAACAGCTGGCACAAATGTTGGATCAGAAGATGAAATAAAGATGGCTTTAACACACTGTTCTCTAACAGGGCCATAAGAGGGACCACGCCCATGAGGCGGACAGAGGAGGCCAGGTCTCTGTCCTCTGCCCCTGAGTAGTTACTGTGGATAAGCACAAGATATAACGAATAATCATAAATGATAAATAACAATATAATTAATAATCATCAATGATTAATACCAAAAAAGACAGACCAGACTTTGGTTTAAAGAGAGTAACAAGCTCCTTAAGAAAAAAAATTATTCAATTTTCTATCCGCAGAAAGAATTATTTGTTACTGCTTTACTCCCGTTACTAAGAGACACTTCTGAGTGGAGGTCTCCGCAGCAGTTTTGGTTCCATTTACATATCTGCCTGTGGGAAGAGGCAAAAGGTTTGTATATAGATAAGTTGAACTTACTAGTCTTTGTTCAAGTCAACAGGACGATCCACAAGAAGCGACAGACAGCCCTCTATTAACAGCTTTGTCACCGGATGATCATGAAGCTACAACACATAAATAAGAATTGTATATGGCTTGTTATATGCTAAAAAGAGATCACATTAACTAAATGAAAAGCGTTCGCTGATACCGTGGGAATTTAGAGTGCCGATTTGAAAGATAAATTTTTGTTGTAAAGATTTGCGGCTTTCCAAATTAACTAGATGTAGGGAAAGGCCACAGACCGTCACATTTAGTTTAGAACGTACAAATAAGAAAGGAACTATGCTTTTGGTAAAACACTGTCTCACCTGGTTCGCCAACAGGTGGAAACCGTGGATTCTTAAGAACTGCTCACAACGTTTAGGCTCTGCCTTCTGTAAATACTGGAAAAGAATCTGAACCAGAGTATAGTAGATTAATCCTCTGGTAACTTCATAAGAGGAATGCTTCAAAATAACACTATCTAACTAAAGAAATACTTGCTAAAATCTTTAATCTTGATGGCCTATGACACTGGAGTACAAAATCCCAAATATAATAATGGAATTTTGGAAGATCCTCTGAAAAATTTACTAAGACAATCAAAAAAGGTCCACAATAATCACACAAAAAAAAAACCCACCCTGATGGCAAGTTCTCTGACATTATCTGAATCGTGATGAGCCCACACCAATATGTATTCAGCTTTGAGAACCTCGCCAATCACTGCTGGCACATGCTCCGATGGCAGATTGAACAGTTTCTTCTCCAGTAGTTTCATTAGACCCAATCTCAGTGTTATCATCACATCAACGCCTTGTATGCTGTCTGAACGAGTGGGGCAGTAAGTCCTGTGTGTGACACAACTAATGTCATGAAACTCAGCCTCTGGATTCAAAATTCCACCTACTTCTCTTCCCTTTCCCTCCTTTCTTCACTAAAAAGATTTCACCGTACTTTTGAGGAGTTTCCAATTGAGTGTCAAACGTAATTCATATTCTTTAGTTTAATTTAACTTAGCTCTATGATTGGTCCAGAAACTCGTGTCATCCTCTCAAAAAATCATATGCAAACTAATGAAAAAGTCACATAGAGTTCTCATTGGTTGATGATATATAATGATAATAGATCTTTGTTATGATTGATTGCGTTGATTAGTTTGGTTTTGGTTTTGGTTTTTCGACATTCATTTGGAAACTGAACATTCTATGAAAAGCTATGTGAAGATAAAATTGTGCAATTAAGGATATTTAAGACAGGTCTTGAAGATTAAGATGCCTTTCTCCCTTCAACACTTACCTTGTACTTGACTGTATCCCAGGGAATCCTTCCACCACCAGGTAATCATCATGGGAACTTGGATTGACCACACTACTTTGTAAAGAGCTGAAATCAGATTCGTTTATAAAATCATACTCCGTGGGATCAAAACTAGACTGTCCATCGTAACTTGGGACTGATTCATAGTTCCTAATCACCATTGGGTTGCTGCCGGAAATGGTGCGTACTCCTGGGTAAGACATGCCCAAGGGTGTGCCTGGGCTCGTCAATGGAGAGGGGCTCATTCTGGGGTCGGGTTCTCTCAAGTGGCTCTCGTGCAGCACAAGAGCACTACTACACAACCCTTCACCGGCCTCTTGCTTTGGAACGATGACACGACAGTTTCTGTCTCCTTTAGGCACGGCAAGTCCTCCAGTAGGTACAGAAGCCTTGCCAGAGCTCCCAGGTGCCACCTCCATGGGGACGCTAAACTGAAATACATCTTTGTCGTCCCTTGTCCCCTTTGACGCCTCACGAAAATTCCAGTGAAGTTGGCTATCAGGTTCTAAACCTGATGCAACAGATCTGCTGAGTTCAGTTACACTCCGGGATGACTTCTTCAAAAGCCTTCCCTTTTCTTGATCATTCTGTAGATTGGCACGTGACCTTTGCAAATCTTTGCTTTTAATAGACTCAAAACTAAGTGACCGGTTCATTGGGTTTCTTGAGGGGTTCCTCCCTGGGCTGGTGAACTGAAACGGTCTTGGTGAGTGTATCGAGCGAACTGGAGCGGTAAGAGGAGAAGAAATCGAGCCACCACTGGCCGCGGGCAAAGAACGGTTTGAACCCAGAGCTGCCGACGCAAAAAGAGGGGGGCTATTTGAACATAATCTGAGGACAACAGGTAGTAATCCATCTGGAATGTTCAGGAGAGGGACAAGTTTTCAGAAGAGTGATATTTAGCCGCTACATAGCGAATGCTATCATACCAGGAAACAATAAAACAGTGAATAAAAGGGATAAGTTTCTAAAGACACTGTGGTGCTACGTCTGTGGGAGAGTATAGCAGGTAATTTAGCATTGACAACTGAATTAAAAACGTAAAACGGCCACCGTAAAGAGTTAAAAGGCTGATGTTCCGCGCGTTACCCCTAAGTAAGAGTGATTGGAGCAATCGCTCTAACGAAGGGCTAACGCTCGAAACGTCAGCCTTTTAATTCTTTACGGTGGCCAATTTACATTTTCAACTCAGTTATTAAATTCAAGCATAATTGTCTTTTTCTCTTTCTTCTCTTAGCGTCTGAAGAGGAACGCTTGAGAGCTTCAGGCTTGTTTGTGAAAGGAAGATCGAAGTACCAATAATAGTTGCGAACGAAAGCAATCTTTAACATCCCGTCTTAAGCTCTTAGGAGTCCAAGTGTCTTAGAATGGTGTATGGTGGCTCCACAATTAAGGTTGGGAACGAAACTTTCAGTAGACTATAAGGGGGGGTAGTTAAGTCTGCATACGCTGCATACAGAACCCAGCCTGTAGATGTCACCGAGCCTTATCCTTGTCTCCATAGCATGAGGTGACGAAGAGTAACGTTACTTCCCCTGAGGGAATGCTGATCCTTTAAAATTAACACCCCCCCCATCCCCTCCCCCTCTAACCCTTACCTTACCACTAATACCCATTCTTACCCTTGGTGAGCAGTGGAACTCAGAGTAAAGCGGTTTGACCAAAAAAAAATTCGTTGTGAAGTTACGAGTTCCTATCCGTTAGGGAGAAAAAGGCCGTTTTTCTATTAGTTAACTATGTCTTTTGCAATCATCTTTTTCAGGGATTAGTAGGAAGAAAGGAAGAGGAGGCAGAAAGTAGGCTGGCTTGACTATCTACAACGACATAAACGTGTTTTACATACACGAGTCGAGAGAGTGTTCCCAAAGATAACATCTGCTTGGTGCATCCAGTCGAGTGGTGTCCTTCGTCGGGTGAACGGCAATAAGGAACTCACAAACAGACTTCAACACCGTTAAGTCAGGCGGATTACCCATGATATTCTGTATAATATTCACATAAGAGGAGCTTATTACTCGTGGAATTTCCTTGCACTCTTCACTCTGTCTCTCCTGTGAAACAACAATAAGATGATAGTCACACCACAATTCGAAACGCAGCAATACTCTGCATAACTAAAGTTAGGTCATTGTGCGGAATATTTATACCATTAAAAAGTCTCTTGATTAAAACTTTGAACGTCAAGCAACGACAAATCCAAGTCAAGTGAAAAGCGAAAGTTTCTCAAGAAAGTAACGAATGGAATACAAAATCAGAAAAAGTTTCCCTGCCCCTCAATCCATTTCATAAAATGGCGAGAAATTCTAAAAGTTTTCAATAAAAGCCACTTATGAGCGGTCTACCGCCGCCTAAAAGACCTTTCACGGCCAACTGGGCACAGCCGCTCCTTGCACCATTGGTAGGCGCTTGTGGAAAAAGTTATTAACATCCCTGTAAATAACAGGACCGTGCCCTTTCATGTTGGGGCTTTATATCTTGTCACCTTATTTCGCTAGGTTAATTCACATTAGTTCATGTTATCAGCGTGTAGAAGGTGGGGTAGGGCTCTTTAAGGAAACATGCAGTTACCTACACAACACTATCGGAAACCTCCGCCAACTGAGAGAAGGCAATCAGTAAACTGCCTTCCCCAGAAATAATAAAGGACGCGAGAGTTGTCAAAACGAATCATGCGTCTTGCAGCCGAATAGTTTAAGACAAAAGAAGCTTTCAGTTTCAAACGAGAATTCTTTACTGCACTTCTGAAATAATCTCACCTGACATCCAATCAGGATTTGCTGCACGAGCTGTGCCTTCTGGAACTGAATGATGTTAAAAGTATAATAACTGTGGCTTCCGTGCACCAAAATTTCAATAGTGGCCAACAGCATTTCCAGTACGCCTTGTTTGGCCCTCTCCCATATTTTCCAGTTAAGCAGGAAATGCTGGAAAATGGCGACGTTCCGAACCACTGCAGTGGAGTCGATGTTCAGCATTATAGGATCATCGGCTAGATTTGTTGGTTTGAATACATCGCCATTACAAGCCGCTTCCATAAGCACCTAGTGTGAAAAGAATGGAACTGGTTAAGACTTGCACGAGACGTGCGTATCTCGTTTTCATATACCCGGCCAAAGAAACAAAACGATCATCCAGTAAAACCACAAATTGCCGTGATACGGCCGCCGTCTTCACTTCAAGCGCACGAATCTGAACTTTCAACACATTATGATACAAAATAATAATAAGACATATATATTTGTGATATTTTCTACTGAATTTTTGGAATCGACACGAGAACGAACGGTCTACCGGGCTTTCAAGCAAGAGATTACGTAGAATTCATTCGAGTGGTTTTTAAACATAAAACGATTGCGTTCTACCTTTTGAACAAGTTGCACAGGAAACGGCTGTTACCAATTGAAGGGTAGTGCTCATGTACTGGGATCTTACTACCCAACAGGACAAGATCCGGCATAAAGATAAACGAGAGCGGTTCTGGGTCGTTTATCAAAGAACTCACCTTCAGTGTATGGTAACCAATCTTACACTCAGGAGACAGCAGAATCCTTTTTAGCAATGCAAACCCAGACTCTTCGGCCATGGCACGGGCGTGAAAGACGGAGAAACTCTGAAGCGACAAAACAACTGACAAAGCCTCCGCTTGTGTTTTTTCATTTTGTGTTTGTTCCACCACCTGTGTGGAGAGATTTTCTCAGGCTTAGCCAGTAGGAACCTTTTAAAGCAGTCACAATGGCAGCACCAAGAAAAACATTGAATGGTTCCAAGAGTTTCCTGTTTTTAATAGCGCTGTGGTTTTCGTTAAGTCTACAATAAGTTTTCAATGGAGAAGAGTTGGAAGAAGTAGTGTTTTAGTAAATACCTTACAAGCTGGATAGATAATGAACCGAAAATTAGTTCAAAGAAACTTCGTCAATTATGTTCGTTAAGTTTGACACATAAATGGAAAGAACGATGATGGACAGAATAAAACAAACGTGTGTTCAGGCCATAACATCTCCTAGATGACCTTTATTCGTTTGAAGTCGTCTCTACTAATCTAGTCTCATATCTGAGTTATTTATGTTGTTTTGAAACGCTGGCTCTTAACGTGTACAAACCTTAGCAAAAAGAAAAATGAAGACACCAATTCCACCGACATCATGAGCTGATTCCAAAATGGTCTGTTGCCGTTGAGATTCGACATCAGAAGTGACCCTGGCATCAACTTCCCAGGGTTCGTACTCGCTTTGTTTTAGTCTCTGGTCAGTGATATTCATAGACGCTAGTCTTTCTTGCCTTTCTTCGCTGGTCAACAGCTCAGAATACTGCTGGAATCGCAACGGACACATAGGCGAGTACACAACAGCGAGCCGCTTCTAAAATGTAAATAAACATACCTCGTCTTTCAATAGAAACGGTTACAGAAGTAAAGAACGCTACACCTTTAAGTCTAAGAGTAACCAACATCTTGTTTCACATTACAGTGTGACCACTGAATCAAACAAAACAGTTACGAGAATAAAAGGAAAATGATCACCATTTTAAGAAGCTCTTGATTGTCAAAAAAATCTCCCTAACAGTGCCATAAGAAATGTTTACATAAATTCATGGAGGATATGCATACTGATGTTTTAGGGTAAAGTGTGGGGTCGTGCGAGCCTTGTGCCTCAACATTGACAAGGAAGCTGGTACACTCTTCAAAGGGTAGGGACCCATTGTGAATGTGCGTGAGAATGTATTGTGAAAGTGTCTTGTCCAAGGAATCACCACAATTACGTTAAGGACTCGGTCGAGTGTCAAGCGCGTAAATAATTTGGTTGGCCTTCCTTCGAAAAGACTATCACATTGCGTAGATTGATTTTTGCTTTGTACTACAAAACGTAAAAATAGATTTTAATTTCATTTGCATTAAATCTTGTACCTTACCTTAAGTGACAACTCGAGATCAGGTACAACGACATGAGGACTCGTGAGAAAACCGGGAGGTAAGTTTGCCGCGACAGCTTGTTCAGTAATGGCTAGACGAGACCATAAGTTAGCTGCTTCCATGAACAATTGCGCTGAGCTAAAACAAGTATCATGATATTTAGAACAATTACAAGCTAGAAATTCCATCTTAGTTTGTTATTGGTCAGCACTATTTAACGAGGAATCATGTTTTTTTTTTTTTTTTAATTTCGTGCGATACTGTCTTCTTTTTTAATCACTACTTATAAAATTTAATAGTATTAAAGAAAGACTTTGGCGGGTTACAATAAAACACTAACACTAAACCAAACAAGTGTAGGTGGTATTATAAATAACGATATCATTCTAAAGGTTAAGTGAAGAGAGCAGGGTAAGTCGAAAGTGAAGGAAAACTTTGCTAACCACTAAGACAGTTGAGTTGAAAACTAAATAATTCCCTAATACACGTTACTTTGACACATTAAGAGACCTCTACTGTCCTCTATTCAGTCCGGTCCACTATCACTACAACAGTGTTTGTTTGTTTTGTTTTTTATTTCCCAGACGATTCCTTGTAGTTTGGGTTGCAGGGGATTAAGCACCTGTCTTTAGAAGCTGGCGGGATGGCCTCAAGACAAACGTTGTCTGTACGCCCTAAGCTACAGTACGTTGCCAACTTACTCGTTTGAGGTATGACTTGGTAAAATGTTGAAGTCTTTACTAAGCTGCCCTATGCTTGCGCTGTTTGGTCCAAGGGAATACAAATAAAATGCTTCTTCTTTCTGTACCAGCCAATCACTTGATGATGAGGATTGCTGCTTTGCGGGCTTGGAGATTTTGAAAGGTTTCTCTGAAACGACATTACGTGCATAATCATTGTACTACCGTTGATTTCAGTTGTGAAGATGAGGGTCTGACCAATTCAGTCAGATCATTTGCAGCAACGTTGAAAACTACAATGAATCCCAGGATGTTTTATTGCTCTAGGGAAATGCTTAAAAAAGAAACCACCAAATTCAAGGAATTAGACTCCATCAAGTTCAGAATTCGAGGACAGACGTTCTACCAACCGAACCGAAGAGAAACCCATTGGAAAACCGGCTTATATAGCAGGTCCTAATGAGAAAATTGACCTGCACACTGCCAGGATCAGCAATGTAGTATTATTTCCAAAACCCAACATACCCCGTACTTTTATTTCTGAATCAGCTGTAAGTTCTATCTTCTGCTCTCCTTTCCGTTCTAACTCTATAGACTTAACCTACCTGCGAAAACAAACACACTGCCAATCTGATATCCCTCATGAAGAGTTGCCTTTGGAGATTTTTCGCCGTCGCCATAAGTCACATGACCAAGAAGCAACGTCGACAGGGTAAATTTGGCTTCCTCGTGGTATGGGAGGGGAGGGCCAAAGTCATGAACCACTGATTCCGTTCCATCCACCACTATGAGGAGCTGTGGGAAAGAAGTTTAAATTTCATTTATATATGAAAGATGCAGTAGTTGAATAAAAAAAAGTTGTGTTAATCGTTTCATCAAAAGCGTTAAACAGGGAAAAAGTATTTAGTGAGTGTCTTTAGCTAGGAACTTCTAATCAGTAGAGACCACTATTCTACGATAAAACACTTAAGTTCCTAACTGAAACGTTCCAAAAAGTGTTTCTGGTGTTTCTTTAATCTTTGCTTTGGTCTACCCCATTAAACTTTATAAAGGGACACTTTTATTTAAGGTGCGATCTTGAAGTCATGAGGGTGTCCCTCAATCATACAAGTAAAGACTCAGGGGTTCATTTTATCAAGGAACGTCCACCACTAACCTACTTCTTATACAACTTTTAAAGGCTTACTTCTGAGGAAGGTAAACTATCTGCCCCTGTATTCTTCTGCTCTTCAGCCAACACTTTTGGCTGGGTAAAGGATATGACCAGATGGTGCCATTGTCCTTTAGTCAGTGCTGGTAAGCTAATCATTCGTTGCTTTAGCACTTTCAGAGAGCCACTGCTGCTTTTGGGGTTCTTGGTCCATCTACATTGCCATCACCCAAAAACAAAAACAAAATCAAACAGACACACACACACACACAAAAAACAGTGTAAAAGTAATTATATTGTCTGCACTCGAACCAGAGAGTCCTCGCCACCGTTCACAGCTGTCCAAACACATAAACTTCCGTGCAGTAGTCGTCTTTGCTCCCGCTTTTTTGCCGCCAAGAGTTATTGTGGTAATTGTGTGGATGATTGATCGATTAATTTTTTTTTGGGTCTGTTTTCCCCCTCTGACATTCTCTGATAACCCATACATACCTTATGAGAACTGCTTTATCAGATGGAAATGTCCAAATTTCAAAAAGGCTTTTTCCAGAACCAACCGAACACAAATGGACGATTCTCTCCCTTCTAGAAAGCATCGTCCTTTCCATAGAATTTCCTAGCTGTCTCTGCGAATCTTCGCTTGGATGTTTGAAGACGTCGTCCACTCCATTTCCCAATATGGGACTATTCAAGCAGATCCACATGGCAACGCTAAAGCCCCTCTCAGAGCGAGGAAGCCTGCCCTGAAAAGGTAGCTGGACAGCAAACAACTGAAATGGCGAGGGTAAATGAGGCCGCCCTTGAAAGTGAAGTACCTCTGTTAATTCATAGTCAGCAGAGTAGCACGATGCGGTGGGGGAGCTTCCAAGTTGCTTTCTTGTACTTCGCTTGGAACTCAAACGGCGCTTTGATCCTTCCATCGTGGACTTTGCCTTTCTATGGTCTCTTTTAAGGTATTTATCAAGAGTCTCAGAGACCTGAAATCTGCTGGAGCTTGCAGAGCTACCACTTCGTATACTGTCTGTCTCACTGGACTTGTCACCGTCGCTTGGTTGTGGAGAGAACGACGCGCTACAGTAGAGAAAAGAATCGTAACATTGAGAAAATTTTCAGTTGTCATTCAGTTATCCAGGTAGATAGCATGATCAAGATTTTAGCAATTTCTTTCGATATCTTTTTTGTCAATAAATCACAATTTCAAATGGCCTTCGTGTGTGAAACTTTGACATTTCTTTTGGAAATACGCACGATAATTATTCAAATGCTGACGTAACATGGAAAACAACATTTTGCATAGATGTAAGGCTCACAAATAGCGGCCTGGGTACTAACATTTTTAGAGACTTTTTCCCTCTTATTTCCTTCCCTCTTCCACTGGAAGCTTTACCACTCGTACCACCTGTTGTAGCTCTTTGTTCCGATTCCTTGGCTTTACATGGAAATGACATCAGGAAAGCAGGACCAGGATTGGCACTGGCTCTTGCAGCAACCTCCGATAAAGCTGAAGATAATAAGTGCTGAAAACCACAAAGACAAATCGATATCAAATATTTTCATTATGTGCATTATAAATAGAATGCTCCAGTTGCAATGTAACTTGAATTGAACAAACCCACAGTTGGCTAACTATGCAGTCAAAGCAGTGTGGTAATGCAAAGGAAAGCATGTACGGTGACGAGGTGCAATTCAAGCCTAATAACAGTATTGAGATCAATGGCACATAACGAAGTTTTTTCGCTATTTGTAAGTTTGTAGCTATGTTTTACTAAAAGATTTTATACTACAGAACGTTGTCATTAGCCAAAGTAATGCGTGTCTGCCGAGAATGGACGAAAAGTACCACTAGTGGAACTAGTGAATATTTCTAAAAGGAGGACGTTTTATCCATATCTTGCCAGGCAAGTTATAAAACACGACTATTATCCTCGAATACAGAAACATGAAACGATAGGAGTCAAAATCAGCCTAGAAAGATACCGAGGGATGTAGATCAGGTTTTTCAAACGATTATTGACAATCCTTTGAAATCATCTCTATCCGTAACTATTTTGACAACGTTTTGGTTTGGTTTTACTTCTTTCGAGTTGTTTATCTTAAAGTAATTGTTTTCTTTAACTTCGTAAAAAGATACAAGAAATTTCAAGTGATATGGCTCCCTATGAGACTTCCTTACCACAGGAGGATCTGTGGAATTAAACAATGCCAAGAAGTCCCACAGTTCAGCGGCTGTGATGTTGTGACAAGCAAGACAAACAAACACCTCCATCACAAGAGTCTGAAGACCTAAATTAAGTAAAAGTAAACAACAACATGAAGTTAAAAATCAAAAGAACATTGTTTTACCAACTGAATTATTGCACGGTAGAGTTGAACAGAATTCATTTAAAAAAACAAATAAACTTCCCGCTGCGCGGGTAAAACCGTGTTATCAAGTTACGATTGATTTTAGTTTTGCATTTGCTTGCTTTAAAGGATAGCGCGATATATTGGACCAATCCCAAAGTAAAGAGGAGTGAGCGAAAATACGCAATCCCAGATTTCTTTCAACACTCAACTGAAAATTGCTCTATCCAGCAACGGCAAAAACATTAAAATGGGAGAGTTAAGAGGGCGAGTAGTGAGGCTTCGGAGGAAAAAAAGGATCCACCAGTAGTTCATTTCAAAAAGATTTTCCTCTATAATCGTTTGTAAAGAATCAGTTCCGACACTTAGTCGCATTACAGGCTGGCCTCTATCAGTTGGTATTCACAGCCGCATATTCTCATTCTCAATTCTTCTAAGCAAAAATAACTCACTTTGTACTGAACCCTTGTTCCGAACGGTAAAAGCGCCGTTCGACTACATTTTGTAAGTTTTGGTGCGTAAAGTCAAACTTGAACTTCCCAACAGATACCGGTAGAATAAAGTTACCAGTAACTTAAGTCACTGAAATAAAGAATAAAAAAGCCTTGCCTTTTAGTGACTGCTCCTGTCTAGTCATTACATCACCGAAGCACTCAAGGAGCACCCCAACAAATCCCTGTATACGAAAAGAAGGTGGCGTGAAATATAGATCAGTAAGAGAGTGAAAGACAAAACAAAGATATGCTAAATTTAACTCTGAAAGAGCAAGTTCAAAGAATGTTAAAATATCTTATATAGTGTAAATATTGAAATTAATACGTAGGTGTCAGCGTTATCAAAGTTATCTATAGTTCAGAACTCTCCTTGTGCAGATCGTATGATTTCACTTACATGTTGACAAAGACGCCGACAATTTTCTTCACAATCGTTGAGTAGAAGAAGAAGGTTTTCAACAGCATGGAAAACCACACCCACACTAAAATGAGGAAAAGAATAGGAGACATGAAGAAAAGGCGGGCTCCATTTTACCAACGATCTACATGTACAATGGCGAATGATCTGTTTAAAGCAATACCTTTCTTCGTACTTCTTATTTAGATCCTCAACGACCAACAATGATCGTGACTCTGTAAAATCAATTACAAGTCAACTGCAAGTTCATACCTCTCAGATTCTCCGGCTTTAACTCTGCTGCCATAGCACACCTGCAATAATTGAAAAAGTATATTGCAAATCCGTGGGTAAACGACCAATCCCTTCAAAATATGTTCAAGCTGTTTAGGAAATTGACTTCGTTTCTTTTGTTTAGGCTGCTTCTTGCTATCGGGAGATTTCCGTCCTGTTTCATCGCTCATGTCGGAGTCAGCTTCTTGATCTGCATCGTAACCTTCCTCGAACACTGATCCGCCGCCTTTTTGGTTCCCATCTGTTTCGTCGTCATCATCCTCCAATAGATTAGACCACTCCTACAGCAAAGAGCGATTGACGTATTATCATTTTTGCAAATAATGAGCGGAGTCCTGAAAAAAGTTATTTTAGCCACGCACCCCTTTACCACTATAACACACGTAGAACTTTCCTGTTCGAATTAATTTCTCCAAATTCCAAAATTAGATCACGAAAGGTGAAAAATGAAGTAAAGGAAAGGTTTCTACCACTTCCCAGACCTCTTTGCTCTCTAATACTCATTTAGCTGGGATCATTTAACCCTACAACAACTTAAAATGCCCTACATTGGCTGGCAGATTGCATTTTTTAACCAAAACTGTAATAATGCATTGGCTTATCAGTGGAAGGTAAAACTTATTACAAAAAAAGTCAAAACAAAATTAAGCAAGCACTTTGGATCAGTTGACATGCGCTTCAACAATTTTGTGCAGATACACATCGACAAAAAATCTCAGGCGAACCTCTTGACTATCCCCATGGCTTGTCTTCCTCAAAACGACATCCTTTTGTCGTCTAATTTCCGATCCGAGCAAAACAGAACCCTCTCTCCCCTCCAGCTGCCACGTCGATGCTTTGAGAAAACAATCAGTCAGTCCTTTGCTAAGGTATCTCTGCAAAGTCTCCGAGTGTGAGAATAATTTCTTCACCTCTTCCACCAGCTGATCAAGATTTGGAAGTGCCTAGTAAACAAAAATATGGCATAGAATTTAACCCAATAAAGTACCGTCGTAGAAAAAATTACCTAGCACACAACAATTTCTATAACTGCCAACGTATCACTATCCAAAGCTGTTAACTTACATGTATACACGAACATGAACAAAGAGAGAATCAAGCAAAAGTCCATAATGTACACATTCCCTCCTAAGTTACTCAAAGTTTGCCAGGTCTCCCAAAAAAAATGTTACAGCTACCTCCTGTGTTACCAGAATTCTTTGGTGGTAAGCGAATACACTATAGATGCTGGATGTTGGAGTGAGACTGATAAGTTCTTGATACTCCCGCAATCATCGAAAACGGGAGAGATTTTAACAGAATCTAACAGGGATTACCCTAACCCTGTAACTCCCAAAAGAGAGTACGACGTTACTTATCGTTAAAAAAATCTAAATATTTCCAATAAACAAGTAGGAAGAACAGACTATTAAGCTCTGCAACGTTGTCTTGATTCATTACCAAATTTCTCGTAACTAATTTAGATGGAAATAGAGCGCATCTGAAAGCTACACGATTAACAAATGATGAGAAATGGGAAATTCAGCTTGATATTTCCCTTATACTTGATGCAATTTTACCTCTTTATACCTCCATTGTTCAGTGTGTGCCATTCTGATACAAATAGCCGTAACTGACTCAAACAAGTACACAAGCTGTTTGGTGCACTGAATATCAATCGCTTGATTCTTCCTTGTGTGATGAGTCAAAGAATCACCGCGAAATATTTCAAGCAAAAGATGGAGTAATTCACAACTGGAAACTATTCCATCATCCTGGAGAAACAGTTCACTAAACAACTCATTTGAAACCAGTAGGCGAAGACACGATCTCCAAACATACACCCTCAATGATGATTCCACAGGATGGCAAGAGGCTATAAGAGGCAGTTCAGGTGACTTCGCTTTGTCAGAAAGTGTTGTGGTGAATTGAAGTAACGAAAGGAAGCTGCGGCAACAGACTTTGCTGTCACTTTTATCTCCACTTGAGTCTAGAGATCCTGCACTGAGGTCGTCACTCTCTGTATAGGGTCGCTTCCCCGTTGCTTCTTGATTTTCAACATTAGCCAAGAACTCCAACACAAGCAAAACTGGTTCTTGAAGCTGTGGTAATGCCAGAAAGCTCTGTAGTTCATTTAAGCCACCGCAGTTTAGAAACAGTGCTCGAGACTCCGAGCCAGTGAGAAGTGAGGTTAACATCCCAATACAAAGTTCAAGAACCTCTGCACAAATTTCATCGTGTCCATGGACCTGTTCCGAAAGGTCTAAGCTGCCGAGCTCAGTTTTAAAGCCGGAAAAAGTACTCCCCCTGACTGATTTGGCTCGCTGCCCAAGCCACTCCGACGTAAATGTTCCTGTCCAAGTCCTTGCTCTGATCTTTCTTAGCGGCTCAGCAACTTCATCAGTGAAGATTCCATCGCAGCGCAACATGCACGGGAGAACCACCATGCGGAAAAGCTCAGCCTTCAGATGTTTCGATCCCAAAATAGCCAAAGGCTTCAGAGCTTTAGCAACTCTAACAGCAATATCTGTGTCTTTGCACGACATAAGAGCACAGTATTGTGAAAGAGCAGCCCAGTTAGGTTTCCCATCTTTTACCAGATCTTTCATTTGCACACTCAAATCATTGGCAGAGAAGCCACTGTCACTTTTGCAAGGGCTTTGTTTAGTAGACTTTGTGCGGAATCTTTGACCCCTTTTAAAGTGAGAAGTCGGTGACCGACGAACATCGTAGTTATCAGTCATAACGTCAATTTCTGTGAGCACCATGTGGTTGATAATTCTGAGAATGGCATCTTGAAGGTCCTTGGGCTGTTCTACAAATCTGCAAGCGAGAATAAATAGATAAAGAATTATGCATACATTGTACTTTCGTTGTCAAACACACCTGCATGGGAGACTGGCTCGCATAGATGACAGAGCTTACCCCACTGACGCTCCTGTTCCTGAACTAGATGATAGGGTTTTGTAAGCAGCCAATATCCAATTTGTCCGGTTCCCTAATAATTTTATTGCTACCGTTTACAGAGTACTTCAGAGAGGCAAAGGCACTGTAAGGTGAGAGCAAAGTGCGGTGCCCAAGAACACAAAACTATGCCTCCAGTCTCAATGACTTTAACACCACCGAGCCTACCACGAGTGGCTTTTTCTGGAGGTCTCGCCCCTTACCAGCTTTGCAAGTTCGCCCCCTGATGTAAAACAAGTTCGTTCTCATTTTTATTAGTTCGCCCCCAAACATTCTAACTCAAACACATTAGGATATAGACAGAAGAGGAATATTTTCTGCCGTGTTGGGAAACGAATTCAAAGATTTGGGGGAAAAACTGGTTAAGGTGGGTGCAACCTTGTTCGTGGGTGCGAACTCTAGAAGAGACAGGAGTTTGATGCAATGGGGCGAAACCTCCATAGACCCCATCCGTGACCATTTTAGAGATTTTCTAAAATATCCTCACCTGTTGAGAAGAGTTGTCACCAATACATCTGGCGAGACGCAGTGGCAGATTCCAACTTTTTCCAAACAGTTCAGAATGCTAAATCTTAACTTTGGATTCCTGCTGTCCTTGAAGACTGTCAATAGCGTTATGGCAGGTCTCAAAACCGTGCAGAGGTCTTCTGATGGTGAAAGTAAAACGTAACGAGCAACATATACAAACTACATATACAAACTAGCCCCTAAAAGTAAGATAGCAACATAATCGCCACCGTGCAATACCCGCACAACAGGGGTTTCAGTAAGTTATTTTTTCCATGAGTGGCTGCCAAAAGATTGAGGTCGGAGGTTTCACAGGCGTAAGTAGACGCGCCAACCCCTAAGCAACGTACGACCTGTCTGGACGGCTCTTTATATTTTCTGCCTCTGTTTATCATCTCTAGAGAGCGTTGAACAAGCCTGGGATAAGCAGACACCTCCTACAAGCAAACGATTCTGACAAAGGTATCGAACATGCCGCTAAGTTCAGGGGCAGATTCAGGTTTCTCCCATGAAGGGGGCGCGCCAGTAAATACGTAATTGACGTCTGCTTTGAATGAAGAATAGAAGGGTTACCGTCGAAACTTCAGTACCAAGCTACTTTTCTTAAGCCGGTCAAAATAAATTCTTCATCACCGTCTCATGTTTGACTTCAACGCCAATAAACCACATAGTTTTGTTTTGTTTTGCATAACACCAGCTATAACAGAAAGCGGCAGGTCCTTAGGGAGTGGGGGGGGGGGGAAAGAAACACCCCTGCATCCCTGGATCTGCCCCCGTTACCTCTTATTTCATACCTGGCAATTGGTCTTGCCTCTCTTTTTCATACTCCATATCTGCTGCAGACTCTGAACTCTCCTCTATCTCAGAAGTCGGAAGGTACACTCCACACATTTCATGAACATCATTCTGTGTGACAAGGTTCCCAGACGAGACCACTGAAGTCTTTCTACTGCCAGCTTCTCTTCTGCAGCAAGTCTTGCTTTTTTTCAACATCGAAATCATTTTTCCTAAATTCTTCACAACCCGATTTGAGAGACTTCTTGGGTACTGTTCAATTCTTTGAGAAAAAGATTTTAACCGAAAGTTCATGTCATTTCCCTTTCTCTCGAAATCTATCTCGTGTGAGTAAACTTCATCCAGTTTCAGAAGCAAGGTAACAAGGAATTCAAATCCTCTACTGGACGAAAATTGCTCAAAAATATCATGGCACAGAACGTAAAGAGTGGAATTGATTAAGGTACCATAATGAATGCATGTCATTACAAAGAGTAGGAGACCATGCAAAGAGCAACCAAGCAGCAGCTCATTTTGAAAACCACTCCAAAGATCTGAAGCAAGAAGTTTGGGGTTAAGTTCATTTTCTTTGTCACTAATACCAGCAACAAGTTTAGCAAGTTCAAAGTGTTGAATGGGTGTTAGGAATTCTTTGTCCAGACAACCATCTTCGATCATCTCCAAAAGTTTCTGAACATATGAGGTCTTTGACAGTTGTTTGGCTGCCTTTGGGTTTCGACATGTTGTGCAGAGAATTGAGAATACTGTTCTTAATGTAGCTAAGTGAACTGAAGTAGCTGCTCCAAGTTCCCACTCACAAAAAACCTCAGGACTCTTGTTTTTAGTGTCACTGAGGGAGAGAACAATGTCTATGAGCTGACCACTGGTATGCATTAGAAGATTGCAATCGCTGAGCGATACACTGCCATGACAGGTTAGGTTTTCCAGCGTCGCAAGAAGAAGGATTGACAGTTCAAAGTTATTGATGCTACAATGACTTGATGAGATAACAGACAGACAAGAATCTGTATGTACAGCATGCTCATCTACATCAGGAACCATGGTTGTGGAGCTTAAGATAGAAAGTTCTGTTTCATTTTTTGTTCCAGAGCATGTATAGGCAGTCACATCACTGCTGGGGATTTCAGGGTCAGAAGATTCACTGATATTGGTACTCAATGCACTGTCAAGGTCTGTTACACTTGTTACACTTGTGAACACATCACTGTCTTCAGTTGTATTGGGACTTTCTGTCCTGCTCTTGACTGAGAGTAGTAATTCCACTTGATCACTTTGAGCTTTGCCAGCATTTACAAGTTCATCAGCTTCAGTTCTTTCATGTTGAGGAACACTGGAATTTATCTTCAACTCAAGATGATCCTGAAAAGGCCTGAGGATTTTGTCTTTCACAAAGTTTGTGTGACAAGATGTGCTTTTGGTGTCCCACCAGTGATCATCAAAGTCAGCAAAAATTAGCTCTAATCCTAAGGCAAGAGGTAAGAGCAGATAACATTTAGTGAATTTCAATCACCAAACATTTTCATGTCCATTTTTGCTACCAGTTCATCTAATTTCTGAAAGGTGGGCGAAGTCTGTACTTGGGCCAAGTGGCCCACCCAATCAGATACTACCCCTCAGCCCCCCCCCCCTTCCCCTTCCCACTGGTATTCCAATCCATCAAAAAGGTTGCATCACATTTTGTCAGACATCTCCAACAATTAGCCCATACCCATTCATACTCCTGGGTGTAGTATGAATGAAAAGTGTTTTGGCACATAAAGACAACACAGTTTATTTGTAATGTGCATAGATGCACAGGTACCCAGGTACCCCTTCCTGACTTGTTTAGAATAGAATATTAATTCATTATTATTACCAAACATGTAAAATAACCCTACAACCTAAAATCTCCAACATTACCATTAAGATGGTCATAATGTTGTAAAGGTACTCTAAGAACCACAGGCAGCAGGGAAACAAGGAGATTAGCCAATTCTAAACTGCATCCAGCAACCTGTTAAATTGAAAAAACCATATCAAAAGACAAAAAATACTAATTGATCAATGTTTTGTCAATCAATCAATTGATAATCCATAAAATTCACCCTTTAAGTCACATGACCCAATTAGTATTTCTCTCTACTGACTGTCATAAAGATCCTTGTAAATTTAAAAAGGAGATTTGCTGTTTGTATTAACATAACATCCTCTAGCTGATAAGTTTGTTTCTTCTCTTTACCACAAGGAGAAGTTACAAGTAGATCAACTCTGGGAGTTAACCCTTTAACTCCCATGAGTGACCAAGAGAGAATTTCTCCTTACAATATCAACACAATGTCAACTAGATAAGTGTTGGGAATAAAGAAAAATATCAATTGGGGGATAATTAGTTGATCCCATACTAAATTCTCTGAACTAACATTGAAAGAACTGTATGGTTGACAGTAAGGAGAATTACAAAATTTTATCTGGGAGTTAAAGGATTAAAGGGTTAAAGGGTTAAGAAGTTGTGTATGCATTTAGTTTCCTATTTTGAATTTTGCTGGGATTATTGATTTATCATTCAATATGTGAACAACAATGATTTGAGATCAAAATCTTATCATTAACCCTTAAAATACTAAGAATAACCAGCATCAGATTTCTCATTACAGAAATACTGCTGAACCATTCTTTAACATCATGAGAATAAACTAAATGATCACCAATCTATGAAGCTGTGACTGTTAAACAAATTCTCCTTGTCAGTACCAAAGAACATGTAAAGAGAAAAGTATGGAGAATATACAGTAAATCAGATGACCTGGCCTGGCAGAGCATTTTGTCAACACTTATCCACTGGATAGTGATTTATCCATTGGATAGTGCAATCAGCTCTTAGAACAACTGGATTCTAATAACTTTGTACCTTACCTTACTTGCCAGAATACACAACATCTGTAACAGAAGCAGACCCTGTCCATGACAAAGGAAGTCAACCAGTGGCTTTTCATTCTCATCCTCACATCTTAGAAGAATTGCAGACTGGAATTCACTTGTCAGAACATTGCTAATGCTATGGACATCACTAAAAAACGAACCCAAATAAATATTATTCAACATTTTTTAATCATGAAATTCCCTCAAGTATACAGACAAGTTATACTGATTGAATTATGTACTATAAAATTAGCCAGTTGTCAAGGTTTGAAACCTGGGAATATCATGTTACTGATAAATTTACAAACACATTGACTGAGTGGGAGGGCCA